ATATTCTTAGGATTTATTATTTCGGATTAGGATATATAAATAGACCCTACCAAAACCTTTATTATCTGAAACTAGTATTAATTTATAATAAAAAGGAAGATATAATTATTTTTGGGCTTCTATAACTTTTACTATAGGTTTATCTAAACCTATAGATATATTTCTTACTTCCTAAACCGTCTGACTAAAAAGAATACTCTGCTAAAGTTTATATTTAATAAAACCTAACTAGATACCTTTAATTAGCTTAAGAATCTGCTTCTTTCTACCTTTATATTTCTCTATTTTAAATATAATAGGAAAACCTACCTAAAAACTAATTATTCGAACCTAGCTACTATAGATATATTCTCTTAAAAAAGTTTAAAGAACAGATAATAGTACCTAGTCTTATTTTACTCTAAAGCTCTTTAAGAAGCCAAGAGCTATTATAAAATTTATAATAAGGAACTTCTTACTATTATCTAAGAACTCCGGGAATAGTAGGCAGAACTAATTAGCTTACCTAATTTTCTAATTATTACCGACTATAAAGCTCTTGAGTATTTTAGTATTAAGAGGCCCTTAAATAAATAATAAATCTAATAGATAGATTTCCTATTATAATTCTATTACTAGATTACTTATTAGTTAGGTAAAAATAATACTATTACTAATATCTTATTCCGAAAAGACAAGCTTATACTAACCCAGAAATAGGCTAAAGAAGCTAAAAGAACTAGATAAGTTATCCTATTAGACCTAATTCTCGCTTTTATTAAAATAAAAGATATAGCTTATATTCCTACTAAAATAGAAGAAATAAACAAGCTATTAGTTATAGTCAAAATCCTATAAGCTAATCGGATAAACCTAGCCCTAGAGAACAAATATAAGAAAGCCCAGAAAAATATAGATCTATAGGAAATATTAAATAGCTATATACTTTATAATAAAAGACTTACTATACCGGACGGATATAATAATCTATAAACTAGGCTCCTATAATAAATCTATAATATAATAACTACTATATATCCCGGTTAAAATAAGACAAAAATCCTAATTTGGAAATTTTACTAGTAGCCTACTTTTTCTATAAATATTAACTACTTTATAGTAAACTGCTATAAATATTAAAGGTCTTATAAGCCAAGAAATAAAATACTAGACCTATTATACCTATTACTAGTTCCCCTAAAAACATAGGATAATTTGTTTATAGACTTCTATATTTCTGGCTCTATAAATAAGAAATATAATAATATATTTATTATAGTTAATTAATTATCCAAATAATATATAAGCCTACTAATAACTAAGAATACTATAGCCAGAACTACTACTAGCCTATTCTATTACTATATCTAGTAATTCCGAGAATCTCTCCTTATTATTATAAGTAACCGAGAACCCTAATTTATTTCAGACTTTATAAATAAACTATTAAGATTAACTAGAATTAAGCTAAAGCTCTTAACTATAAAATATACCTAAACTAATAAATAAATAGAAATTATTAACTAGATTATTAATATCCGACTTTGCCTCTTTATTAATTATTTCTAGGATAATTAGGCAGATTTATTTCCGGTACTTAATACTATAGGTACTGCCTGCCTATATAAATTAAGTAGCTTATCTCCTTTAATAATTAATTACGAATATAAACCTAGGCTAAACTTTAACTAGATATTACTAATAATAGAGTTCAAAATACCGAGAAAGAAACTTAATCGGGAGAAAGTATAATAGTAGGCTAAGAGAATTAATACTACTATTAATTATACCCGAGAATATATAGTAATAGCTTAAAAGTATTAAGCCAAGTAAGCTAATAAGAAATGGCGAGAACCAGACTTTAGTCTAGAAGATATAGTCTATATAATTAAAAAAATATAAAAAACGGACTATTTGTCTAATAAATTAGACTATTTTCTTACTAGACTATTTAAGATTAATAAAATAGTTAGCTATTTATATTAATTAGACCTTTCCTTATTATATAGGATTTGGCTAATTTTCTATATAAATAGGCTTTATAAAAATCCTACTAACCTATTACCCGGCCAAACTAATAAAAAGCCTAGTTCTACTAAAGTTAATAGTAAACTTAAATAAGAAGTCAAAAAGATTCTTTTTTCCAAGGTACTTTATAGTAAGCTTTATTATAAAATTAAATAGAAAAGATAGAATATAGATAATAAATAATACCTTGTATTAAACTTTAAGAACTTAGTATTTAAACTATATAAATTTCACGAGTAGAACCCTAGTAAAGCAGGATCTTCTATCCGGCTAAATAAATAGATTTAGTATACTAAAGAGAATGAGTTTAATAAAAACTATCTAGATAATAATAAACCTTGATAATAAGGTCTTTATAACTAGAGAAGAAGAAGAAAAATCTAAATATTTCCCGGGTTTTATCTAAATTCTAGTATATTTCCTTTATTCTACTATATTAGTACCTACTTTCTTTTCCAGAAATCTGGGTAAAATACCTTCCTTTATTATACTAGATTATACTTTATTATTTAAGCAAATTATTAAAAAAAGTGAATTCTTAAAGCTAAGCTAAAGGTAAATACTTGCCTATATTAGTTCGAAATATTATTAAAAATCAAGGAAAACCTTCTTAACTACTTTAATCTTTATAACCTTAACTATTTATATTACTACTACCGCCTTAATAAAACTATTAATAAAGACGAAATAGACAAGAAATCCCGGTAATATATTATCTATAGCCGGACTAAGTAAGATAGCTTACTAGATCCTAAATAACTTAAGTAATAGCAGCGGTATTTCAAGTTTAGTAGCTACTACTATTATTAATATAACTACTAGCTAAACTATCTTTATAAACGAAAATAGTAACTTTCTTACCTAAGAATAGATTAATATATAGAATACGGCCTGTACTATTCTTGAGAATATACCTGAAATTATTATAGAAAATATCTTAGTAGAAGATTCTAAGGATAATGAAATAGAGGTTTTGGTTACTAGTAATAATAAGCCTAATAGTTTAATAGGCGGAATAGACGGTACTAATAAGGGCTTCCTTATTAATCTTATAGAGTCAAATACTAAAAGGATTAAAAAAAGCAAGGCTAGCTTATCCAAGAAGTATAAGGCATTAGATAATAGTAAGGATTCCAATAATAAAAAGACTAAGAATAAAGAGACTTCTAGTAATAAAGAAAACTCTAACTATAATAAAGGTGGCCAAACTAGTATTAAGACGCCTATTATAACTAGAAGATATATAGTACCAAGTACTAGTTATTATATAAAGTACTAGTCTAAAACCAAGAGCTAGAAAATAATCCTGAATACCGAATTAAAAGAGTAATACCCTATAGATATTAACAAATTAGTAGATAACGCCGTTTAAGAAGTCGGAAAACCCCTTAGAAGCTTCTATAAAACCAAAATCATATAGCTTAAGGCCCGGGAATTCGATAATAAAATAGCTCAAGTAGCCGCCTTTAATATATAAATCTCTACTATAGAGGGATAACTTGAGGACGTATATATTAAGCTCGAGAAGGCCCAGAAGTTAATTAAGTAGCTCAAAAACGGCATAATTAAGCTAAATACCGCTACCCTAACTAAGAAGAAAGGCAAGCAAGCTACTATATCGAAGCCTGTATTAATGGATAAACTCGATCTGCTACCCCTATTCGAAGACTGCCCGATAATAATAGTCCCAATATTGGCCATAGCCTATACGGTACTCCCAGACCACATTATTGATATGGGTATAGGCATGATGCGAGCGACGGATGCTAAGGACTAGCCGGAACGTACTAGGAACCGGGTTATTCTGGTAGAGTCAAGACCACGCTTCGATTATAAGTAAGCTATAGGGATTAGACGGAATGGGGTTAATGGCCGTTGTTTCCTCTTTTTTCTTTTCTATACTGCGGCTGAATAATCCCCTAAATGAGGGCATTTAGACTTCTCTTTGGGGGGGGGGGTAATGTGACGGCTGGCGTAAGGGCATGATCTGCCAAGGACAGGATATCGGAAATAGGCATAAAACGAAGCTAAGCCAGGATTGCTTGGACGGAACAATACTAAAGGTCAAGGCATTCTCCCTACTTTGTTCCATAGCTTAGTATTTTCTAATACATGAGATTCTTTGAACTTTGAGCCTTCGACCATTGCATTGATCCCGCCGTCACACTAGAAGTTTATTTATATATTATAATAGTTATTGAAGTATACTAGAACTTGGCAGTATAGAGGTTAGTACTAGCTGAGAGTAGAGATAAAAGGAGAGGAAAGGAAAGGGAAAAGGTAGACAGAGGGATAAAAGCAAAAGCCGAGATAAGAGTATATATTTTTTATCTAGAATTTTGGTTTATATAGAGATGCTGGAGGCCAATAATCAAATCTCCCAATTCTTCTATCCTCTCACCTGACTATCTTTGAAGTAATAAAAAAGGGGTGCGGAATACATGATACAATAAAGCATTTGGTCGTCCCCTGCTTGCGAGCTGAGAGTGTAACAGCAACAGAATATTCGGCGGCTTGCCTGGTATTATAGTGAAGAGAATGCATGACTTTACATAACATGTTCTGTAATATGTGATCTCTATTTCCTGCTTATGCTTTCCAAGAAATGGCGTTGGCTAGGATTCATCTTTTTGTAATTATTTTGGCATCTTATAGCTAATGGCGTGAGATCTATAATTCTGAATATATATATTAGGCTAAATTGTCCAAGTGCAAAGGGGGCAATGGAGTAACCCGGAACGGAAAAAATTAGGCTCCGCGCCAGATCATGTCTATCCTTAGCAGCCGGGATGCCGGGATGTAGTTTGGTTGAACCTCCTCTCAATCCCAGACCTCGTTCACTAAGCAAGTAACAACACTACGATGTCTGCAACCCATCATGGACCACTTCTGAACCCTTTCAGATCACCGCTCCCTGAAAATTGACGACCCAATCCACCGGCACGATGGAATCACAACCGCTGCGACGTGTATCGCGCGAACCATCGGACGAAATGCACGGTCCTGAACTCTCCTCAGAATCGAGCGCTATCACGAGACTTACACCGGACTCGGACTCCGATGACTCCGATCTAGAGATTGGCGAGCTGGGCGAGAGCTTCAAGCTCCAGAAGCGAGAAAAGAGCGAGGTTGATGGCGCAGTGGATGATACGGATGAGGAGAGATACCATGATGCTCCGCGGCGAAGGGCCAGTGTTTCGACAGTGCAGTCGTATCAATTATATACGCCGGACGAGGAACGAGCTGTTGTGAGGAAGTTTGATAAGAGGCTGGTGCTGTTTGTGGCGTTGCTGTACATGTTGAGCTTTTTGGACAGGTCAAGTATGGATCCCCCATCTCCTAGAATGAGCATCTGCTAATTGTTGTAGACATTGGCAATGCCAAGATTGCCGGCCTGGAAAGAGACCTCGATCTCGATTCGAATAAATTCGATTGGGTTCTGACGGCGTTTTATATAGCCTATATTCTATTCGAATGGATGAGCATACTTTGGGAGATTGTGCCAGCACATATATACGTCACGGCCATCGTCCTATCTTGGGGAATCGTTGCCTCACTACAATCAATTGCGACCTCATTCGCGAGTCTCTTGGTTCTGCGAACTCTGCTGGGAATTGGGGAAGCTGGATTCACGGGCATACCATTCTACCTATCCTTTTTCTTCAAGCGTGAAGAGCTGGCCTTCCGAACCGGGTGCTTCATATCTGCCGCCCCCCTTGCGACCTCCTTTGCAAGCACCTTGGCCTACTTCATTATCAAGCTAGGCGAATACCTTCCGATAGCATCATGGCGTCTCCTCTTCCTCGTTGAAGGCTTCCCCAGTGTCCTAGTTGCAGTCTGGTGCTGGTACATAATCCCCGACAGCCCCGACACAGCAACCTACCTCACGAAGCGCGAGAAAAAGGTGGCTCGCCTTCGTCTCCGAAAGCAAAAAGACCCCAAGGCCTCCCACAAACTCAACCTAAAAGAAGTCCTCGCCACACTCTCGGACCCGAAATCCTACCTCACAGCCTTCATGTTCTTCTTCACCAACATGGCCTTCTCCTCCATGCCCATCTTCCTGCCAACTATAATCCACGAAATGGGACACACAGTCCTCATATCCCAAGCATTATCCGCACCGCCCTACCTCCTTTCCTTCATCATCGTCATCTTTACCGCCTACCTATCCGACAAGATGCAAAACCGCTCGTACTTCGTGATCTTCCACGCCTTACTCTCCGCCTCCGGCTACGCGTTCCTGGCCCTCGCCGGTCGCTTTGGGCTCGGAATTTGGTGGCGCTATGTTGGTATATATCCCGCTGCCATCGGGTTCTTTTCCGTCATCACGATTATTATTACCTGGACGATTAATAACCAGGAGTCGGAATCTAAACAAGGAACCGGATTTGCGATGTTACAGCTTATTGGGCAGTGTGGACCGCTGGTTGGCACGAGGCTATATCCGGAGAGCGATGCGCCGTTGTATGTTAGTGGGATGGTGGCTTGTGCTGGTGCAATGGTTTTCGTGGCGTGTCTGAGTGTAGGGTTGAGGGTTTATTTGGGAAGGAAGAATAGAATCGGAAGAGGGGATTATGGGATGATTGGGGATGAGGGAATGGGATTGGTGGGGAGTATGAGGAAGGAGAAGGAACACTTTAAGTATATGCTTTGATGGGTGGGCGTCGAATAGACTTATGGGTATATGACTTTGATATCGGTATATAATACCCAATGGTATGAGTACAGCCAAAAGTTCGGATTTTATACTTTCACCTCTTCTATTACTTTCCATCTCTTCATTTACTTCTATCTCTCCTTGAACTTTCATCTCCGCTTTTATTAATACCTTTCCTTTTTATCCTTGCCATTTATCCTTGCCATAATTTATCTCTGCTTTTATTTTCATCTTCAGCATTCCTTTTATCCCTACATTTACTATACAAGCTAGAAATCTTATATCGCCAGCTAGGAAAGGGTGGCTATATGGTCTCCCAGTTGTGTTGGAAGTCGCGTTATAGTGCTGAGAAGATAGGCAAGTTGGAGGAAAGAAGAAATGGGGAGATTTTATTGTTGGCCTCGAGTATCTTTGAATAATCTTGAGTTCTAGACATTCGCAGGCAGAGTTCTTGTTGTTGATGGGTCTCAGTTAACTAGTACGACTATTATTCATCGGCTTCTGATTCATATTCAGAATTATTCTATGTGAGTTAGAACCCTTTATAAATTTCGGATTATTCAGGGATTTTTGAGACCATCGATAAAAGGGACGAATCCTGTTTCCCGACAGCTTTGCAATCTTTCCCTGAACGTAATTCGGAATTCTCTACTTTTAAAGAAACAACTCCTATGGATAAAAGATTCGACGCGTCACAGCTCTCACATGGCTTTTCCTCTATGAAAAAGAGCATTAAAAACACAATAGAGGTCTACTTACTTTCAACAGTTCCTAACATCCTATCTGGAAGCCCCCAAGACATCGACCTAACACCTTTTCTGTGTCAGACCTCTACTCCCATCTGGCGGTAGGACCGTACGATTCTAAGTGTGGTGCAGTAAGTCATCGAATTTTTCTCACTTTTTGACACATTTTGACTTGACCTAAGCTGCGGCAGAGACTATCAATACCGACAGCATGCAGGCATGCGTCTATGGACAGTACTATGAACGATCCACAACTACCCATGGTACTCTCGGCATGGCTTGTTCCTGTCGGCTGGAAATCATACCGAACGACTTCTTGTAAGAATCCTCGATGTACAGCCGCACCTAGCCAAGAGCAGCAAGAGCAGCATGGGCACGTGATACAGTTATAAAAAGGTGATTTCGCCCGGATATAGCAAAGGAGAACAGAGTGAACGTGTTTGAAAATGTAAAGCGGGAAGAGTAATCGATCCCGCCATCTTGTGCAAGAACCCTTCGACCCTCTTTCTCTTTCATATGTGAGAGAGATACGTAATGGGATTATAATATGATAATCGCGCCATTAAACACAAATCAGACTTTTAAGCCAAATCACCTTGAGTTAGGCAACTTCGGATGAAGGAATTTGAAACCCTGACCTGAAATGTTGCATGTATGACAAGAAATGGAGGGCGCCTAAACTTTCTCTGTGCACTTGAACTCTCTATCCACAGGTTTCAAGCATCCTCGATTAGCGCATCGAACGTTCTTTGGACGATGCCCCTCGAGAAGCGTAAGAGTTCCTTCCACTCGACGACAACGAAGAGCAACCCAGGAAGCAAAACTTCTCTTCTCCCACATCTTCAAGTCAATGGACTATCTCTGAGATGGTTGATTTGGTAGGTCGGTAGAAAATCTTTGTGTTCGCGAAACGCTTCTGCCCGAAATGACACTTGAGCTCTTGGTGTCCCTCCGGCTGCTCTTTCCTCCCGTTCATCGAAACGGTCACCCTCTTAAGGTCCATCTCCCATCCCAACATCTCCGCTCAACATCAGCATTGGGGCATTGGCATAAGTCATCAGTATTCAACTACACTTCCATTCGTTCCCATCAGCATTCGCTTGAACATCATCCAGTACAGTACGTCCGTTTGAGCCCAGCATCTCAGAAGCGAAGGCGGCTGACCCACTTGCGGTTTCAATCTTGGCACACCAAGATCCCCAGATTCTTGAACCTGGTTACGACACTCGGTGACTACTGTCTGGAAACACTGGACTCACGACCAGACATTACCAGGGTACACATAGTCGTGTGGTCGTTGAAGCCTCCTCCTTATCTCGACCCCCACACACAAACATTTCCAAATAATCGCAGCATTCGTCGACGTCAAGACTCGACCCCGGAGTGACTTCTGGGCGCACGCGACGTCGGCAACTACTGTACTGTATTTTCTCGGATAAAGGAGCCGAGCGATCACGAGCGGCCATCATCTCGACCAAGAGCACCGAATTGGAGCAACACGAACCAGAACAGAACAAAACAAAACACAGCCTGCATTGCTTTGTCAACCTAGACGGCTGCTGTCCATCAATTAATTGTCAGAATTGCTGCGCCGTCCCGGATGAGCAAACGTCTGCAGTCGCTACAGCCCCCAGACTGCCCAATTATTGATTCCACATCCTGCACTGCGGTGGCGTTAGATCGAAATTCCCCATAAACCTGCGTCTCTCGCACCCCCAACCCGCCCGACCAATGGCAGAAGCAACACCAAGGACGACGGGCGCAGGCCATGCCTCAACACCCAGCGACGCTTCTTCCAGTGTACAACCACCTTCGAAAACCCTCAATCAGCCGCCCATCGAGCTGAGTGAATTCGAGCCCTCCGGAAGGACAGCCACAGGCGCAGGTTCGCAGGGTCCTCTCAGCTACGTTTCAATTCCGACGACGTCGCCTATCTCCTCCTCCTTCCTATCCGTCTTACAGTCTTCAACCATGTCAGAATCGGCCGCGGCTGCGAATACGGCCAACGAGAATACGAAGCCCGAGCAAGAATCATCGTGGACTTCGAATACTGCGGTATCCTCACAACCAAGGAGGGACCCCTTATCAACAGAAAATACTGCTCAGACGGCATCAGCATCAGCGTCTGCGGCTGAGCCTTCCTCCTCATCAACACCTGCTCCTGCCATTCAACGGCTGGAATCTGTGGCTATTGGGCCATCGATAGATGTTGATCCCAAGCTGGTGACTAGTGACGCTGGGCCGGTGCTGCTTATTACACTTCTCCTGACATCTGGAGCACGGCATCCATACAAGCTTGATGAGAAATACCTGACGAAGCGGAATGTGGTCGTACCGGCCTTGACCGAGGGTGGGAGGAAAGACCCGTACAGCATCAGTGTGTATACGCTAAAGGAATTGATCTTGCGGGAGTGGAGGGAAGAGTGGGAAACACAACCGAGCAGTCCCAGCAGCATACGATTGATTTATTTCGGGCGGTTATTGGATGACAAGACGCCATTGAAGGGTAGGTTATTCTTATATCATTGAGGCTTTTCGTTTCTTTATATATTGGATGCTGACTGGTTCGACCTACAGAGTGTAGATTCAATACCGAATCAGCGAATGTGGTACATATGACCGTCAGGCCACAAGATATTGTTGATGAGGAAGACGCATCAAAAAGCAAGGCGTTAGCTAGGGGTAGAGAAGGCGCAGAAGGCACAGCTGGGTGTCGGTGTGTGATACTATAAGGGCAGATGGACAATGAGCGGACGAATTGCATGCAGCAACCCCCAGAAAAGTATTTTCTGTCACACTCTTTGTGGTGACCGTCAATGCAGAGCACGAGGAAACATGATGAACATTGGAGAGAAGGCGTTGAGGGATTGATTTAGTTGTTTCTTCGTGGCAGAGAGCGTCTTCATCGACATTTATATGCCTCAGTGGGAGACATGTGCGTATGGACTTGTACAGTTAGGATTAAGGGTGATATAGTGAGAGTGTACAGCGGTCATGAATTGCCAGCGAGATAGGGATAGAATGCAGTCACTGCCTCTTTTCCAGGCTTCTCACATCCACTCTCCGAATTGCAGCGTGGGCCTGAAATCGTGAAAGCAAGGAATCATGTCTCATTCCCAGCTGTACGGTCACCAGCAACGCCATCTAAGCCGATTGATCTTACAAGCCAGTCATCTCCCATTCTTTTCCCAATCATCTCCATCATTCTCCACCAATGCCATTCCACCAATCCGCAACTCCCTGCAAGGCCTACTGCATCCGAACCTTCCTCTCAACCTCCTCATGAAAGCCCGGCACCCCCCTCATCTCCTCGCCCCTAAATACATCCTCCCACGTCACAGTCTCCAAACTCCCCCTCAAAATTTCCTCATGCACACCCCGTTCCAGCCCTCCACCCAGACACGCGGGTCTCCACTCCCCCTCTCTCGTAATCTTCAGCTCCATACCCCGTCGAATCGGCTCGCTGATCCCAAACGTGCGGCGATAGCCTTCCATGCGCAGTGCGTCCTGCGTCTCTTCCCACTTCTTGAGGCGCGACTCCAGCGGGTGGGTGGAGTCTGGGATAGCGGAGGGCGAGGAGGTGGTTGTTATTTGGGTGGTGAGGGAGGGACCGATGCCTGAGCGGAGGGTGTCATGGAGGCCCGGGGCGGAGGGGGCACCGAGGGATTTTGCGGACAGGTGGGAATGGCTGGTGGAATGGCCAGCTGGAGGTGCGATTCTCATTGCCTAGATGGAAGAAGGGAGGTTAGATTCTGCGAGAAGATGGAGGTGATGGAAAACAGGCAAGAGAGGGCGACGAGGCGGAGGAGAGGTGAGGGTGTTGAGTGGGAAGAGGCCTTACCATGATGGCTGCGTGGTATCTCAAGTAAGTGCTTGAGATTATTGTGTGGTTGACGGAGAGGAGGGTTTTGGTTTGAAGGTAGGTGAAGGTGGTGTTGATGATGAAGCTCCAGGCACGAGTTGAAGACGCGGATGAAGCTGCAAGCCACTAGCGCGGTTTCTGGCGCCGAGCTTCTCCCGGTTAGTCCGGGGTACCTCACTTCTGACTCCTCCCACTTAAAATTCCTCACCATGGAACAACCCAACTAGCTATGCGAAGACCGGTCCTTTCACCTTTTAGGCTACGTTCCAGGCGTGGATATGGAACAAATGCAGCTCGATCACCGATAATAAGGATTGACAATGGCACGTTCTATCGTCATCATCCCAATTCAACAACAGCTACAACTGGCGGAAATCCTCCTTTATTCAAGAACTTGAGGTTCGAGCTCCCGAGTTTTTCAGAGAAAGGGGAATATTGGTCCATACTCGGTCCTTCATCAAGTGGAAAGACAACATTTTTGCAGATTCTCAATGGAAATCATCTTTGTATCCCGCCACAAGCAAGGTCATTTCCATACCTTGAGTCAGACGAGATTGAGCAGAAAGACCATGAACTACGGAATCCAGATCGAGCAATAAAAAGAGTAGGATTCGATGGCGAACAAGGACTTGGTGCTCAGGCGCCACAGAGCGCATATCTTTCTGCAAGATACGAATCGAGGAGAGAAGACACGGATTTCAGCGTCCTGGATTACTTACAGGGAAACACGGAACTGAATCCCTCTCAAGACATTCACGGGGGAAGGATTGATAATGGTACATTGCAGAGAGTTATCAGGGATCTGAGACTAGGAGATCTGGTCGACATGCCGGTCTCGAATCTGAGTAATGGGCAGACGCGAAGGGCACGGATTGCTAGAGCGCTGCTTGGGAATCCAGAGGTCTTGTTGCTGGATGAGCCGTTTATGGGGTTGGATCCACCAACGCTGTTAAGCCTGAGTCCGATGTTGAAGAGGCTCGTGGAGAAGAATGCTCCAAGGTTAGTGTTGAGTTTGAGACCACAAGATCCAATCCCGGAGTGGATTACGCATTTGGTTTACTTGAAAAGCAGTTGTCAGGTTGCGTTTCAGGGGAGGAAGGAGGAGGTTTTGTCGGGGTTGAGGGAGTATGTGGAGAGTGCTAAGAGAGGGAATGTGCAGCCAGATTGGCATATGCCGTTGCATTCTATGCATGAAGTAGGGCGGAGTCTCACCAGCAGTGGGATCGTGGATTATACCCCATCTGCTGGCTTTCATCCCAGCACTCACCCAGTGGTGAATTCGACAAAGAAAGAGCCTGATGAAACCAAATTCAGTCGAGATGGCTATCCGATGAAAGACATTTCTACTCCTGACCCAGGAGAACCACTCGTCGAAATGGAAGGCGCCTTGGTCAAATACGGCAGCAAAGCCGTCCTCGGAAACTGGTCCCAAAGACTCCCCTCCTCAGCTCAACCTCAGCCGGGTCTCTGGTGGACGGTCCGCCGCGGCGAACGCTGGGGCATCTTCGGCCCCAACGGCTCTGGCAAGACTACCCTTCTGTCTCTAATCTGCTCCGACCACCCGCAAACATACTCCCTCCCCATTCGCCTCTTCGGCCGCTCACGCCTGCCTTCCCCGGGAGAACCAGGAATATCAATATTCGATTTGCAGAGTAGGATTGGTCACTCGAGTCCGGAGATCCATGGACATATCCCGAAATCGTTGACTCTTCGCCAAGTGTTGGAGAATGCCTGGTCTGATACTTTCAGAGGAATGCCGAAGTTAGATGAGGAGGCGAGGGAGAAGGTTGATGCTTGCCTTGGATGGTTTGAGCAGGATCTCCACCCAAGAGCCGGGGGAAAGGGAAGCAGGAATTTGAAGTGGGCCGACGAGCTGTTGTTTGGTGGTCTACCGTTCTCGGCGCAGAGAGTTGCGCTCTTCTTGCGTGCTGTCATCAAAGCTCCCGATCTTGTGATTCTCGATGAAGCGTTCAGTGGTATGGACGACGGTGTGCGGGACCGGTGTCTCCTCTTTCTCGCCCACGGCGAAACAAAGTCATTCTCCCACCCTCACTCGTCTTCCGAGATTGATAAAGCTCCTAAAGTTGTGGAAAGTGATGTGCAGAAGGAAGGCAGGGTGAAGGTGAGGGGATTAGGGAACGAGCAAGCGTTGATTGTTATCAGCCATGTGAAAGAGGAGATTCCGGGGAGTGTACGGGAGTGGGTTTGCCTTCCTGAAGCTAATACGGGTAGACCAGCAAGGTTTGGGAGGTTGGAAGGCCCGGTTGAGGGGGATTATCGACGATGGAGTGAGATCTGGGGCATGAGAGAGCCGGCATGAAAGCTGGAAAAAATCAAAATGGTGATTTGTGTTCAACGTCGGAATGATGAGCGAGTTCCTTTTGCCCATTGTATCGGGCTGGATCGCAGCATGATCTTGAATTCTACAAATGAGAAAGTTCTCTGCTTCCAGAATTCGAGATCTCAAGTGTGATAGTTAGATCTCACTATGATCCAGAATTCCGCAAACAAGATGAGGAAGTTCTCCAGACCCTGGAAGCCATTGGCTCGGTTTTAATCCACTCGCGCACACGTATACTATATTCCTAATTGATTCATGTTGCCTTTGTCTTCTTTTACTTGGAAGATACCCTAGGGTACGCCGAATTAGCAATGCAGACCAGCTCCAACCCCTATTGCAAAGATTGAATTTGATGCATTTACCAAATGATCCTAAACAAGCTATGCCTTTCGCATGCAAGTTCTCTCTACCAGCGCTATTCTTTTGTAAATTATCAGATTATCTTGATATTAGGTTGCCGTTATTAAAGGTCGTCGTCCTGTCGATGGATATCCGCCGGACGACTGCGTGCCGTCAAATATATTTATGAGCCCTCTGTGGAAAACATATAATAATGCTGATGAATACTTCCAGGGACACTTCTTTTGAAGGTGGGAGAAGTTCCACAGATAGGAGTACTGATGAGGAGCTCCAAGCACCGCATGAACTCCATGGCACAACAACACATTCCGCAAAACGGCTTTGGCTCTCTTTGTATCTCTTGCAAGATCCTCTTTTAAAGCGCGAAGGTTGAGATCCAGACAAGCACTAAGCTCAAATGTTATTTGTACAAGAACATCTATCACCAAGCACTCCCACTCAAACCTTAATGCCGAACATCAACCAAAACTTCAGCAGGTAATTCGCCACATCCCTCAATATCCCTCATCACACCAATTACAACCTCTGCACCTTTCAACAGCTCCTCTTTGCTGATAGTCAACGGTGGACAAATTCGAATCCTCCTCAAACCTGCAGCACTGGCCAACACCCCTCTCTGCGCCAACAATGAAACAATCCTCCTCGGTGTCACCTTCGGTGGCTTGTCTTCCAGAACGAGGGACATGAATAACCCGGCTCCATTGAAGGCTGTTATGTGTGGTAAGTTGGCGGCTTTTAGATTTGAGCGGAGCAGATCGCCAAGTTCGTTGGAGCGTTGGGAGAGGTCTTCGTCAACGAGGACGTCCAGGGCTGCGAGGGCGGCGGCACAGCCTACGGGATTTGCAGCCATTGTTGAGCCAATTCTGTCGAGGTCAGAGAGAGGAGCTCGGGGAAGGGAAAGCGACTTACTCGAAGGGATCGAGAAGACCCATGATGTGGTCGTCGCCCAAAACCCCGGAAAGGGGGTACATGCCTAAAATCACGTGAGTCGGCGTCTGAAAATAAATATTGAATGACGACTGGGCATGCCTCCTGCTAATGCCTTGCCCAGTACCACCAAATCAGGACGCACACCATCTCTCAGATGACAAAGATTTGCTCCTGCTCGGCCCAGTCCACATTGAACTTCATCGACAATAAACAACACGTTATGGCCCTTGCACAGAGCAGCAACCTCTTTCAGGTATCCCTTCGGTGGAGCAACAATTCTATTCAAAGTCAGCAAATGTGTCTGAGCGGTGATAGGTGGTTGAAGACATACCCAGCAGAACCCTGAATAGGCTCAATAATAAATGCCACAATCCTCTCCCCGTCAACCTCCAGCGCCTCCCTCAGATCATCAATGACACCAAACGCCACAACCTTTCCTGAAGGCGCCGTGGAACCTACATTTGGGACGAAAGGGCCAAACGCTATTCAACGATCACCATTATCGTTAGCCAAAACCTGACTTCGCTTTCATCTAACGGTAAAATGAGATCAAACGTAGGATCTTACCAGAACTCTTCTTACTCGCCAACGAAACAGTCGAAAGTGTAACACCATGATAACAAGCCGCCGCAGTTAGTATATGACATTTCCCCTCCGGAATATTCTTGCTTATATACCCCCATTTCCGTGCAATCTTTACAGCAGCATCAGCAGCTTCGGCGCCGGAGGTCATGGCGACGAATTTATCGTATCCAAAGAGCTGTCCTAGATCAGTTTCGATTCGGTCTCCAAAGAGAGGCTGGACGAGGAACCACACACGTCATGTAACTTCTTCGCCAATTTCCCATAATATGGAGAATGGAAGGGGAGGTTCACGACCGCTCCCTCAGTCATGGCTTGCACTGCCGCGGCGAGGATTTTCGGGTGCCCATGGCCCATGTTCACGACAGAATACATGGAAAGGAAGTCTATGTACTCTTTTCCGTCGACGTCCCATGCTTTTGAGCCTTTGGTGTGGGTAAGAGCTACCTATTTCTAGTTAGTTTGGCGATGGACGGGGGAATGAAGGGTAGAGAGGGGAGAGGAAGCGAACAGGATAAGGAGCAAACCCTCCGCCGACATAACTCTCGTAGTCATCGACTACTTCTTGGGTTTTCGTGCTAATTTCGTAGATCTCTTCTGTTGAACCCATGGTTGGATTTTGGTCAAGTGGCCTTTTCTCTAGGGTTTCGATTTGGATGCTGGGGATATCTTAAGGATAAGATGAGGTGTAGGTCGGTATGGCATCAGCCGGTAAGTATTGTGTTACTCTGAACCAGGAAATGTAGAGTACAAGGTATCGCAGCGTTCCTCAAGAGTGGAGTGTTGTTGAGCTGTTCGCCGATGCTTATCTATTGGTCCGCTAGCCGTGGCCGTGGCGTGGAAAGGGGTTGGGCGCTCCACAACACTTCTCAATATCTTGCGTTCACAAGATCAGAATAGCTGTATGAAGAATTTTCAAGTTATATCTGCTCGAAATTTGGAATGCCCAGAATATAATGACGATCACGAAGAGTTTCAGGTTAAATACAGGGGCTGATATGCCAGCGATTGGGTTGGGAACCTGACAGTCAACTAATGAGGGCGTGATTGGTACGTTGGACTCGGTTTCAATCTTCACGAATCAAAAACGAAGAATTGATTAGTTCGTAGCTGTGAAAGCGGCAATCCAAGCTGGATACAACATATCAACACGGCTTGGCACTATGGGTAACCCGTCCTTTCCACCCTTCACTTGAAAGTTAGACTCTGAAGAACGACAGAAACGAAAAAGCAGTTGGTGAAGGGATCAGAAGTCCAGGGGTCCTAAGAAGTGAGCTCTTTCTCACGGACAAAATTTGGGGAACGTATCATTCCCGAGCCCAAGAAGCCCTCAAGCTCAACCTCTCAGCTCTGGGCGTTGGCTACCTTGATCTCTGGCTCATGCACTGGCGCTTGCTCCTCGTGTATTTCGATGACCTAATCTCACTCCTTCAAATGCAGGTCAGTATCATTCAATTCAAAAGGCAACGACTCCGGAGTTCCCACCCTCCCAGACGGATCATTCGAGCTTGAACCCTCGTGGGAGTTTCTCAAAGCCTGGCAAAGCATGGAAACCATCCTCCTCTCTTGCCCAGAAAAAGTAAAAGCAATGGAAATCAGCAATTTTAGCACACATAACCTCGAGAAGTTCCTCAATATCGCAAAGGTTGTGCCTGGTGTAAATCAAGTCGAGCTCCACCCCTCATCTCAGGAGGAGTTGGTGAAATATTGTAAGGAGAAAGGTATTCAGCTGGTAACTTACTCGCCGCTGGGAAACCCAGACTCCCAATTATTGAGTGAGAGAGGCATTTGTGAGATTGCGGAAAGGTATGGGAAGAGGAGTGAGCAGGTTTTGATTTCTTGAGGTGTGGGGAATAGGTGGGTTTTAAGAAATGGGAAAGAAATGTCCAATGTGAGGGTAGACTTCCCCGAGCAGGATCGTGAGTAAACTTGAGGTGATTAAGTTGAGTGACGAGGAGATGGCGAAGATTGATCAGTTTGGGAAAGCACAGCCAATAAGATATCTTAAGCCGCAGTGGCACGTTTTGTCCCTTCACTTGTTCGAATGATTCTCATAATGTTTAGGGCACACGACATTTGGCATGGTGATGAATTAGGGGTAAAAATTTTCAAGTGTTGGGTGTCTGTTATAACCCAGCTGCTGGCATTGGAGCCGGATGGCCATCCAAAATATCATTCTTCTCACTTGTCAACCGTTCCACCGTTGGTTTGAACAGCTTCGGCAAACCTGCCTCCTCAAAAGGCTTGCCCTTCAGCATTCCCGTAACTCCTTTGGTAGCCAAGAGGATTTCATCCCATGGCCTGAAAATCCAGCAACGACAAGTTGTCCAGGTTTTCCAGGTACATCTCCCACATATGGCATGAAGTCAGAACTCCATACCATGACTAAATTGACCATGGCCAGCACGCCTTAAAACGGAATTTCATGTCATAACTGCCAAATGACTTACTTCTAGTCCAAATTTTATCAGTATACGCACCACTCTCTTCCCACCCCCGGAAATGCTTCTGCATGAACCCATCAAAATAATGTCTTCCATCCGATCTTGGAATCAGATAATCATACAACGAAGGTCCGTGCCTCAGCTGCAGGTATTTGAAAGCAAAGGAGAGGGTTTAAGTGCGGGGGTGGCGATACGACTACGGGTTCCTCGCACGGGGACGATTTTATCTGTGAATTGGGGAGCGATGCCCGCTGTGTATGCATTGGTTACAAAAACTACTTTCTTGGCTTTGATGGGGCCGCGGGGGGTTGCCACGGTCCAACTCCCGTCTGAGTCGGAGACTCCATGCATCCAATTTCTTGTACTCCTCGGCCATATACAGACTACCTTCATCCGTCGCAGGTTTTCGAGGTTCTTCGATTCTTGCTATCTATAACATGCGGTAGAATAGTGGTTGGAAGACACTCCAGAACGGCACGTATCCTCCAGATATGCTGAGGTATGTGTACTCCCGCTCAGCCGCCTCCATCCATGCAAAGCCTAGAAGTTTCGGTTTGATGCCTTCTGCTCTCAGCTTATCTCTCAGTCGATAATCGATAGCTTTGAAAAAGCTATCGTGGGAAACGCAGGTGCCGACTACGTCGAAGACGGCGTTCTTTTTGGTGCTGGACATAATTTCTGGCCGCCAAAGTGGGGAGGCGATCAACAGAGAAAGTAATGATCAAATGAAACGGATGGGTTTTAATAAATGAAGCAATTCGAGCAAACGAAGCCCGTCAAATTTGAAGCGTGTCCCATGAAGACGCGCCTTCCCGCCTGTGAGACGTGACGTTGTGAAGTCTCGGGAGCTAAAAGGGGGGGATCTTGCTGGCCGGTGATCACCCGGAATCATGTGGGATGCACCAACAAAAGCGGGCAACTCCGAATTAGCATCACGGCTAGATTATAGAATTATTTTCTCAATTAACAGAATTTGCCCAGTGCGTCCAGCGCCGAAGATGAGTCCCGATCTTTTGTTGACTATTTCGGCTGAGGTTTGCACCCCTTTCGGAGATCCCAAGACATTCCCGCCGCACTCGTAGAACAATTTTTGCTTGTTTCTGAAGTTGAGTGCTCCAAAGGATACCGGTTAGCAAGAGAATGGCTCACTTGCTTCCTCGAACTCAGTTTGAAGTTGCCGGAAGGACGGTCCTGATCACAGGAGGAGGTAAGTACTCCTTAACCAGGTTGCCATTTACCTCAAACTGAATTCAAATACAAAGGCTTTGGCATTGGTCGAATGCTGGCTAAAGTATTTGCTGTAGATGGAGCCAAGACTATTCTTGTAGACATAGATGAGATATCCCTCTTGGCGTCCAAGTCAGAGTCTGAGGAGTCAGCGAAAAGCGTTCAGAAAGTTGTCGAAGTTCATACGTATGTACATTTCTGAGTTACGTTTTCAAAAAGAGACTTGCTCACGTTGTTGGTTAGGATATGCGGGGATCTCCCGCGTAAAGCGGGTGTTGAAGGCATCTTCCAGGAGGTCCTTCAAAACCAGACCTTCCTTGACTTAATTATTCACTGTGCAGCACATCGGCACATTGATGCTCTTACTTTCAAGCACGGAGAAAGCCTTGAGGATCTTGAAACGGCGATCAAGTCCGCTTCTTGGGAGAGTTGGGAACACGCATTTCAGTTGAATGTCCTCGCTCCATATTTCTCGACTGCTGGCTTTATCAAGCTGATTGGCACTGCAGCCAAGAAAGGTAGTGGGAGTGGTTCTGTAATCCTTTTCAGCAGTCCCTCCAGTGTTCATAATCACCAATTCGTTCTTGCGTATCAGGCATCAAAAGCTGCAGTTGATCATTTAGCGAGGATACTAGCTGCAGAGTTTGCGCATTTTTATAGTAAGCACTCATTTTCTTCGAGCCTGGTCTCGAGTTTGACATATCAGTTCGAGTAAATTCGTTTTTTCCTTGCCTTGTACCGTCAGGGAAGAGCGATGTTAATGACCCGACTTCAAATATCCGCCTTGCAAAAGAGTTCTAAACAAGAAGTGCAGGGAGTGAAGAAGACATGGTGGGCACTGCGATATGGCTTTCGAGTAAAGCTGGGTCATTTATGGATGGGAAGACCGTCAGAATTGACGGTGGAAGGCTATTAGTACTGAAAGGAGTGATATTGAATTATGACCAATGGCCATGTAAGAATATAAACAATTTGCAAGACTTATTAGATCTATAACGACCAAGATTGCAAAGAGAGAAGGAGAGAAAACTTTGTGTATGACAGTGTTCGTATCACGTGATCACCCCTTTTCCATTCCGAATCAGGAAGAAAGCACCGCGACTTCGCAAAAACCAAAGTATTTGCTAACCTACGAGCAGAATAACACACGACAAATTCATACCAACTTCGTAGGAACATTATAACCTACTCCAATAAACAATTATATCGTGTATCCCAATTACAACTAGTGCTGTTTCACTTCCTCCCCTCATTTATCTTAAAAAAATCTCTTGAATTTCAACAAAATTGACACCTTCAGCTCGCCATCAGGGTTTGGTCGCCAAATATTCTCACTTCGTCCAGTGGCCAGGTTCATTTCCATAAGTGGTAAACATTTCATCTTCTTGTGCAGCTTCCAGGAAATAAACAACAGTACAAAAATTACAAGGACAATATAGTTGAACACAAAATTGACCGCGTGGAACGATGGGATGAGTGTAGTATAACCAGAGGTGAGAACAAGGAAGATACTGATGAATAAAACAAACCATGCCCCGTAAGGATACCACAAGGCCCGGTATGGTATGACATTGAGATCGAGGCCTTGAGCTGCGTAGGTGTTGTGACGTCAGCGTCACATGACCTGGCCCTAGCGTGGCACCCTGTACTTAGCTCGAGCTCCCCGCTCCTCTCTTCTTTTCTCTCTTTAGACGTTACATACACACCCAAAAAGAGCTGTTTACTAGACCAGGTCTTCAGCCCAAGGACGTGATAGTAGGCCTTTCACATACGGATATGAGCATACCAATAAATGCCCAGGCAACAAAGGTAGCAGCACCTCTAATATCGACGAGATATGTAAACACTTTTCCAGCGTCTACAGTGTAGTTGAGAAGAGCTAAAAGTCCCAAGAAACTGGAGAACAGGATGACGTAGATTCGAACTCCGTCGGCAGACGTCTTCGCAAAGATTTTGGGGCACGTCCCAATTTTGCCAGCGACAAAAGGGACCGCGAACAAATATAAATCGAGGAGTTGACTGAAGTTAAAAGCGCGGTGATGATGACAACGTTGATCAGGTTTCCGGCCCCAGACTTCGACGTGGCGGTGAGGAGACCCAGCGAGTTGGCAGGGACGATGATTGAACTGAAGAAAACAAGACCGATGAAGACAATCAGGACTCACCAGAAGGTCTGCTTGATCGCTTTAGGGAGATCCCGCTTCGGGTTCGCACTTTCGCCAGCTGTTAAGGCCAGCTTCTCGGTTCCGCAATTTAGTAGACTGGAGCAATTAGAAACGTCTGCCCGAAGCCGTTGATTCCGTTAACAAAAAGTCCCGGACCTTCCCAGTATCTAAATCCGATGTAATCCCCCAATGGCGCCGGTGTTGATTAGGATGGCGACCAGGAAACTGCAGAGTACAAAGAGGAATTTGAAAAAGGCCAGCCAAAATTCCACTGATTTGAGTTAATTTCCGTAATGAGAATCGTTGTGGCTGCTTACTCTCTCCGTACATAGCAACACCAAGAAGCGAAGTGGTTTGGAAAAATGCCCAAGCCATGAGGATCCAGCCGTAGTCAGGAACTCTGTCGGTCCAGAGTGTCATGACAATAGAGAAACTGTTGTATTCTCCAGCTAGATTCGTAATTCACTAAGTAAAATTAGTCACTAATTAAACAATTTACACTACGGCAGTTCCGGGTGAGTGGAGAGTGAATTTCAACTTACAAGATACCAATAATCCCGACCCAATGCAAAGGCCAACGCAGGATCGACAAATCGGCCAGACATCAGGTAAATCATCGGCCAAAATTCACGACAGAAGAAAGTATTCAAAGCCCACATACCTCAACAAAAGTGCTAGGAGGTAGACATTTCTCCAATACTCTGCATGACGAAATAGACATCGACTCCAACGATGAAAAAGCGTAGGATTGCTCCCACGGGCCCGCTGTACACTATGGCATAACTCATTCCGTGCTAGCGATTGGCCTCAACGATACTTTCGAGAGCAATCATTTGTAAGTGTCTACACTTGAGACCTCGTTGCAAGCCATCGTCCGTGATGTTGCCATTGCTGGCAACGCCTTGGCCGACGACCTCCTCCCGCGATTTCATCGGATAGTCCCGAAGATGCAGAGTCGAGCACGATATTTTTTTTCGTTTGATTTCGATTCCATTTTCGACGCCGTCAGAGAATGTTGCTTTTTCGAAACGGATTCCTGGGACAGTATTCCTTTGGTCCTATTTACCATTCATTTTATCTATCTGACTTGGATGTTCCGGCCGCTGCCTCGCCTCAGTAGAAAGCAGAGATTGGAGTCGCACGCGTCAACAAGCGAGATTCATTCTTTCTATCACCCCTTCCAGATGGTTTAGCCTTGCTGGTAAAGGTCGAAGAGCGAAGGAGGGAGGCAGCGCTTTGTGCAGAGCATTTGAAGTCTGTTGTTGACGGAATTTCGAAGGCGTTCTATGATTGGATTATGAATGATTCGGACATGGTCCTCGACCTAGGATCCAGGGAAGCAGTGACGACTGAGAGGCTAAGACAACTTCTGTTTCCGGATGGACTGTTGCCGTGGAATGGCAGGGCTTCTGAGCAATCTCCTGCAAGTAATGACATGATGAATCAGGTAGCCGATTTGGGGATTCTGCAAGGCTTCGAAAGAAATCCGTGCGGGGGAGGCGAGTGGGGTCTTGCTGACCTTCTTTACGGCACAATGAACGCCGATTCTGGATTGCCATGAATGATGACGAGTATTCCTGGGTTGCCGTCAGACCTGTATTCATGTTCTTGGTGTTGTCGTCGTCAAGTATTTTGCTCTCGTCCACAGTGAACTAGAAATTAGTACTCCGGGGCGAGGCGAGTACTGGAAGTTTAGCGAGCTTCATGGGTTCATGCCACTCCATGCCTTGTGGCATTCACTAAATTTATATGAGATGCTAAACTTGGGGAGGTTTGGCTGCCTTTTTTCAGTGTATTATCGGGCAGTGAAACTGACATCGAAAAAACAAAAACTATAAAAACCTCTTCAACATGAAACTTCCTTGCCTTTTGGAATAGTCGCTTGAATAGTCAATCATAAGTTAAAAGTATCGTTGGTGGTCTCGTAACTTTAAAGTGATTGCAGTGAGTTATACTATTCTGAGCCTGACATGCGGCGCCAGGACGCCTGAAGAATCGCTTAAAATGCCCTCAGTGGACAGACTGGTAGGCTCGTTAGTGAGACCTTAATATCATTTAGCGTATCAAGCTTAAATCCAGGGATAATTTTTGATTTCTCAACCCTTCCCTCGTATTGATTCGCTTTCAATTTGCGTGAACTTCATATACAACACCTTCGTTTGAGGGGTGATAGGGCTGAAACTTTTCATTACTCATAGAAACCCGAATTGCGCCGTCGGTTACGTAAATTCAGAGCGCTCGCAGGGTACTGTACGGATACTGACTTTAGCTCGTGTTCGGCAGGTACAACCCCTGGAGTTGATCAAATGATGCGGGCTCTTCACCTGCCTAAACTAGCAGATGGAACCAACAGAAGATCACCGTTGGCATTCGTCGCGTTGAAGTTAAAATTACACAGATCCCCCCGTTTGTTCAAAGTTGTGGTGGCCCCATCTTCCCATCTCTTGTGGAAGTCGACCGCCTGGCTGTCGACACGGCGCTCCTACATCCGACAGAATCTTATTCTGCCATTCCCCTCCTTCTCTGCTACCCATACTTCTGATACAAAGGATCTAGATCAAGGGACTCTTCTTTCCACCCCAGTTTCGCTTTCCACTGCCGGACCGTCGAATCCCTCTGCCTCATCAGCTCGGCAGCGAGTTCTTGTCGACGTTCGGAAATATGGGTTTCGAGGGCCCCGAGTATCGCGGCTGTCTCCTCCTGTCCAAGGCTTGGGCCACTCATAGACACTCTCACTTTATGGAAAAGACCCCCCCAATTTATCGGCCGCAACTCTCTCACCCCGACCGGAGCCACTGGTTCAGTCTGCTGTGCCTGCAACTCTGGCGGCGATAACGCATTTTCCACTCCCAGAAGAAAGTCATACGGTGTCCATAGCCCGAGTTCCTCCTGGTTCCTCCTCCAAGTCTTCGCAAAGTTCCCAAGATTATGTTGCTTTAGTGTTTCTCGTATAGATTTTGCTAGTTTTTCGTTCCCGTCGCCGATCTCGGTGATCTCCTGGTATACGCAGGTAAATAGCTTCCCAAGTTCGCTTTCTCTCATGGCTATAGGAGGTTAGCTTATGTTTCCAACCATATTATTAGATATACATGCCTTTAATATCAAGCCCAAGAGGAATAATAACGTCCATTTCTTTGTTCGTTCCCCAAATGGCAGTCTTGATCTCATCTTCCAGAATTTCCCGCAATCCGAGCACTATGGCAATTGTTATTAATTGGCGGCAAGTTTGGTGTTTCTTCCTCCCTTGCCAGCATCGCGGAGCTCTGCTCGGGGTAGCACTCGGGGTAATACTGCTTTGCTGATCGGCACTGGATATCGAACCCGAGCTGGACCGTGGTTTCATGCTGTTCTCTTGACTCTTGAATGGATCTGGGATGCACTGGTATTTCCACAGCACTGTACAGTGTCTTGCCAGGCCTTTCGGGTCGGGGTCTATATCGGGCTCTTGCTGTTGAAGTTCCTTCACAACCCAGTCGACGGCAGCGCAGTCGATGTCAGTACTGAAATCTACCTGTAGTGGTATTTCTTGCTTTACGCCTTTCTCGTCGATCAGTTTCCTCAATCCCAGAGACCTGGACCTGAGAAGACCTGGCTGGGATATTCGCACATCAGATCCCCTCTTACCGGAGCCGTCAGAAATGCGGAAGACCGCTCCGGCTGTTGAAGGCCCTTCTTCCGTTCCTTGCGGGTCATGCGGCATAGCTGAATTGCAATAAGTTCACGATGTTGTTTTCGCGAAGCCCCATGGAAGGCGATTCCTTTGTTCCCTACGTGCTGCGGTTGGAGTTCGAGGTCATGAGGCTGGCAACCAAACCTCGCAGGCCATTCCTGCCTGGAAAGCAAGCGGTACGGGCGCTGTATTCCTCCCAGACTGAGGGGGCTGAGGCCCTATTCCTGGGCCAATGATCCGATTCGGATTGTGCCACTTTATCAGCGGCGGCGAAATGTTCAGCGCCCGCTGTTCGTTCAACAAAGTCACCGAAAACGCGCAACGCGTAGGGTGGTTGAGTCAACGAAGTTTCAAGGCAGCAGCGCTGGATTACTCTTTTACCACGCCGATATTAGCAGGGGTCCCTGTGTTCAGATGTGGGGTGACCTATTCCGGACGCGGGACAGGCGAGGCCCTGGAGCCATGGCCATTTCTCGTATTCCCACTTTCCACCAAATCTTCCACTACTTCTCAGTTTTCTCAGTTGGAGATACCGAGCTATGTTACTTTCAATCCAAGACTCCAACTGAGCTCTCCTCATTCATTTATTGCTTACAAGTGTTGGTGGGAGTTCAAAACAGTTGACGCCAAGTTGTCTTCTGACGGGCTCTACCGCTGTCACACTATGGTGGTGGAGGTGGCTGCGAATGCCGACCAGTGAGAACTGATAACGCTTTCCTGCAAAATGGAACGACTCGAAAGCGGAAGTCGGAGACGAGAGATGGGAGGCAGTGCTACGAACATGCAGGGCATTTGTCACGAATAGCTCTTGGGCTTGCGCAAAAGAAACAAGGCTCGGAGGCTCAAAAGTATTGGTCTCTCTTGAGCATCCAGCCTTGTGGCCTTTGATGAGAAGCTTTTGAAGCTTTCACCCACCGTCTGATTCTTCTTCCTCTCTTCTTCCTTGTCACTTTTTGAGTTTCTCCCATTTCGATACCACCGCCAGAATGGAGACCTTTACTGTTGATGTTGCTCCACCAGGGCCTACGCGGTATACCAATATTACAACTGAAGATCTTCATACAAGCCCACAACTCTATTTCGCGGTGCGGCACGACTTCCCTTGCCCATTGCGTGTCCAGATACTAGCAGGAATATCAGCTAACGCAGTCGCACAAAGGGGTCCGATATTGTATGGATGCTCATCTCGTCCGCATTAGTTTTGATGATGGTACCTGCTATGTGCCTTTTCTACTCGGGTGCCTCAAATCGACGTTCATCTTTGACGCTATTCCGTCTGCCTCTCATTACTGCTGCACTTATTGGATTTCAGGTGTGCTAGACCCACAACACTACACTAGTCCCTCTGCATCCTCTGACTATACTAGTGGTATCTCTGGGGGTATAGTTTAGCATTTACTCCTGCCGTCAAACCTCCTTCACCTGGTGTTTCTTGGTATGGTGGGGACCCACGAGGCGTTGCGCTGCACGACAGTCTCGCAAGACCAGTTGGCGCCGACGGCGCCAAAATCCCCGAACTTCTCTACCAATTCTATGAGGGAATGTTCGCATCTTTCACGTAAGAAAGATCCAGTCTTGTTCGATCATGGGATTGCTGACTCTTCCAAGTGCAGCTTTAGTGTGCGGAGGGACTATTCGCGATGTACGCGTCGGACGATTCCTGGTATTCATAACGTTCTGGTCGCTTCTCGTGTATAATCCGGTGGCTCGATGGTCATGGCACTGGGCCGGCTGGTCCAATCAACGCGACGTGATGGATTTTGCTGGCGGAACAGCGGTACACATTACCTCTGGTACAGCAGTGCTCGCTTTCTATATCTTCTATGAGCTTGATACGAAAGGGTTCTCGACGTGCTGGGCAGGCTTCTGGAGGATTTTTATGCGGCACATGAAACCATTCGTCATTTTGGGACTTTATCGAAAGAACCCAGGTCCACCGCGAAGAATTGTCCAGCCTGGTGAAGACCATGACGACAACTCCGAGGAACATGAACTGGAGAATCGATCCTCAACTAGCCATCAAGGTCCGAAAAAGCAAGTTGCCCTGCATGCACTTGCTGATCCCGAAGCGGCTCTCCCACCTACGGACGACCAACCCGCCCCATTAGTCCGTGGTCTGGAGGACGATGATCCACCTCACAACGTGAACAACATGATCTTGGGGACTGCCTTGCTCTGGATCGGATGGTTTGGCTTCAACGGCGGGTCGGCTCTGGGTGGCAATATGCGGGCTGTATCAGCTTGCGTCTCAACGCATGTGGCAGCCTGTGCTGGCGGAACAACATCACTTTTCTTCTTCTGGGCATGGAATGCATTTGCCAGAGCAGTAGACAGATACCTGGGCGAACCGGGAGAGCAAGAAAATAAAATCCCTTCTGTTAGTGTGACGCAGTTCTGCGATGGTGCGGTCATTGGTCTTGTTGCAATCACACCTGCCGCAGGTTATGTAGGTCCTCTTCCTGCAGTCGATAGCCGGTCGCGCTAAAAATGCTAGGTGCCAGTATGGAGTGCTGGAATATTCGGGGTTGTGTCGGCTATCGCAGTCAATTTGCTAAAGCGGTACACCAAAGGTCTCCTGAAAGATGATCCTTTGTTTGTTTTCAGCATCCACGCAGGAGGGGGAATGGTCGGTATGTTCCTCACAGGTTGCTTTGCGGAGTATGTTCCCCGTTCTCTTTACTCCTGGAAAGCGTGCTAACGCAAAGGTTTGTAGTCCTGCAGTTGTCGGACTGGACGGATATTCAACAATACCAGATCGTACTATTGCTGGAAGACTTCGGTAAGTTGCTCGAAATATTCTCGAGCAATGTGACGCTAACTTTCTGTAGATATCAAATGCTTGACGCATTTGCAGGGTTTTTTTACACTCTTTTCACCACTTTGGCAATTTTGTTTTGCCTGAAAGCTGTTCGGTCCATATTCAAGGGAAAGTGGATGGCTCCAGTCTTCACAGAGACCAATACAAACCGGAGATGGAAGTTGGAGGCTACTCCTCAGCATTCATGGAGGCAAACGAGTTAGCCATACCATCGATATCTGAGAGGTTCATCCCTTATTAAGCTACGGTGTGGTAGCAGATATGATACTTGTATGATAATGAATGAACGATCGAGGGGTGCCAATGTCATGTACTCCCAAACAGAGCACTTGATGGATGCGAAGCAGAGGTTTACAAGACAAAAGATCAGAGTTGAGCACAGAACCAGAAAATCGATCCATCACCAGAAGCTGAATTTTTATCATAGCATAAGGCTGTGGGTTTGCAGGCATAACTTTTCTCTGCAGAGAATAGATGTTAAACACTGCACTTTGCCACGATACAACATTGCAGCACCAAGGAAACGGGAAGAATAGCATGCACAACTGCCTAACGCCCGGTAATGCACCTGATCTCAAGCCACATGATACCGGAGCCTAGTTTTATTTCAGCGGTGATGCCTGAGCTTCTCCTTCGGGCGTCCTTGGGCCAGCCTTGACGAGAGCCTTGGCCCAACACTTCAAACTTTTACGCCCCCGCATGACTCCTAGCAGCCAAAAGCGACAAAGATCATTAATTTATGTGTTAAGAATTCGCCACATGACGTTTCATCGCATGGAAATTAAGTGGGTTGGTTGATCTTTGCACATGTTGGACGATGAATTAGCCGCGTTAATCTTGGGCTGCCTCCAAGGCGGCCTCAGAAGACGGCTGAGGAGTATCGAGCTATTTTTGTACTCCAGCACCCGCACCTGGCAGTCAATCATTTGATCAAGGCTGAAACCGCCAAGAAATACCACCTTCACTGGAAAGCTTCTCTGTAGCATTTGCTGCGTGAGGGAGGGGAGGGCAATCTTTTAGAAGTGACACATGAATAATCTGCTCGTCATCACGAGGTGAAGTTCTTACACTTCCGGCAAAAAGCAAACCATTGACCTTACCCTCTTACGTCCCTGATGGCGAGACGGATACGTCGATCCCGCCAGGTACAAATCGTGGCACACTTCCCCACATTGGAACGACATTCCGACTGCAGGCCTCTCCATCTACATCAGTGCCATATTCTTCCCTGTAAATCCTAACATCACTAAAACATTGTGCACAACACCACTGAAAAAAATTCAGGACACAATCACCAGTGGAGTCTTGATGCTGAAATGGTGCATATTGAATTCTCATAGTTCTCACTCCGGATTCCATTTCTTACTAATTTGGTATCTAGGACTTCCTCTCCGATACCGAATACAGCTGCCTTCTTTGCGAGAAGAGGTTAAATGTCTACGACGCTCGCCAATGCTCCGACTGCGGCGGGAAAGGGGATCAGTTCGATCCCTATTATTGTATCACTTGCGAAGAGGAAAACTGCACGACCAAAAGATTCTGTAAATTACATGAAACCTGCTGGGATAAACATCTTCCCAGGGCAGCAAAACTCGCACAAGCTCACCAAATGGTTGACCCGCTTTCACAATTACTCGTCGAGGCTATCACTCACTCGGAAGCCAATCCCCAGAAGCAAAAGAAGATGCACCAGAGGGATGAAGAAGCTCGATGGTTCAATATGAGACGGGACCACACGATAGGCAAACCGGAACTCTACGTCTATGATCGCTTCATTCAGCTCTGCGACCCGTCTAGGTCTGGAAACAGAGCTACTAAGCGTCATTATCCCAGTTTCGTCTCGTTCGTAGGTGACACTTCAGCTGGGAAGTCCACTCTCGTCCGGGCCATGCTTCTTATGGGAATCGTGAAATCGTCGCCATTCCTTTCTTCCGAAAATGGCCGGGGTGCTGCTCAGAATGGTGAGGCTCTGGTTGATGTGGTCAAACGAATGAACGAGAGGGGGAATGATGGACCTGTTACTCGTTCAGGGAACATCAACCACTTGACAGATCCCACAACGTTGGGTGTCCACTTGTATCTAGATCAAGGAACTGCGATGGAACCTGGTGACTCATCTGCACCAATACCAGATGCGCAGTATCCGATTCTCTTCTCTGACTGCGAAGGCTTTGGAGCCGGAGAGGCCATGACCAATGCGGAAAAAATGGAGTCAGTGGATGAAATCCCTGACTTGCGAGGAAGAGAGTTTGGGGTCTCCCGCAACCGATCGCCCTCAAGAAGAGATCAGTTAGCGCTTCAGCTCCAAGTCAAACCCCACTGCTACAGTCGTGGCAAGGAAGGAGTTGATCTCTTCTACGCCAGATTTCTCTATGCCATCAGCGACGTCGTTGTTTTCATCACAAAAGAAGACCAGAGGATCCGAAGCGAACTTGTCCGTGTCTTAGAATGGGCTTCGAAGGCTGTTCACAAGTCCGTCAACCACCCTTCTCGGAAGACACTGATCATTGTCCGACACATGGCAAGCATCCATGAGCCAGCTCTCTATGATGCCGAAGATTTAGGACGACGGTATCTCTATAGCGACCCTGACAAACACCTGTGGGAAGAATCCACAATTCTAAAAGAATTCGTGGAAGACTATAACAATACAGTTGCCAGGTATGACTTGAGAATTACAAGCAACGACAGGCTCTACAGAGCACTTTTTACCAAAATCACTTGTTGTTACATTCCCAACAAAGTCAAAGTCAAGGGAAGACCACAGGAGCTGTACAAACAATATCGAGCTTTACGATCTCTGATCGAGTCCTCCGTCAGAGAGGGACTGAGTCTCAGAGCAGAGAGCGTCATGCAGTACAATGTCCCGGCATTATCTCACATTCTCACTCGAGCTTTTGAACACTTTGCAGCATCCGAAAACCCGTTTGACTTCTACCTCGCTGCTCGACTAGATAACCCAAATCCTCAGTCAATGCAAGACCACATTGCGAACTTCCTGCGGCATGCCTTTGAATGTGGAGGAGACATTCAAACGGTAAATGACATGGTTATCAAGATCGTTTCCATTGCGCTTCTCATCTATACACACCACAATTTTCGGCTAGGTTTATCCCCCCTAATTTCGCCATCACGAATGAATCAAAACTGACCTGATCACAGCACCAAATCCTGCCGAGATATTTGATCGTGACTTGTTGGAGATCTGGACTCGCTCTGTCGAGATCTATCGAAAGGAGTACGAAAAATGCGCATTTCCATTTCGTGACGGCCCGTGTACTTCTCGACCGGCAAAACTTCACCATCAGCACACTTCAGCAAAGGGTCAGTTCCAACCCGGTCCTTTCCAGCATGAAAGGGAGTGGAGCTCAACTCGAAGGAACGAATGGGTAAATAACCTGCGTAAAGCATTCTCGGATTCTTATGAAAAGATCTTCTTGGCAAAATATCAGACGGGACCTTCCACCACAATCGAAGAACGTGTGGCTAATGAACTCAGTCTGAGCAAAGAACCGACTGGGACTCCCACTACAATCGAAGGACGTCTTGCTGCTGAACGTAATCTTAGTCGAAAAGGCTACTATGAGATATGGAAGAAAATAAAAAGTAACAAGACTTGTCTTTCTTGCCTCCAAGCCGTACCCGACCATGTTCTACGCTGCGGGCATTCTTATTGCCCTCGGTGTGTCCAAGAGCTTGGAACGCCTTCCTCAGCTTCAGAATGTGCATGGATAATGCACTGCTGGCTCTGCTGGGAAGAAAAGGGAGAGAGCCCACATCAAATACAGCTGAAACCTAGATGCGCTGGCGCAAGGATTCTGACGCTTGATGGAGGGGGAATTCGCGGTATCATTGAGCTCTCAGTGTTGCAAGCTCTTCATAAAGAAGTAGGTTTAGGGGAAGCTTTCTCTCTCAGAGATATGTTTGATCTCATCGTTGGCACTTCAACGGGTAAGCTCCAACACGCCAATCTAGTTCTCGAGGAGGAGGTAACTAACTTGAATCCCACATAGGTGGCATCATCAGCTTAGGACTGGCGATGTCGAATGCTTCCATCGCCGACATGGTTGCATTCTTCACTGGGGCATCAGAGAAAACGTTCTCTAAAACAACCGCCGGGATAATCTCCCGAATCGGACCACTCAAGAAGCTAACAACATACACTCTCATGATTCTTCGACTTACTGAGAGTGTTTTCTCATCAGAATCACTGAAGAATAGTATCAAAACCTTCTTCGAGGAATACCATCCTTCCGACACAAGTCTTTTCGCACCCGCGCTTCACAGCCAGCCCTCGAGTGCTCGCGTTGCAGTCACATCTGCCAAGGACCTGGGACAAACAACTTGCTTGATCACCAGCTACAACCACCCACTGGGCAACCCAGCCAACAATCTTGAACGAGAAGAAGATTCCGAGAAAGACATGAAGATCTGGGAAGCTGCGCTCGCCACCTCCGCCGCTCCCTTCTACCTGCCACCATTCGAGAAGAAAGAGACGAACACGCAATACGTTGATGGCGCAGTATACGCTAATTGCCCTGCAGAAGTGGCATACGGCGAGCTGGAGAAGCTCTGGCCAGATAAGGGCGCCTCTCTGGACTACCTCGTCTCACTTGGAACCGGGGACCAGAAAGCAAAGGATGCTGAGGCTCCTACACTCGTGAATCTGGGCTTCTTTATCTCGGTTCGAGCCATGTTTCAGAGACAGCTGGATTCGAAAAGCTCGTGGGCGAAGTTCGAGCAGCAGACTACTCCATTCAATGTTCGATCAAGGCTCCATCGCCTCGATCCTCCTTTGCAAGGGGAGCATGTAGAACTGTACGAGTACAAAAGACTGCAGGAGCTCAAGGATCTGGCCACAGAATGGACGAAAACCACAGCAGCGACGAGAATCCAGGAACTTGCAAATACTCTCATTGCGAATTTGTTCTTCTTCGAACCAGATGATATCGAGGCTGCACACTCGCCGATCGCATCTCAAAGACTCCGCCCTGACCCGTCCTGTATAGAATTAGCGGGCTCCATCCGCTGCCGTCTCAGTCATGAGAGTCCTCAACTGGAGAAACTCCTCGGCGAAATGGTTGAGGGGTTCTATTCTTCCGCGATGAGCTCGGACAACACGGCGGACGTAGGAAGAATTCAGAATTGGACGAAAGTAGATCATCCGCCGAGACAGGAAAGCTTGCTCGACGTTGTGGGCTTGGAACCTCAACATCGAGGCAATGATGCTAAGAAGAAGTTCCGTCTACCGTTCACATTTTTAGTCAAGAAGCATAACAGCGTGTTTCAGGTACTGGCAATAAAATTGAAACGGAGTGAAAAGAAAATTGCAATTAGCGGGTTCCCATCGACGATTGATGATCTCCAGAGGAGGTCGAAAATGAAGTGGCTGCAGTAGCTTGAGTGAAATTCCTCGGTTGAGGCATTCGAATAATTGGAGGAGGATGTTTCAGCCTTCATTTTGAAAGAAAGACTTGAAGAAAACGAGGGAATTTCCATATCTCTGTGTGTTTTTTCTTCAGTAGTTCCGGTATATTCAAAGAAAAGATCGCGCACAATGAGCTTCCAACGCAAATAACCGGTACTAAAAAAAAAATGCCGCCGTGAATAGTGAAGCCATTTTGAATATCGAATGAAACCAATTGAAAGTACTCATATCCAAGCACAATATATCTCAATTCCAAAGCCTCCATACAAGGCAACGTCATGAGCAAAGAAATCCTGGGTTGGTCGAAGCCGAATGGAGTCCCGTGGCGAGATACTCGTGAGCCAATTCAAGATCCCTTGAGGTCCAAGGCTCGCTCTGTCCCTCATGGAGACTGGCAAATACCAGGTTTGCACCCAGCATTTGTCAGAAAAAAGATCGTCAGAGAAAGGGTTGACAGAGAAAGGATTCGTATCACGAACTTCGAATGATTCGGAAGGGACCATGATTGCCTCTTCTTGTGCGAGCCCGAGACCCTCTTTTGCCTGGTCAATAAGCGAGACCCCTCCTGTATCCACAGGCTGCCGAACCATATCCAGTATTGGAGCGGCTGGAATATCTGGTGTTGACCGTCTCAAGGAATTCGGATTGGTAGGCCAACTATAATATATTTTTGGAGTATACCTTGATCTATTACTCGAAGGCCCAACGACGATGCTACTGGTGTAGTAGCTCATGCCGAAAGAGTCCGAGTCAGATCTATAACTCGAGCTGAAGACGTAAATTGACACCTTTCGAAGCTCCCCATCCGCGATCGGTACAGATACCTCCACTCTATCCCGGGGAACCGAGGACCGAAACAAGGTATCTCGACGACGAGCTTCCCGGAAACTAGTCACTAAGTCGCTGGTTTTAACCCAGCATTCAGCAAAGTCAACGATCAATGTTGACAGCTTGACATATATCGACTCATGATACCTCGATGGTCTGGAATATTTTTTTAAGCAGAATCGCAATATGAACGAGGTATGCAGCGCAACTTTTGGCGACCGAGGCTGATACTGTTCCTCGTATGCTGACGTCGAGTCTTTTTGAGTTTTAGGTTCCTTCTCCATGGAGGTAGACAAAAAGCGTCGATCGTTCTCGGAAAGTTTCGACGCGGCCGCATCGCCTTGCAGAATAGACTTCACAGTCACCCAGTGACCCCGCAACAACGCAACTTCTAGAGCCGTTGGTCCTTTGGGATTTACTTCCACGGCCCCTAGAGCTACAAGTGCTTTCGAGATTCTTCTGAGGCAGTAGCCATCAATGACTTCTAAATCTTCGGCAAATCCAGTTTTAAGGACAATATCTAGAGCAGTTTTCCCTTCGCTGTCCGTTTCCTCGATTGACGCGCCGCTTTCTACCAGCCAAATTACCATAAATGCTTTTATCTTGCGCACTACTCTTGCAATATTGTCTTCGTTCAACTCTGATGCATGACAGGCAAGTGATTCCGTATCACTTCCAATTGACTCGGTAGCAAAGTAGCTGTTCCAAGAGTGCAGCCAGGTTTCGACTTCTGCTCGAGTAGATGGCATGAAAGCCTCCTCTGTGGAACCTGAATGGAGTCGCCGGTGGTTTGGGAGAGCTCCAGCAGTGAGCATTCCTCGGTCAAAGACTAGACGGGCATATGATTGTATGTTTATTGAGGCAGCCAGGTGAAGTGCTGTTCTCCCAGAGAAAGACTTTGTGTTAAGGTCGCCTTTGGAAGAACGTTTCAAAAGTTGTGGAAGAACACTGGGATGGAAGCCAGCAGTGGTACAGGCTGCATGTATTGAAGTTGTTCCGTTATCCAAGGTTGGTACACCCACCGGAATCCCTAAATCGAGAACTTTGGGAAGGATGGAGGGGCTGTTTCGCGCTGCATATCGAGCGATTCCATATCCGAATACACTTATTAAGAGCGTATCTGCGCCATTTTCAATGGCATATTGCAGCACATTCGGGGCTTCTCCATGGGCTGCGAGCATCGCAGGTGTTAGACCGATGGGGTCTCGTTCGTCTTTATTCTTTCCTCTTTCACATTCTAATCTTACAACATCGAGAAAGTCGAAGAATGAAGTAATTCCAATCGGCGTCGAATAGTTTCCATTAAAAAAGATCTCTGTTCTCCAGCATTGCCAGCGGGTGAACAGACCACTCGGGGCAAGCCAGAGATTATGGAAGAGAGAATCCTTGTCGGCGAATCTCCAGGCATATGGCGATTCTGGAGATCTGAAGAGAGTTGCTTGAGTGCCTTCTTCATGAAGTCCATCAAGAAGTTGAAACAGTTGCATCCACCGCACAATACATTTTTGGCTTGATGTAAACGACCGAATTGTGTTTCCTAGTGCCTCTGCAGTGGGTCCTGGGCCGCTCTGGGGTAGAGATAGATGCTTCCACCAGTTTAAGACACAGTATTGTAGAAATGGGTATCGGGCCAAGTGTTTGTCCAGGTTCCTGTTGTATACTCGTGGGTCTCTATCTTCTGGAACAAACTCGATATCCTCAATGGAGAGGTAGGTGAGACACACACTCGCACAGTAAGGGTTGGTGACCTCTGGGGTGAAAGCAGGTTCTTCACCTTCCATGAACTTGAAGTGTGAGGCAGGCCGAGTTGATCGTGAGAAGAAATCAACAGCCGAGGCGTGGACAAAGCGAACGGTGCCTTTAGCTTCATCAAGCTCAAGCAAGGGACTGCAAGACTCGCGAACAAACTTCTCGAGATTGAGAATGTTATTCGGATATTTCTGTCGATTATCGCCAGGGGTTATTGATAGAGCGATTTTCAACTGTTCCAGTGACAAAGGTCGGAGGCTGGAAAATGTCCATTGGATCAACTTGCACGCGAGCTTATAACGGCTTTGCGGAAGCTCTTGTAAACGGCGAACGAGGCGCTCATAAAGCGCTTCAAGATCTTTTGGGAGATTCTTGAGAGCTTCGATGGTATCTTCGAGTGTTGCTTGCTGGGACAAGTATTCGATGGTGAGTTTGACCCAGAGAAACATTCCGTTAGCTTTAGCGATGAGCAGAATAGATAATTTATCGACCAATTCGGGGTCCAGGTCAAGCTCCTGAGTTTTGCTGTCGACGAATAGTGAGATATCTCTAGAAGTATGGGTTGTTGCAATGTCAAGAGTCGATGTCATTGAACCAAGAGGGAAGCATTGTTCGATCCAGGTCATCCAACGACTTATCACCAGCAGCTTGGCGTGTGAAGATATGTGGAACATGGCTTTCGAGATGTCACTGTACTTGCCGCGGCACTCGTCGAGTCCATCGATTACAATGTAGCACGGCTCTCCATCCTTCAAAATTCCTGCGAGTGCCCTTTTATATGATTCGATAGGGGTGGCGGCTCCTGCGGTTTCAAGGAAGATGTCGTAAATACCGTCTGCAAAATGTGGTTTCTTCAGAACCAACTGCCAGGTCAAAGTTTTTAAAATCCTCGTAAAATCACTTCTATCGGGATCTTCGACATTGCAGAAGAAGTAAGCTGTTGGCTGGTCCACGCTAAGTTGATCAATGATACTCGCGGCGAGCGTGGACTTGCTACATCCGGGTGGACCTCTCACCCAGAGGTCAACATTTCGGCGGCTGCTGCTTCTCCACGCGAGAAACTTGGATTCCTGATTAATCCATTGGCAAGTATTTTCGAGGCGTAGATCCCGGATTCGATTGTAATCATCAACCATGGGAAGCGGGTCCAACCATTTATTCAACTCTTCTCTGTACCGTACTGTTCGCCGCTTCTCAGCTGATGACTTTGAACAAAAATTTCTGCACTAGGCTTACTTAACGGGGGATCCAAGATAGCAGTTGTTTCTGCATTTGCCCTAGCCAAGTTCACAACTGCGCTGCTGAACGAGATCCATTTTTGACTTGCAGGATCCGAGAAGTGGCACATCGTCCTATGATCTGCTTTTATGGGTAGGAATATCTCGTTTGAGACATTCAAATGAGCAGATTCTTTTTCAACAATCTTCGGGGTAAATCGATCAGAAGCGCTCAAAGGAACGAGTGGGGTTTTTGCTTACGCGGCAATTCAGCAAAGGGAACTTCTCAGTCTCGTAGAAGCTGAGTATATGCATGAATCGAGATTGAAGAACAAACTTTTGTGACAACGATCCCAGAAACGATGAGTCTTTTCGAAGGACACCTAGTAGATCTTTGTTGGTTCTCGTACCAAAGCTGACGGCGTTGATGAGGTTCCCAGCGTATGACGCCCAGAAAGCGATATCAGAGCCTCCATGAGGGGTTCCCATGAAGACAACGCCATGAATTCTCTCCAGTAGATGTCGGTATTTTTGGTCATTGTTGCAGAGTACCAATGCCTACGCAACCAAGTTTAGCCCATTTCTGAGACGAGAAGCTGCCTTTCAACCCACCTGCTTGAACAACAATCCTCCCAAACTATGGCAGATGAACACGACCCGTCGTGTTTGCTCTGCGTTACTGTTGCGGACCGAGTTGACACGATGAAGGAAGTCTCGTGCAAAATCATCGACCTCCGCTGAAGATTTTGAGAAGGCTACGGTAGAATCGTATCCGTATGTGAATATTCTGGCTTCGGGGAGCTGCTCGGGAAGAAGATCTCGGAGCCAGAGCTTCCCATTATCCGTCCAAGTTCGAAACTTATCACCTCCTAGACCATGGATTGCAAAGATGCTGCCTACTTGTTAGGACAAGATAGAATGTGACCAGGCTGCAGCGCAGATCGAACATGCTCGATACAATTCTCTTCGTCAGGACCTTTAGTGGCAAGGGGCCAGAGCCCTTGCTTCTCTGACTTTGTAAACAAAGGCATGTTTGAGTCTCGCCTCAAGATAGCATTTACGCTTCGCAATGGCATCGGAAGATGATAATGTTGATGGATGCAAAGCTGAGGTGCAGGCTGCATCACGTGCCAGTGGCTGAGCAAGAAAACTAAGGAAATGGCGAACAGATCGAGTCTTTGCGAGAAGCCTACAGCGCTCAGTACAATCGTCGACCTCAATTAGTGCCAGATTTGTAGGCCATCGGTTCTGAGTTCAAATATATAAATTAAATGTAAATCTCTATTTCTCAAGCTCCGTTGGGAATTGCTGTGAGATTAAGACCACATGCAGGCCACTTTCAAAATCTCAAACTTCGAGAAAATCGTGGATAGGGAAATTGAAGTAATTTCAAGATGTTATTACCGAGCAATTAGAGAGTAAAAGATGGAAATATATAGACAACGCTAATTAATTTTGAGAACAACTATTGTCTAGAATGTGTCCAAAGGCACTTGAAGCATAATACCATTATCTCAAGGAAGTATAAAAGAACTTTGCTAGTTTTAAGTGTGCAGCGAGCTTGGGGAAAAGACTGTTCCTTTTAAGTTTAAGAAAGAAGTCTAAGAGCACTTATAAGGAGGTTAATAGTTAGGTGAGTGGTAAATTCTAGTTTTAAATTGGACGTGCAGAAGCACCTCACCTAATGTACTTTATATACGCTTATAAATGTTGTTTTAGGAACTGAGTGCCTTGGGGACATTAAACAAGTATAATTCAGAATGAAGCCGCTTGTTAGAAACGGGACAAGAGAGTCCGAATCATCCTAGAGCCAAGGGCTTTGACAATGATGGGGAGAATTTCAAAGCAAGAAAGAGGCTTTCAAGGACAGAGTAGAGAGCACTTGCATGCCAAATAAAAGAGGGATTAATGGCATGTCTAATAATGTGGTTATATAGGCGTTTGGCAAATGTATTAAAGCCACAGTAGCCACTCCGTACAATAGAGGAGGGACTGCATTACCGATCTGGCGTGTTGTCTCTCTTCTTCTAAGATCAGCTGCCTTATTAAAAGCCTGATTTAGACTTGTCGAAAGCTGGTGTGGCAAAATTCTCACGTGACAATAAAATGTCACTGTTCCAAGATTAAAGACTCCTTTTACCTTTTCTACCTTTTCTACTTCCTCCTTTCCTTAAGGAGGATATGGGGGGTCTCCCCAAGATTAAATACTCTTATCTTCTTTTACTTTCTCTTTTCCCTAGAAAGGCCTTTGAGGATCTTTCTGTAATAGTGGGCAAATCCGCATAATCTGCCGCAAATATTACATGAGAGGAAACGCGGCTAAAACGAGCAAGTGACCCAGAGATTGGCGAAGGACTACTAAAGGTCGAGGCATTCCCTTCTCCTTTACTCTCTAGCTTAGTATTTTCAATACATGAGATTCTTTAAACTTTGTACTTCGACTATTGCATTGATCCCGCCATGACATATCCCTCAAAAATAGATACTCTTTGTTAACGAAGTCCTCTTTTAAAAGAATACTTTCTTCGTTACCCCTCCACCCCCCAGATCGCAATATACTATTTGCATTTGCACCTGCTTATGCGGCCCCTAGTAAAGCAGTGAGTGAATGCTTTGCACAGGAGGTTTGACAGCATTCACCCAGGCATACCCTATTTCCTTCCTCACACCCAAGGTCTCTGCACTCGATGTGCCTCTTCCGAGCAGCGATAAAGACTCATCCGTGTGCGGGACTCAATTTAGCAACCCATTAACAGAAAAACTCGCACACAAATCGACGCTGCTGCCCTACTCAGCTTTTCTTGCACAACACAGCCCAAATTTCTGCTCACACTTCTCCTATCTTTAGGAGCTTAACAGATCACAGCCCACAATAATGTAGCATATATTCTTTGCTTGTTTCACCTCGTCCGACGAAAGTTAAATCCTGACTGCAGGTCATCGGATCTATACACCGGATGAACTCTCAATAGTAGAGAATGACAACATAATCATTATAGCACACTTAAGCAAGTCAGCTGCCATCTCTTACAACTTTCTGACACAAGGGGAAAAACACAAGTTCTAAAAATTACAAGACATGAAATGTAGAAGCAGAGTTTGTCAGAGTCGTGGTTGATGCAACAGAGCTAATGAGTAAAGAGCCTGCACATGCTGGTCCAGCATTCCTTGATGGAGTCTTCCATCGTGCTTTGGATGCTTTAGAAGAGGTATGTGTTGTAATCAGGACGGGGGGTAGGTGTGGTATGATTGAGGTTGGCTACTATCGGTTCCACAATTGTCAGGTTGAAGGGCAAGCCAGCAGCAGTTATCCTACACTACCAACCTACAAATTCCTCCACATTATTATATTGAATCATTCTCAATAACCCGAACCCGAAAAATACAACAGCTATCTCAACTCGGCTCTCTCCAAACTACGCTCCTTCTTTCCTTCCTCCCCTTATCGCTCCAAGTCCTCAGCAGTAAAATCGATACTCAACCTTATTGCAAAACTAGACGTCGGTTATTGATTTATTAATATACCTTGAAAATGCAATGGATCGCACAACGTCTTAGGGAACGTATCGTATCGCGCGCGCGGCAGAGGCATTTCAAACTAAGTTCTAGGCGGGGCATCGTTCACCTGAAACCTGACGACCAATTGAACACACATGGAAGATCTCTTCCTTGTGTGTGATTCATATGAAGGGAATCATGGGAGATTAGATGAAGTGCTTCTTTCTTGATAGCAGCCCTTCGTCCGGTCAAACTATGGGACGATAAAAGATGATGCTTGGAAACGAATTATCAGCGCTTGGCCTCTCTCCTGGGCACTATCTAACATCAGAAATGGAAAAAAATATGTATCCGGTCATGTCGTGTCATTCCTTTTGGCTATAGGATCGCCGGTTCTCATTGTGCTAGACGGAAAATTGGACACTCGACATTCCTGGATTTTGAGCACCTTGGAGTTTAAGATAGCACAGTTCTGAAAGAGTTTGTGTTTATTTATATATGCTTGAAGCCCCAATGCATCATTCAATTTTTCTAATATACCAAAGGCTTGGAAACATTGAAAGGCTCTCAATGTCCCAACGCTTTCTGGGATATGGAAGGAGTTGAAAATGAAAATAAAAAAATCACTTGATTGTCCCAGATGTACTTGGGACATTGTATAGCCCTTCCTCCATGCATCAAAGGACCGGGCTTAGCAAGAGAAAAAGAAGATGCTAATTTACTCCATACAGCATGCAATGCACCCCTTACCATCCTTCATCCCCTCTCAACGCCTCTTTTTTCCAATATTCCCACTTCTCATCCCCTAGCAACTTCACTTCTTCGCCCTCTCCAATGCCCACCTAACAGCCTCCACCTCCTCATGCAGACCCAGAATCGGCGGTTCCGGGCCCAAAGGCGTGACGCTAAACGGGTTAATCTGCGTATGACTCTTCGTATAATGCCTCTTAATATGCGTGAACTCTGTCGTCTCCCCGAACGCAGGAACCCTCCAGTAGAGGTTGCGGAGCCACTGGTGGAGGTACGGGTAGTCGGCGCGGATTGTTTTGATGTTGGTCTTGAAGTGCTGCACATAAACGACATCAAACCTCACAATCGTCGTGTAAAGCCTCACATCCGCCTCCGTGATTTCCTTCCCAAAATAGTAAGGACCTTCCTTCTCAGTCTCCTTCAGATGTTTCTCCACACGATCTAAAGACTTGAACAAAGTGATGACAGCTTTTTCGTAAGCTTCCTGCGTAGTAGCAAAGCCGGATTTGTAGACGCCGTTGTTGATGTCGTTGTATGTCCAGTCATTCGTCTCCTCGATCTGCGTCTGCAGCGCTTCGGGGAAGAGCTTAACGTTCTTGTACTTCTCGGGGAGGAGGTCGTCAAACTGCCAACCAATTAGCCAGCTTCCTCCAAAAGTGAGGAAAAGCGAGAGGCAAGGGACGTACTTCGCTGTAAAACATCCTGATAATCTCACTACTCTCATTACTAACAATCTTCCCCTGCTTGACATCATACAGCGTCGGCACCGTAAAGCGTCCCTCATACTCGGGGTCAACCTGAAAATAAATCTCCCTCAAATGTTGATACCCCTCATGTCCCTTCACCGGATCCTTCGTCACGCCCTCCGCCTTGACATCCTCCTCCTTATCCTCAGCTGTCGCGAACCGCCAGCCTTTTTCTTGCATATGCCAATGCACGCTCGTGAAGGGGATGATGTCTTCGAGGCCCTTGAGCTTGCGCACGATGAGCGTGCGGTGTGCCCAGGGGCAGGCATACGAGACGTAGAGGTGGTAGCGTCCTGCTTCGGGAGGGAACTCGCCGCCTTTCTTGATGAAGTTGCGGAATTGCGATTGGCCGCGTTTGAATTCGCCGGTTTTGTCATCGGGCGCTACCCAGTTGGTGATCTTTTCTTCGGTCTGTCGATGGTAAGGTTAGCTTTGAAGAGGGGAGGGCTTGTGGCAGGGGGAGGGGAGGGGAGCGGGGTAGGTACGTACCATGGCGGCTGTAGTTGTGGAGAAGAGCAGTCTTGCTGTAGGACGTGGAAGAGGTAGACTATTGAGGTTGAAGGTAGAATGGAAGTGCCCAGCTAGTTGGCGGGCGCGAGAGAACATTAAATACTCTTTGGTGTTGAAAGTGAGGAGAAGGGATGTTGATGTAGATGTAGATGTACCGAAGTGGGGTTACCGTCTAATTTGCAGGGGGTGCTTGCTAATGATGACGGCACTGGAAACCCCTCTCTGCAGAGCTGCTGACAGCGCGTGCAGGGTCCTTATTAAGCGTGCCAAGCCCGCCGCTTAAAACCTCTCACTCACACAGTAAGATCTTTGTCAGGACCCCTGAATTGTTGACGAGCATAAGTCAGTTTGAGCATTACGATAGTCATGTGATGAATATTTTCCATTTTTGGCGTTGAATTGGATCGAAAGGTCGCTTTCCATGTGGTAAAGGGGGTTCGGTACTTCATCACTCTTTCGATCAGCGTTATTTCTTCCAGGTCAATGACAGGGGATGCGAGTGCAAAACGTATCCCAGAGGCAAGCATCCTAAATTCGGATATATATCATGTCCGGGAGGGCATTGGCTCCACGGCGAACTCCTGAGAAGTAAGAAATGAATTCGCCGGTATGAGGCTCTGAACCTGTTTGTCGTTGTTCTTGGGCGAGATGCCAAGATTGATTGTTTCTTTGCTATTTCTGCTTCTTTTTCATTCGTCCTTCAGAGTGAAGAAACAAAAGGACGACCTCCAACGGCATCCAAAGCATTAGTTTGCTAAATCTTTGCTTTGCCAAAGACAATCGATGTCACTCTACGCCTATATCTCGCTCACAGCCTTCCGTTTACGACATACTTCCGCGCAAGGCTGTCCGAGCCCTCGAGTTGCGGGCCGGAGCTTGTGGTCCAACAGATCGAAGGAGAGGGTTTCGAGGCAATCTCATACGTATGGGGTGATCCGGCAAAAATCGATACTATCACCGGCAACGGATAAGAGATGGGCATCACTGCAAGTCTCTCTCAAGCCTTGATTTGCTTCCGCTCGATACATAGCGTCCGACGCTTGTGGGCAGACGCTCTGTGTATAAGCCAAGAAGATGACGAGGAGTGGCAGTCTCAGGTTGCACAGATGGACTCGATATGTTCCAGGGATCAGAGGGTCCTTGGCTGGCTTGGACGTGCAATCGAGCATCCGCGGGATTTGTTTCGCCAACCTGGCAAGTACGCCTATCTAGCCAAAGCTCTCTGAGATCGCGGGATCGCCAAGGATCAGAGCGTGGATTCCAATCAAGAATGGCAAGCTTGGAAGGCGATCAAGGATCTCTTCGATGTTCCCTTTTTTTCACCTTGTTTGGATCATTCACAAACTAGGTCTGGCGTCTAATGCTTTGTCGTGCTATGGTCGCCACTACATAGACTGGCCTGAGGTTGTTGAGTTCACATTCCTCTTGGATAACAATGTAGCTTTCCTCGTCGCCAATCTACAGCTCAAATCCCGGATTGCCAATCATAGAGCGCTCATTTGGGATCCGAACAGCGATTGCAAGCCAATATACAATTTCCTAGAAGTGGCGAGCTGGGCCCGTGTTCACCAATCAACGGATCCGAGAGATGTGTTTACGGGTTATTGAGCCATCCCAGCGCCTTGATGGGAGGCACCGAGTTGATTGCACAGCCAGACTATAAGTTGTCGAAAGCTCAAGTCTACGTTAACTTTGCGGTGGCGGTGACTAAAAGACGAAGAGTCTGCGCATCCTATCTGCTGTCGAGCATGTTGGCGCGCCAAGTATCGACGAGCTTCCAACATGGGTGCCTGACTGGTACAGGGAAAATGAATGTGCTCTGTTTGCTACCGCTATTCCAGCTGCGCCTGGTGGGGATGATTTGGATGTGAATCCTAAGATCGTGCGCAGCAATGTCTTGCGCGTGCGAGGGTTCATGATGGAGGACACAGGCTTCGCCTTTTCTGAGATCATGGATCAGAATCAGTTAATAGTAACGAGCCTCGAGACGGAGCTGCAAAAGAAAATACCCTTTCTAATGGACCATCTCCGAAACATCGTCGTCTCATCAGACACCGTCGAATCTCCCACCGAATAAATCCTCGATGACCTCATGCTTTCACTTCCAGAAGAGTTCCCCCATGTAGCGGGATCCTCCTTCTCAGACTCTGCTCCTGCACCGAGCAGATTTTAGCGCATATCTTTGAGAATTCGAGAAGATCTGTCCAAATCGCCAAAGAAAGCATTGTTTCATCAGCATCCCTTCCCTTGAGGGTCGAGCTCGCGAAAGATTAGCAACAGCGTTCATTTAGAAAATGACATGGACCCGTATGGCTCGTCGGGTCTACATTACACGGGATGATCATACCGTAATTGGATACCGAACCGTGAAGGAAGGAGACATGTGTTGTGTTCTGCTTGTTTCCATTCTCCCAATAATGCTGCGGCGAGACGGCGACTCAGACGAGACTTTCTTGGTAAGAGAAGACCCTGCTTCACCCGTTCATGGATCTCGGATCAATCTCATCGTATAATGAAGGGAGGTTCCAGCTGCAAGAGTCTTACATCAAGTGAAGAAGGAGGTCGTTACATCTTTGTTTTGTCCATCCTCGTGATATTCGCTATTCGCGGCGTTTTAAACATGACAAATCAAAAGTAATTCATATTTCCACATCACGCAATGCTAGCCTTCCTTCACGTAACCTTTGGCAAAGTATACTTGAATCCCCGATTGCAGTATTACTCTGCCAGAGTTCATATTGTGTATCTTATTCTCCCCATTCTCTTTATATGAAACGCCAATGCAGTCTTTCCAATATACCCATTGACCCTTGCCTTCAGCTACCATAACATCCTTATTCTTATCGTCTTCTGTGAATTGTATATCATCGGTGAGTGGTTCAGGCTCAAAAGCCTAATAACACATTAGATGAGCCATAAACAGAGATGTTGTAAATTACCATCATAGTCTCCCCAAATGTGTCGCAGGGAGGAGACGAATATGGCTAGCTTCGAGGCTGGGCAGGATCGTTTGCGCTTCGCAGGTAGATAGAGGCTGGGGATGGTCGTGATTATGGCCTAGTAAGGCCAACAGATGTATAGAGGGGCGAAGGGGCAGACCTTATACTTGCCTTGAAAGATCGTGAGAAGTTGATGGGCTGCTTGGAAGGATGAGGTTCCTGATGAAGTAAATCGCTAGGCAGAAGGCTGCGGTACGGAAGGGCGCAATCGCTGGCACTGAGCGCAGGTGGATGCTACTGGATGCTGAGCTGGTCAGGCAGAAATAATTTTGTTATCGCAAGAAATGACCTTTGAATATCATCTGATCTCTTTATCCTCACATATTTTGCAAGCACCAGCCACTCAACAATAGTATCAACTAAGGGGTGGAAAGAACGCATTCGATTCATTGACTTTCTATTTTGTAATGAAAATGGAACGCAAGTGGGGTTCTTTTCTTTCTCTATCTAGCCGCCGAAGCCTCCATACCACGCTTTCAATAAACACCAATTCATTTCTTCATCCATCATCATTTGTGCACATCACTAAATCATCTAGTTTCCCATCTTCATCATGATATAAGGAACTTCCACATCCTCGCCCGTCTGATCCTCCGCACAAATCTCAAAGATAACATTCTTCTGATGATCCGGGATCGGCTTCTTCGAGATATGAGCCACCAGATCGCTCAGCTTCATCGCATAACGATCTTTGAGTTTCGCAGGGCCGAAAAAGTTGGCGTAGAGGAGGGAGACACCGGAGCTGAGCATAGTGATCGTAAGACCCTTCTCCTCGAAGTGGTCGATGAGCTCCTGCAATGTGAAGTTGTCGACCTCGAAACGGTCCCATAATTTGTCGATTGCTACCTCGCCGTTCTTGCTCTTATAGACAGCCTTCTCGCTCTCGATGGGCTCGGAGAAGCCGAAGAATGGCAGTGCGAGATTGACGAAACCATTCTTGAAATGTTCGACCTTATTTTTGCCATCGGCGATCTTGTAGAACTCAAGAATGACAAGGCCAGTGACGAGGGCAGTGGTTGTTGCAATTGCCGGGATAATCTTTCCAGCAATGAACTTTGTCTTGTGTCTGTCCGCCAACTCAATCTTGTAGTTTTCAGCACGGAGATTGCTTGCTGCCGTAATGAAGTCGATGTGATAATTCGTATCATCGTCTTTCTCAAACTCAACTGGCTGAAGCTTGAAGCCTGCTAATTGCTTTGGTGGTGGAAGCTTATCGGTAATAGCCTGAAGTTCATCATTGTCGTCGAATCCACCTGCCCCGGCATTTGGGTCCTGCTTTTGTTAGTAAAGTCCAAATGATAATTCGTAGATGTACTTACAGGCTCGCTGTCATCTGCCTGGATCTTGACGGAAGAATTTGGCGAAAAGTCAGGGATGATCATATTCTCCAAGACCTTGTGAATTGTACTTTCGTCCATATCCTTGGCGTTGATACCATAATTGAAAGCGTGGAGGTTGGCTCCTGCAACCACAAACGTCCAGTGCATCTCATTCTTCGGATCGAACTTCAATGGGTCTGGGGCACGCTTGGGTCCGGACCAAAATGGCTGTCCACTCGACGAGACCGAATCCTTAGGGAAGTTGTACAGCAGTTGTTGGATTGCGTTGTTGTATTGCTTTTCGAATTGGATACGTGCCCACTTGATGCAGTCCTCAACGCTGAGAGGCTTATCCTCAACCAAAAAGTCTCGAATCATCTCAAGTGTGGCCTTTTCGTTTCCTCCCTGCTTCAGAGTCGACTCGATATAATTTGGTTGGCTCAGATACAGGTTGACGGTCTCGGCGGGCTTGACGAAGTATCCCTCGAACAACTCACGAGCCCAGGCGATGGTGTGCTCGATCTTGTTGGGAAAACTCCTCAGTGTACACATAGGGAAGGATTGCTCCGGTGGATCTTGCGAGCTGGAGTAGGATTCGGTAAGATGAGGGATGATGACTTGAGTGTTGCCCTTGGTTCCCAACGTACCGCTCTCCAGCAATGGCTTTCGGAAGAAGACGCATCGACGATCAACGTATGTTCGAGCGTCAACATTATCTAGTGCGTTTGTAACACCGTCCAATGAACTCCAGAACTTCTCATCGAAAACATGCTCCGTATCCTGCCCTACACGGTCTCGCATCGTCACGATATGGCCCTTAAGGTCTGGGTTCATCGCTTGAACAGCCGCAGCAGCACACTCGCTCTTTAGCTGTCCAACATCCTTTGGTCGGAAAAGGAATTGTCGGTTCAGATTGCTCTTCTCGATCGAATCCATATCCGTCACGCTAATCTTCCCCTTTGGCCCAGTAGCAAGCCCAATCATAGCCCAGTTCTTCAGCATTTCGCAACCAATAGCACCAGCACCAACCAGGAACTCGTTGATGTTTGACAACTTCTCCTGGAATTCTCGACCAAAGACAACAATTTGGCCATCATATCTCGAGTTCAGGGGTTGGCACAACTCCTCAGTTCTTGGAGAATTGTCAGGCAGAGATTCTAAAGAATCAAAGTACAGCCATTGAGTGATTGGCGAGAACTTTCCAGATACAGCCTTGAGGACTTCTTGGGCGGCAAGACCACCGAAGAAAGCCGCCATTGGACTTAAGTCACCGAGAGCCTGGAAACTTAGCTCGTGCAACAGTTTCTCATCGATCTCGACCTCCAATTTTTCTTGTCCGGCAAATGCCTTGGCAGAGCCGTACACAATGGCCGCATCTTCCAGGTTCATTGGTCTGGGAAGACGGCCATGTGACTCGACAAAAGCATGCAGCGCTTGGAAACCAACGTGAAGCTGCATTGGACGGTCGAATTTGGCATAGTCGGAGACTAGAAATTCCGGGTTCTTGAGCGAGGCAGAGATCGGCTTAAAGTCAATGAACTTGGGCATCTTGACTTGCGTGTATATACCACCCTTCTTATATTGGCCGAGTCCGGTAACATCACCGATAGAGAAGGTATATGGGCCCTTCACAGCGACTTTCCGTGGTTCCGCCGAGTTCAGGGCTTCCATTCCCACCAGCTCAGTAAAGGTAACAAAGTCCCCATCTTCGAGACCGTGTCTGGTTTCGTCCAGAGCAGATACCAGACCCTCCTCATCAATATCGGCAACAATTCCGCTGACTGGGGCTTCGCCTGTTGGGTCGATAACCGTGAAGTTCTTGCCAAAGTCGCAGAATATAGATCCGAACAGCCCGAAAGTGTCCGCTACCACCAAGTATATTCCCTTTGAATGCAGGTAATCTCCAATGATAATTTGGTCTTTAATGGGGGTATTGGTAAGGACAACGACTTGGTACTTGTCGAATTGAGAGAGGTTCGAAGTCAGGCTGTAGAAAAAGTTAGCTTGGGATTGGTGAACGAATTCTCTGATGGACTGCAGACCTTGTTGACTCATGAACAGTGACGGGTGTGTATGCATTGAGCTCACCGACACGGGAGACAGTAACGGCAGCTCTAGGCTTGCCAATATCTTCCTTGTGGAGGAAGAATTGTGAGGAGAGGTCGGCGATAGTGGCGGGGGCGGGGTCGTAGAGGGTGAGACTCTTGACACCGGCGAGCGCGATATTCTTTGCGATCTCAACACCAAGACCCTTCAGCCCAACAATGAGGACATTTGAAGCTCCCATGCGTTTCATAGCCTCATGTCCTAGCACGTATAGTTGTCTGCTGTACAGCGACTCATCGATCTCGTTGTGCCCGACCACCGACTCGTCCACCTGCATCTTGGTCTCCATATCGACGTCCTTGGAGTCCTGCCCAGGAAAATAATTAGCTTCTGTGTTTGCTTTGCCTGCGAATAGCGGGAAGTTCGAGCTTGAGCTTGCAGGTAGCTCTTCCGCTGTGAAGATGCACGCTGCCTACTCACCGTCATCGTTCTCTTCAGTGGTTGGGGGTTGTCCGCGTTGGACAGCTTTCGTTTCCCCAGCTTGCCTTCACCGTCGGTCTGTACCTGTGATGGAATGGTGGCGTTTGATCGGCGTCCCAAGTGAAGTTGTTCTTCAGGTCCTAATGAGTACCAGGGCCTGATCCCGTCAAGGTGATCTAGCACCAGCGTAGCTTGAGTCGACTAGTGTAGCGGATTTTGGTGTTCAACAGTGAATGCAGATGCTTGAAAGACAAGCTGTATGAAGAAGGGAAGAAGAGAGTGGGCAGTTTTGGGTTTATGGCGAGAAGGCAGGAGGCAGCTGCGGTGATTTCACAGCCTCTCGAATGGAAGGCTCGAGACTGATGGAGCTAAACCTCGCCTGTTGGCTGGATTTCGAAGCAGGCACCAACTGTTAAGGCAGCAAGGCGTAACATAGGTCACGTGCACGGCACGGCGTTCCGGAAGTACACGGTACATTGTTCTTCCGGGGCCCTGGAATACTCGTCGAAGGCATAAAGTCTGTAAGCAGATGTGTGATCTGAGTTGCAGATTGTTATGCCATGGCGTCAGCCAATTCTTGGGCACTCCACTGCACGTTTGTCCTCCTTTCCTTCGGGCCTTCTCGAAGCCATATGGAAGACGGGTTTTGGCCGGGCGCGGAACTTTTCCCGCACGACCCCGCATTATTGTCATTGGAAATCATTAAGGTAATCTCACGCGATTTAACCACGATCTTCCGGCGCGATCTATTCGCCTCGACTCGCCTTCGCGAGCGCGTGTCAATAACGGGCATGATATACACCCATCCCCATGGGAATAAAATTCTTGACGACATCCGAGAAGGATGCGGCGATGCAGATAACGATGGGAACACCCGTGCCGTGAGATGCAATTCCTGATCCCATTTTCATGCAGGCGCAAGTTTGACAGGACGGAGCACATAAAAAGCAAGCAAGCACGGAAAAGTGTTTCGAGAAGCATCTCCGTTTATTGATTCGCTATTCCCGGATCTCCAACCCTGCCATCACACTTCAATTGTGGATGCCGACGTCTAGAATCGCAGAAACGTAAGGGAACGGGTGATGGTGGTACATATTGGCCAGGCCCAACCGATCTAATTGATCTTGAGGAGCTCGACGTCGCTGCATCCAAGTCAGTGGCGTGCAGAGCTGCGGACCTCGCGCCTAGGTAACTTACAAGAGCAAATCAGCCCCCGGTGGAATGTGACCCGGGAAGCCGCTGCACAGATGTCAGTTATGCGCCAGATGCAAAAAGGGTATTCAAGATCCGAGTGAGGGAGGGGCAGGATCTGGCTCCGGTGCAGATTTTGTGATTTCGATGATTCCACAGCATGAGTCGTCTGCACGTGGAGTGCATTGATTGACGAAATCGAAGAATGGGGAGCGGAGCGGAGTCTCACCGGTCACCATATGCGTAATCACTGGAAGTAGGGTCAGCATTGCTCTGCTCATGGAGTTCTACCCAAGTCCTACTTCGTAATGTCCAATGTCGCCTTCTCGCCAAGCTTCATGGTGGTAACGCCCTCATCCCAACCTGTGGTATGTTCAATTATCCCTAGACCGAGGAAGCTTCGTGGGGTATGGAGGGGTCATTACCCTTGATGACATTGCCAATGCCAATAGCTGTGACAAAGTTACCGCGGCCAACAGAGGAGTCGAATCTGAGGAGAGAAGAAGTCAGCAAGGGTTTGGCATGTGGATTGGGGTGGGTTTGAGACGAGGCATGTGGGTTGGGGGAGCTTCAAGAAAACATGTGAGCTTACTCGGTGCCCTTGTTATCGGGAGCGCTGGTGTCCTTCAAGTAGCCGGTGTATGCGATGGTGACCTTGTCGCCGACCTTGGGGATAGGGCCTTTGCCTTCCTTGAGCACAGTTTTGGTAACGCCCATGATTGCTGCTGTGCGTGAGAAGCGGCGAGGGGTAGTTGTGGAAAGTGTTGTGATCGTTGAAAGGAATGTGGTTCGCAGGTTGGGGAAAGAAGAGAGCATGAAGAATTTTTCTGGGAAGGAAGGGAAGGGAAGGGAAGGGAAGGAAAGGAATCGACAAGCTTTATGGTCGGCCGGGTACATGTGGAGGAGGAGGAGGAGGAGGTTCGAAGTTCGGTAGCTGGAACTTCTGGCTTGACATTCGCTCTGGAGCTATTCTGCCGGGACTCATTCCGTGTGGAGAGCTGCTTGAGCTGCTTTGGCACTGGTGCTGATGCTTGATCTCCACCCATCCACGTCCACTACATCACAGTTTGGCTGTCGCTCGGCGTCCCTCACCTCCTCTCGCTTCCCCTTGGCGGGCACCCGTTCTTATTCAAGGATCGCCCCAGGGGCGAACCACGAGCTTCCTCGCCCTCGCCCCCATTGCCATGGCCATGCCAGACCATGCGTCAGGCGAGGTCAGCTCACTCAGTGGTGGGCGTTAGTCGCTGCTGCCGCCAGAAAACCTTCTTTTCGCCCGCGGCCAGAGAAGAAGAAAAGAGACAAACCTCGCGTCACAACCGCACCAAATCACTTTCCGCCGGATCGAGGAAGCAAACAAAGGCTGCTGCGGCAGACGACATCCCAGCAGGATATCTGGCAAGCTCCCCATGCCATGCGCCGATTGTGGCTGTTAACAGCCAGATCTGCTGCCCGGCACGGCTTCTAGTTGGCGATTTGACGGCGACCCACGAATCCCCCAAGACGTGGCCAACTCGGCATCGTCTCTGCGTCCCGTGTGGGCCTGTGGCACAGCCAATGCCCAGAAGCCATTGCCGATTCCAAAAGCCGGGTCCACTATTCGGGTCTCGGAGAGTTGCCCTGGGCGTGGGAGGCCGCGCTGCTGCCCTGCATTGCACGAGCCCGACCCTGAATCGATCAAACTGTGCCTCTGGGGGTTTGGGCGCCCCCCGGGCTAGCCCTATTTCCAGGGACGACGCAAATAGCCGACAAGAATATCTGCCTTCCATTATGTGCCTTCTCTGAGACAAACCTTTGAGACAAACCTGAGATACGCTTCTTGAAGAGCAATCATCTGTTGGAGACGGAGCTCGACGGTACCCAAAAAAAAACAAAAAACAAAAACAAAAAAAAAAGAAGGGAAGGGCACAGATTGCGTGCCGCCAGAGTGGGAGGGTTGCCGTATCAGATGCATCCCATGCTTTGCATCCCACATATACCCCACGTTCTTCTCCTACTCCCAAGGACAGCACAATCGTTTATCGACCGTATTATATTAACATATATTTCGTTGTCACCCATTCTCATCTATCTTTGGCCCAACCCCGCCGTTTCGATATCGCCACACATTATGTGGCATCGTAATCCAATCTCGCGGATTCACATGCAAGAAGTGACGGATCTCCTGCGGCCTGACCGATGACGAAAGGGGCCTCGAGCATCAGTACAGGAGGGGCCAATTCTTGCATTTTAAAGTGTGAGAAGGTTTGGGTGTGACAGAATGGTGTCAAGGAAGAGCGTTTCCTTATCGGACCGCAATGCTCAAGTTGAGCTCCGTATGCCCGCGTTCGTGCTTCATTATCCATGTTTTCCTCGAGTCTCGTTTTTTTTTCTACTTCACAAAACAGGCATGTCACTCTGAGGCTCGCGGCTCAAAGAGATGGTGCGGGGTACACTGCATGCAAGGCTGATCATGTGACCTGAACCCCCTGCGTTTTCTGTTTCAAGATAGGGGTCATAAAACGTTTTGTTTCGCACTATTCCTTCCACGCGTCCCGTGTCTTGTAGTGATGCCATGATCACCATCGTGCAGACATTCGATCATAAGGCGACTTCAGCAGCTTGATTTAGTACCAGGAACTCCTCAGCCAGGAAGCATATATACAAGGTTCATTCAATATGAGCCATCCAAGGAAAAATTCCCCCCGGGAATCTTAAGTTTCATTTAAGGGCCGTCTCATGTGAACCTTAGGGTTCCCAGCCTCTGAAGGCCCTCTTCAGGAATATCGTGCGAGCCTCCGAGGCAGAGTTTTCCAAAGCCCGTCAGCACAAAGCAAAAGACTCACCTTCACAGCGTATAGATAGGCTAGTAAGACCCCATAAGCTGCGCATCAAGGCGTTCCGGCACGCCGGAAGATTACCGCGGCTGACCTCTAGTTCGGGATTTCCAATATGCGCAACGCCATCCTACGCCTTAAGGGCCGTTCGCAAGACTTCCCACCTTCTTCCATCTTCCTTTTCTCGCCATCTTTAATTCTTGGAATCAGAGTACGAGAGCAGGAAGTCAGGATATGCTTGCGAGCCATTTCGTCTATGCGCGTTGAATCACATTCCGTCCGCATATTCGCCTGTGGATGAATTGGGCTCGGCCCTTACACTCTGTCTTGCCGACGTCTCTAGCGGTCCTATCCTCAACTGAATGGCGTTTATCCAAGAATTAGGTCGGATTCACATGAATATCCTCAACAATACGGATCGAAGGAAGACGTCGCCGGCCTGACGTTCAGCCACCACGGTAGGTCTTCTCGAACAACCGCTCCATGCTCGGCGACTGAATCCGAGTATCCACTTACTCCTCATTGACGTCTCGAAAACGAATATGCCTTCATTATCATATATCCAAGCTCCAAAGGGATCTTGGCCTTCCCTACTGCTGTTTCTGCTTCACGGCTCTACCCGTCTTCCCGTGCTTATCCCTCCCTGCTTCGCATGTAATTTTTTTTTAATTTTTTTTGCGGACCTGGTCCATGCTCATACTCCATCCAAGGAGTGCAAAACTCGATGATAGGAAGACCAATTCTCCTATATTCTCAATGTGAGATCTGGAAAGCGTCTCCGCTTAGCACGGCAATTTCTCTCATGCCTTCTTACCCGATCGGGAGGAGGGAGGATATGCCTCTGGTCCGGAAACGCGGGATTTTCCTGAAAGTGGTCAGACTAGAGTGAAGCTCTCTCCGTGTGCATGCGGCAGTGTCAGAGCAGCCCCTGGCAGTGCAACAGCCTCGCGTCTATCCACGTAACACATAGCAGCAGATTTTACCGTGCCAAGATCTCAGGTTCTTACAGGATGCGGACTTTGGAATTACTGTACAACAGTATTGTATCTCCGTACCTTTTCTCTCTCCTTTTGCATTTGAGTTCTGCTATCACCGCCTCGCAGGAGTGCTCGGGTCCTCTCCGCATCCAGTTCTAAAACGGCTCAAGAGGCTTTCCCGGCCTAAATAGAATCGGCACACCACGTCACAAAGCGAGGAAGAGGGAGTTGGCTGAGAGCTGAGGAAGTTGAGAGGTGCGACAGAACAGATTCGACTTCTTCCCAAACAGAGGGACTGGCCTTAACTCGACGAGACCAGGGCAATGCGATAACCTTGGCTCCAGCTTAGGCTTGCTTCAAAACTAAACCTTTCTCTTAAGGAGATATATGCAGGAATGGATGCTCAACAACTTCAACAATACCTACAACTCGCACTTGATTCAATGTCCAAGAGTCTTTGGGACAAGGGGATTAGCTATTCTCTTTCCGTTGTCCCAAAATCTTTGGTACGGTAGGAATTTGGAATGACAGCAACTGTTAGGGACCTTCTACACAATTGAATCACTAATCAAAACTGCTGGAATTTCTCGCATTCCCTCAATGAAACTAGTCACCAGATCCAAAGTTCCCCAGTAGTCCACATCGAATTATACACTCCTTACTTATTGGTCTTTAAGGAAACCACGCTGAAACAGTTGAAGATCAGCTAACCACCCAAAAGCTCCGCCCATCGGTGCCGCCAGAGTTCTTCCCTGATCCTCTTCGGCTCATCAGGCACAAATTTAATATCCACCAACCTTGCCTCTGGCACCCCCTCCTCTTTCTCCTCCTCACTCAAATCCTTCGCATCCCACCTACTCAATAACGCAACCGCACTCAAATCCCCTGTGACCTCCCACTTGCCGTCCATCTCAAGCCACTCTTCCAGCCAGGGAACATGCTCCTTATACATCTTCACATGTAACGTCTCTCTCGCATTCATCGTTCTCCAATCAAACGGCCTCTCTTCAAACCACGGATCCTCGCTCACCGGACCGCCACAATACACTTCATGACCTTCCGGGTGTTCAACTCGCTGGCGGCCATGTTCAAATGAGATTCGTTCCACACTTTTGAACTTCCGCAACCTCTTCCTCAACAACTCACCACAACAATTATCCCACCCTAGCACCCGCTGATACTCAAACCACGCATACCGCTCCCTATGATTTTCCCACAGTCCCCTCGAAATCGCAAGGTGCCTCACAGCCTCCAAATCCCTCCTCACTCTCTCCGCTAAACAAACCTTCACCGCCCTCGACGGCTCATTCGGACCCACATACGTCGATGTCGTCCACCCCCACTCTTGATCCAGAAATGTCCCGTGAAAGCATTCAGGCCCGAAATACAAGATATCACCACCTTTGAAATCAAAATACACATTACTCGTCCCAAAAGCCAGTCGATACCGTCTTAACGCAACGGCTCGCGCTTCTTTACACGTGCTCAAAGCAGCCGGATTCTTCGCCTTAAACACGCTCGAGAAAATCAGCCGCTCGGACACACCTAGATTCCGACTCGTATCGAGCGTCAGCACTCGTGGTCCAGGCAGTGCGAATTCCCAAACTCTCTCCCTAATCTCTAACGGTAGTTTATTGAAGTGATGGAAAGGAATCATGTGTTTTAGAGATGAGGTCTGGAGGCGCTTGAGTGCTTTTTTGTGGGTTGTGAGGCGGGACTCTGGGGTGCGGAGGGAGGGGGCGTCGGTCGCTTTCAGGCGGGTTATTAGGGTGGAGGGAGAGCCCCAGGTTGGGAGTTGGCGCCGACGGAGCTCAGGGACGATGAAGCGCGGGTGAGCTTTTGCCCATTTGCGCGGCGGGGGAAGGGGGGCTTTGGGCAGGGGCTTGGGGGTTGACGCGGTGGAGGTGGAGGGTTTGCGTTTAGGTGGCATTGTGAGGTTGGAGGATGTGGAAATGGAGTTGAGAGGAGCGAGAGTTGCAGAGGATTTGGGGCTCGCTTAAGGTTAGGTTAGGCAGTCGTCATCACGTGCTTCTCTCCCCTGTACAACAACCGCAGGGGCTCGCTTCTAAACCTCGGTCAAAACATAGATTCATGAAGGGGCTGTGGAGTTTGTGTCTAGGCTGTCTCATCAGGTTGATAGAAGCTTCATACCCGCCGCAGTGGGCTACTTATTCTAAAGTGAAATCACACCTTTGCACGTGACTATGGTGGCTCTTCGGTGACGCACTCCCCCTTCCTTGGCACATGGAAGGAGTTCTTTAGCCAAAGTATTGTGTAAAGCGGGATTCTTCTTCTTGTTTACATTGTCGGTGCTTTTAGATGTTATCGCCACATGGCATTCAACTCGACCACTTTTGAAGATGGCCTTGATCATTTCGGCCCTCAACTGCCTGCTTGCCCACTTCGATTTCAGCCCCCTTTTCGAGTTTTCCATACTTTCGATATTGCCATCGGCTCTCTTTCTCATTGCTCTACCTTTTCGGTTGAAATCAATTGTATAGACAATCGAGCAAAGTATCTCGCAGTTTGCTTCATGGAAACAAGCTGGTTTGTACCCTGCGTAAGACAATGCTCAAGTGCTAAATGATACCATAGACTCTACTTGCACTTATTAACGAGCGTCAGTGCGCACTGTTAATACTTTACGCGACGAATTCCAGTGTCAGAAAGACTGCCTTCATTGGCTGCTGCTTCGCTCGTCCTCGTCGATGGGCTGGGGCTGTGCCTCCTCTCTCACTTTGAACATGTCCGCTCTATCCGACCCTCAAGCATCATCAACGTATATCTCCTCATTACCGTTCTCCTTAGTATTGCTCAGATAAGAATGCTATGGATCGAAGACGCCCCCAAGTCCATCTCTTCAGTCTTCACTGTGACAGCAGTAGTCAGGTTCCTCAGTTCCTGATCGCTATCATGGAAGCTACTGAAAAGAAGAAGATCCTACTGGATCGATACCGGGAAACCAGTTCTGAAGCTACAAGCGTAGTTTCAGCCGTGCTTTCTTCTGGTGGTTACGCGACCCTTGTTCTTATCCAGGGTCACACGAAAGTACAATTGACACCCCCCACCGCCTTCACTACACTTTCACTTGCTGAGCTGTTATCGATTCCTTTCAACACCTTACTGAGAGCCATACTGCAAGTCAAATCAGCACTGGCTTGCTCACACGGATTCAGAAGTTCTTGGAATCTCCCTCTCGACAGCCTTACGTTCGGGACTTTATATGCGTTTCTAGGGTTCCACTGATGGGAATAAAAGGTTTGGCGACAGTGGGGATTACACTAGGAGCATACAGGCGGATCTCAGAGAGTTATTTCACGGATTAGAAAAGGGATGAAAAAATTATCACCAAAACACATACAGCTCCATCAACCCACTCAAGGACTTCCTGAGAGCGAAGTTTGTCAATCATGGTATCAAGGGCGATATTAGGGATGACTTGTCTGAAGGTAAATGGAGGAGGATTAAGACAGTGGGAGACCATAATTATTAATCTACTCTGAGTTCAAATGGATAACGACCCCAAATACTTTGTGACCAGGGAACGCAGGTTGTATTGAAAGGGTCTGGGTGCAAATGACCCATTGCTCCCGTGTTGTGCTGAACCTCCATTTGTCCTTTGCATCCCTTATGAGATCGATGATAGGACTTGTGTTTGATAGAGTGTGCCGCCCGTCCAGCAGTATGTAGACGCTGTATCAGAACGCCGTAAATCTTCGGAGAATATCCCCTCAGCACAACGCCTGAACATATGACCGCGATTCGAGGGAGATGGAGATAAATTCTAGCAAGGTAGAGAATGGTTAGCAGTATTCTCATCAGATTTAAGGAAGGTCTTGCAAAGGTGTTTCAGACCATGGTTCCAGACAAGCGTTGTTCCAGCTCGAAGCCTCCTCTCGATATCTGCATCGTGGAGAGCGTATGTCCTCCTAGCCCCTCGTGGACCTGGGACCCTTTGAAGCATTCTGCCTGTCAGCAGTGTTAGCCAGTAGCAAAGCAAGCGGAAATTTCGACAGCAGGACCATTGTCTCGTCGACCTCTCCTACGTCTGTTAATCCAGCCGACTAAAAGAAAAGCGGATGGTGCACAGGTGACGAAGAGGGTCACCAAGCCGATGATTGCTTCTGGTGAAAGGCCCATTTGGATGGAGGCGAAGGGACTGTCCAGCGTAAAAGAGCAATATTGGTATTGGGAATTAGAGAATCGGAAAGGAAATGATGGACTTATGAGTCCCAAGGCCACCGCTACGACCTTGAATTTGTATTGGGGGCCTTATGGCAGTTCCTAGTACGAGAAATTCCTCATGTCATGAAATTTGTGCCGCAGATTTTGGCATTCTCCAATGGATATCACACCGATACCAATAAGGGCAGGATGGAAGATAGCTTTCGCCAGGGACCGCAGAAGAGTTTGGAAACTGCCAATCGATGACTACCACCCAAGCCACGCAGAAATCTGTGCGCCCATAATGTTAGGACATGTGAGCGAGTCCAGTTGGCATCTCTGCCCGTTGGGGCTATTCAGACACTTCGGCAGACTGCAACAAAGCGGAAATCAGCAAGCAGATTTTGGCACTGGCCAGTCAAAATGCATATGGTGTTTCAGGAGGCGTGGTGGAGTGTGCACCATCGCGATGCCTGATGATCCGCAAGGAGACACGATCCATTTCACGCACCGCACCGCCTTGTGCGTGAGTCCCAAGCCCCGTGTTGAGGTTCCAGCATGCAAAAGATTTTGGAACTCGCCAATAAAAGAGGATTTGATCGAGGACCAATGTTAGCCACACGGAGGTTGAACGCACGCAGGTTTTGGAACCGACGTATCACAGCTGCGCATGTCAAGGATCCATGCATGCCACATCGGGCGCTCCTGTTGGGTGTGAGGCAAGGAGCCGAAGAGGCTGCATGTCAGATTTTGGGATCTGCGAATCAAAAGGCAGTGTTTTGGCCGGGTCGTTACACCAAGATCCAGTTGGAGGTGGCTGCGCAGAGCCTGACTTTTGACCGCATTTATCTCCAAGATGCCCTCATTTCGCTCATCTTCCACCTCTGAACATTGCCATCCGGCTTTGAACCTCCTCATTATACTCAACTGAATCAACAATAACGAGCTTGAGCCATTCAAGATGTCGCATTCGTTCGGCTCATCATCACATGGCTGGGTTGACACGTCACCACAAGGCTGGGAAAAATTCAAAAATGTCATACGCGGACTGTATATTGTGAAAGGGCATAAGCTTGAGGGCCCTAATGGCGTTATCAAATTGATGGAAAGTCAGTATGGATTCAAGGCAACGTAAGTACAGATGAGACCAAGACTCTCTTTGAAGGAACCGGACTAACAATTTCTAGGAAAGCACAGTATGAGAAGAAGTTCAAGGAATGGGGATTTCAGAAGAATCACACAAAAGATGATTGGAAGATCGTCGGCCAGAAAGTTGGGCTACGGAAGCGGACTGCCAAAGAGAGCAACGTCTATCTTGATGGGGAATTGATGCCAAGAAAGAGACTTCAGAAGGAGATATCTCGCCAAGGTTTTATGTCAGTCACGGAGCAATTCAAGATAACGCAGGGTGAGTTACTCAAAGCTTGAAAGCCTATATTCTATTTCTGATGGCTTTAGAAACACCTCCTGCAACACCACCTGGATTCAATATACGGACCCCAATCGCTAGACCAGCATTTCGACTAGTCTTTGAGAATCTACCGATACTTCAATTTCAAGAAGCTATACCGCCTTTGGTTGGTGAGTAGCAAATCTATTCAGTTTCGAGCTATTGTTAACTACTCCGATGTGTGGCAGAGTCGATCCGATCCTTTGACACTAGCTTGACGGTCCTCGCGCCGTTCTTGGGGAAATCTCTTCAAATAGATCAAAACGATTCCAGTATGCCTATCATCGATTCGCTCCTTCCCAATTCAGCATTTCTTGAAGAAGCCTGCGCACAAGGGCTTGCAATAAAGCGACTCGAAAATTTCGGGCCAGTCGAGTTCCTAAACCTCGCAACTTTCATGTTATCGAACAACTTTCCCGGCGAGACAAACGGAGAACAAGTATACAAATGGCTGAAAAGACATGGCAGCACAAATGTTCTCAAAGCCATTGCCACTACAAAGGGGCCGACTGGCGAGGCGCTGCTCGAGAACCTCTTTCGATTGGCAATTGAGGCTGAAGATATACCGATGGCCAAACGCTTGATCGAAGCTGGAGTAGATCCCAACGGGCACATCTGTCGGCACCCACGAATCCCCGATTACATGAATCCTTTGCAGTATGCATGTATTAGAGGAAACACGGAACTGGCTCTAGAACTCATTAACGCAGGATCTAGCATTGATCAACCTGGAACTGGGTGGAAAAGCAGTGCATTGGTTCTTGCTATTATTGGAGAGTACCTCCGGGATCACAGAGACTTTTGGGAATATGGAAAAGAGGAGACTCAAGCTGGAGATGACCAGGACCTCGAAATACCATCCGCCTGCTTCTTCGACCTCATTTACTCCTTAGTAGATAAAGGAGCAGCCATTAACCCAATTATCGACCGGTCTTCTCCAACTCTCCAACATTGGAATAGAGGCGGAACCTCATATCTAGACACAAGATTGGACTCTGTCATGGAAGATGGGCACTCGCCATTGACGGCCGCATCAAAATACCGTAACGGTGTACTTGTTAACTTCTTCCTTCAACAAGGGGCTGACCAAGATTTTCTCACACAACGAGATACTTGCACTCTTCGCGAATGCCTCTTTAGCTGGGAGCAAACAGAGCTACATTCTGACGAAGCATTTGAGGGGTATACAAGCACACTATGTGAGCGTGTTTCAATATTTCGCGGTTCCGAAAGTTTATCCAAGATTATCGGTGTGGCTTGCAGTCTCATAGATGCGGGAGTGGACGTTAACAAACACTTTCTCTGGTGTCCTCGAGAAGAAGACGATAAAAAAGACGATGAAGAAGACGAACACTTCCACACTGAAGAAAAGGGTTGCTACTTGTCAATCCTTGATTTAAGTGTGCTGACAGAAAGTGTTGAGCTTGTTGATATGATGCTATGCGCTGGGGCCACTACATCAACCGGGCACTCGTTAGAGCAGGCAATTGAGACGGGGAGTCTTGAGATGGTGAATGCACTATTAAGTGCAGGTGCTCCTCTGTCGTCATTAGCTGTGAGAAATGCCATACGCCAAGGCAAAAGTGGAGGTGGCTGGTATATAAGGACTCTACTCAGGCAGCGACCAGGTTTTATTACCCAAATGAAACTATTGCGTGAAGCCATACGACTAGGAAATGATTCTATTCTCAAGCGCATATTCGATTATGGAGATTTCAAGGGCGGCGAATTTGTTCGCGCGCTCGAGGGACTAGAAGGAGCTATTGAGGACTGCTGCAGCTCTGGGTACATTGGCACCCTTCGCCTCATCATTGACGAGTGCTCAAAGTATAATGTATCGATTGCTTCACATCTCGGTGGATCCCTTGTTGAAGCAATCTTGCGTAATCACGATGATATCGCAGACACCCTTCTTTTGGCGGGTGCGGATATCAATGCTGTTCACCATGGCCGCACTGCACTTCTGAGTGCAATTGGAGAGAAGAATCGAAATATGGTCTTGAAGCTCATTGATGCGAATTCAATACTGAGCACAGAAACGGAAGGCGACAAATTTGGAATTAGTTCAAGTTGCGTTGATTATCACGAAGTCGCCGGAGATCCGCTAATCATGGCTATCGAGTGGGGCGACGACTTCGTGGTTGGGAAACTCCTCGACGCTGGAGCTAGCATGGACGCTTTAGGCCATGCCGATAGGATTTGCACATCATGTCGCTGTATAATGCCCCTGACAGCTGCTATTACGAGCGGAAACTTAATTTTGGTCAATACCCTCCTTTCCCGGGGCGCTGCCATCAACCCCCCTGGTTCTGCGTGGCATTCCATGACACCTCTTGCAGCCGCTATTGGGAGTCAAAATCCAGATTTGGTGGAAACTCTTATTAGTAAAGGAGCTAATCCATATGATCGTCACGCCTTGAAAGAAGCCACACGTAACAGCAGGCTACTTTATATCCTTCTCACAGCGTTACACAGCTGGAACGGACCACCTGACGACGAAGAAGTTGGAGATGAAGCACTTGCTAGCGCGATGAAAAGGCAAGATCGGGAAATTGTTCGAGCACTCCTTGATAGTTCTCTGATGAGGATCAACCCGACCAGAAGATTATCATGGGCGCTGGTAAGTGCTCTCCAACATGATTCCACCCCTAACCTCGGGATCATTCGCATGGTTCTAGGCCATGGTGCGGACCCAAATACGGTTTGGGAATATGGCATCAATAACAACAACCTCTTTCTCAGTTCTGCACTACGCATGGCAATCACGCGGAACAATCTTGAGCAACTTAAAATCATTCTGGATGCAGGCGGCAAGCCAGATGGTAACCTAACGTGCGGCATGTACGACTCACCAATGCAATTAGCTGCTTCTTGTAGGAGGGTGGATATAGTACGCATACTCCTCGAGGCAGGATCTGATCCGAATGTTGTTGCGGTACCCAAAGAAACCGAAAGAAAGCCGGACGATCTGCCAGAACGTGACAACGGAACACCACTTCAGATTGCAGTCAGTAATCAAGACATCGAAACGATTAGACTCCTTCAACAATATAACGGCAATCCAAACGGGATATTCGGTAACATGCCTCACACGCCTTTGCAAATGGCCAGCAGAGACGGAAGTAAAGAGATCGTTGAGCTGCTTCTCGAGCACGGAGCCGAGGTCAACGCACCGCCTGCCAAAAATTTCGGCGCAACTGCATTACAGTTCGCCGCCATCAAGGGTCTTCTGGGGATTGCTCATCTCCTGTTGGAGTACGGGGCCGATGTCAACGCACCGCCTGCCGAGGTTGGTGGCAGGACAGCATTGGAGGGAGCAGCAGAGCATGGAAGAATCGACATGGTGCAATTGCTTCTCAACGCTGGAGCAAACATCTTTCAAGAGGGAGAGGAAGCACAGTATGAAAGTGCTATCAGCAGAGCGTCTCAGAACGGGCACCATGCAGTTCGACGGCTTCTCGAGTCATATCATGGATAGGTTTCTTTGAGTTCTGGTTGTGAAGCTCATTTCTTTTTCTCTACTTTTCTTGTCTCTCTTTGGAACAAGTTTATGGCAAACAGGTGATGGCGTTTAACTTCTGAAATATATATAGTACTTTCATTTATTCAACAAACCACTCTGAGATCAATCTCCTAACTTGTTTACTACCTTTCCCTTCTAGGTCCCGTTGTGTTCTTCAAGATAGCTCGCGAATCACATCGCCACGACTTTTATACTATAGAAACTGCGTATAGAAAGCGTACGTGAGCTTCTGCATGCGGTTTTACTGCTCACCAACAAAGGTGCATTGACAGCATATCAAGGCTTTTCCATGTGTAGGCATTGATCAAAGTTTCAAAAGGATTCAGACGCAAAAAATCTTCTGCAGCCGATAAGGCCAACCACAAGATTCTTAACGCGTCACACTTACGAGCCCACCCTCAAAAGTCCGTGTTTTTACGGTATTTCACTAAGAAGCAAACGCCAAACCCAATTTTGTGCCTTTTATCCTATTCTCTGAATCGCTTTAAAAGGGGTTTAAAACTCACTCTAGCTTCTTTAATCCTATATATATAAATTATAATAGGTCACAATTAATAGTTGTTGTATATTTGTCAAGTGAAGTGGGAGACTTTGGTTTTGCGATGCCTGAAAATATCGCTAAAAACACGGACTTTTGAGGCCAGGCTCGTTAATCACGGATCCACTTGCTCCATTGATCTAACATATTGTGACAAGATAGAGCTTACTATATTAAATATAATTATTTGAGGGACAGATGAGAGATACACCACGTTGTCACTGTGCGTGTTCCGGGCGAAGTGCTTTAAAAAATAGCCCAACGGCATCGATAAACAGGCGTGCAAAATTCCTGCCATCGAGGTTTGGGTAGGGTCTTTATTCCTGCTCACACAGAGCATGATGAAGAAGAAAACCACAAGAGCAAGATGCAAGCTATCCCGATCATGGACCAGTCACGGCATTTTGCCCTATCCTTAAGCCTCTTGAATACAGAAATCTCAGGCCGACTTTATGTCGTGCTGTGAGATGCGTGAATGTGATTCTGTCTCTGTTATGGGAGTGAGATTGTTGGCACCGAGCAGGCACGGCGGCAATGTCGACCACCTCAGCCAATATCTGCCGGCATTACTATACACATCAAACGAGCAATTATCCCCCATTATGAAAGAAAATCGAGCAGCACAGAACAGGAAACTTCCAATATTGACCTCTCACAAGCGCAGACGCACCGATATCACGTGGATGGTCGGAATTCGGAGGAGGAGTGTTATAGACTCAAATAAGCGATTTGCTCACCAGATCGGACCACAAACTGGAGACAAGTCTCTGGGTGAGTGCGATTGCAAGCTTCAAAGTCATTCTGCGTAAGTTACTAACTCACTCCCCGTCCTAATGGTAACCACTAACAACTTGCGCACAGGAAGCACACCATCATATAAATGCGGCAGGATCCCACGCCTGAAGAAAATAGGGCGTGGCGCATTGATGGCTGTAACGATCGGATAAAAACCAGACCCCCAGATGTTCACGCCGGGTGCATCATTCGACGGGGTTCTTGTTCTCTCCTCCCTGAAGAAAATAGGGGAGGTTGCAGTTTTGCTGGTTGTGTTGGAGAAGCAAATTTTTTTTTGGCTGTTGGTTTGCCGAGCGAGATTGGTAAAGGACGCCTGTCCCCCTTTCCCCTTTTCACATTAGAGATCTTCGATACTAAAGCGAGACGGCGCGAGGGACTTGCAACAAACACTCAAGGTGACCGAAAATATTCGGGCAATCGCTTCGAAGTTAAACAGCACCGGAAGCTTAATGGTGTGTATCTTTCAGTGATACTAATGCTTGATCCCTCCTTTTCGCATTCTACGTAAGATTGAGAATCAGCGAGCAGACGCGAGGTAAATGGGCGTGCTTCAACGAGTACTCCTTTCGACGAAACCAGAATGAATAAAGTCTAATTGTATAACAGCCACCACGCAGCCTTTCGCGTGGTGGATGACTTCTTGGCCGAAAGGCTGCATTCTTCGTTCAGCCTCATGGCTAGCAGAAGGGGATGAGAAACGGATGATAATTTGATAGAGGATGAAATACAGCGAGGCAATCTTCAGCCTAATGCAAAGTTCATGAAGCCGCAAAGCTGTGAATCATTTTCTTGTGCCGAGAAGGCCACCGAAGGCACTTGGAAAGCTGGAGAGCACATAGCAAACGAATGACGGTCCACAGATGACTTCCACGGCCGGTCGATATTTGAGAACTCGCTCATTCAGTCCGACATCTCATCGCGAACCGCGCTCCTCTTGCAGGAGTCCATTTTTGCATTTCGTCCCTTTGCCCCTTTGCGAAAACGAAATGAGGTTCTCCCGAAGCATCCCCCGGGAGTTGCCGAGACGCAGAGTCGTGTCCTGCAGCCACTGGGCGCGATGCACCACATAATCGACGCGCAGAGCGCCACCAGGACCCCGGATCACGATTCCTTCCGCATTACTTCACAGCGTCACGCGCGCCGGGAAATACCAAGACCACTAACGGCATTTGACGTGAAGATCCGATGGAGTCACAAGAAAATCAGAGCGTGAGGACTTGTTGAAAGTGGAGGATGACCCGCAACGGCGGCTGGGGCTTGAGCTGACTGCAGATGATCCATCTTTGAGCTGGAGAGAAGAGGAGAAGGCTGCTCACACACTTCAGCAGGTAACTTCCGTTCAAAGGAGGCCAGAAAAGGAGGCCAAACGAGATAAATTCAATTGAGAGACTACAGTAGATCCCTTCAAAGCCCGAAGGACGGGGCATTTCGTCAAATAACGACCGCGTCACGGATATCTGCTTCCCTTGCAGACGACTCGGACGATCTCGCGGTGGCAACGGGGGCATCCTCGGCGGCCTCTCCACATCGAGAACACGCTTCAAAGCAGGCCCAGGCTGCATCATTGGTGTATTCGTGAGATTGTGGGGTCGGAGCCAGGATGCAGTGCCGCCGGCCAAGCCACAGCCACCTGAATGGCTGAAAGCTTGTTTGCAGTGCGGGGACCCCTCGCCAAGTCCAAGGATACTCGGCACTGATGACGGAGCTAGAGAAGCTGGAGAAGGCAGAGAAGCACGGATTGGGCTTCTGTAGCCGATTATTGAAAAGAGATCACCGGCCGAGGCGAGGAAGGGGAAGCTTGATAGGTCTTTCGCGTGCGAGGTGTGCCTTTTTGGCGGGTTGGGAGAGCGAGCAGGCCCCCTTGTCTGGACTGCTGCAGCATGGATTAGTGCGTCTCGTAGAGTACAAGTAGTGCTACCAGGGCACGCTGTCGAGAGAAGATAAGTAGAAGCTCTCTCGCACATGGTTTTGCCTTGATCATCGAAGCTACAGATCAACTTGGGTTCGAGGCCAAGAACAACTCAATGTGAGCATTTACCTTACCTCCTCCCCACTTGCAATAGAGAGTCACGCACTGCCAGCTTCTGCACCCACGCCCAGAATTGACCGAATCTGAATACTGACGTGTTATCCAGCCAGTTCCAGCCTCTGAAGGCCCACCTCCAACATGGATCCCTCCAGCAATGAAAAGGTCGCAGATGCGACTCACGTTCCAGAGGCCGTTGAATCGCCAGCGCCGCACGAGATGACCATAGGCGAGTATGCCTCGACACGCCTCACCACTCTGAAGCCTCCAATGCACCACGCCCCTAATCCATTCCGTCTCCTGGGAATGCTCAGCGGAAAGCAATGGCTCTTCTTCCTCGTCGGTTTCCTTGCTTGGGTATGGCTCTGTCTTGGATAAGCTGACTGTACGTACGCTTACTAATATTTTACAGACTTGGGATGCCTTTGACTTCTTCACCGTCAGCTTGACAGTCTCGGACCTCGCCGAGACCTTCGGCAAGACGAATACCCAGATCACCTGGGGAATCACATTGGTTTTGATGTTCCGGTCCGTTGGATCCACCGTCTTCGGTCTTGCAGCCGATAGGTACGGACGAAAATGGCCTTTCGTCGTAAACAACCTCTTGTTCATCGTTCTCGAGTTGGGGACAGGCTTCTGCCAGAACTATAAGCAATTCCTTGCATGCAGAGCTCTGTTCGGTATCGCAATGGGTGGTCTGTACGGCAATGCTGCTGCAACGGCTCTCGAGGATTGCCCTGAGGAGGCACGTGGAATCGTTTCCGGCATGCTGCAGCAAGGCTACGCTTTTGGTTATCTTTTGGCAACTGCTTTTGCGAGAGGCCTTGTCAACACCACTTCCCACGGCTGGCGCCCTCTCTTCTGGTTCGGTGCCTGCCCACCTGTTCTGATCATCATTTTCCGTCTCTGCTTGCCAGAAACTGATGCGTACATTGAACGTGACGCCGTTCGAAATGAGAAGGGCAATATTGGGAAGACGTTCATTGCAGAAGGCAAAGTTGCACTTAAGAGACATTGGCTCCTTCTGATCTACTTGGTGATGCTGATGGCTGGGTTCAACTTCATGGTAAGCCCCTTGACCACCTCCATATTAACACATATTAACAATCCTCCAGTCCCACGGCTCCCAAGATCTCTACCCAACCATGTTAACCAACCAATACAATTTCAGCCCCAACGCCGTGACCGTCACCCAAGTAGTAGCGAACCTCGGCGCCATGACTGGCGGCACCGTAATCGGGTACAGCTCGCAAATCTTCGGCCGCCGCTTCTCCATAATCTTCATCTCGATCATCGGCGGCGCGCTTCTGTATCCATACACTTACACCTCCAGCCACGCCGTCATCGCCGCCGCCTTCTTCGAGCAATTCTGCGTCCAGGGCGCATGGGGCGTGATCCCCATCCACCTGATGGAGCTCTCCCCGGGATCCTTCCGCACCTTCGTCGTCGGGACCTCCTACCAACTCGGCAACCTCGCGTCCTCGGCATCCTCAACCATCGAATCCACGATCGGATCGCGCTTCCCTCTCCCGCCAAAAGGAAAGACCAAGCGATACCAATATGGAAAGGTCATGTGCATCTTCATGGGCTGTGTTTACGTTTATGTCATCATCATGACGTTTGTGGGACCGGAGTATCTGCGGCGCAGCTTTGAGGTCAACCAGGACTCCGATTTGAATGAGGCGGCGGGCCATGATACGATCGAGAAGGCGATGAGGAAGATTCATCAGAGGGAGGCTGGGGGCCATCAGCAGCAGCATAGTGACCCGGAGGATATCCAGACTAGTGAGAAGGGCGTTGTGCAGCAGCAGGCTTGATCTAACATGAGCTCTCAAGCTTGGATTTATGAGGTTATTTGGAGGATGATGTTCAAGGTTTCGATTCCGTATAATTGGCGGTGATGTTAGGTATTTATTGCTATCAGCACAGAATGATCTGTTCCTGCAATGATCAGTCCCGCCGTATTTGCCACGAGGGGTACCCCACCATTCTCTCCGCAGTTGGCTCTCTGTTGCACGTCTCATAAGTTTGTGGCGTTTTCGGCGCATTCGGTTCATTTCGGTACACGAGATGTGTTCGGCACACTCGGTACACGGGACCGTTCCCTCACCGTCCCGATCCCAACATACTCAGCGGGACCATGTCAAAACCAGTATCAAACCGTCTACCTGTTGAAAAATTCCTGCCCTGTTGAAGGAACCTTGTCTAGGCGCATAATAGTAGCAAGTGCCAAGGTCAAAATCGTATCATTGAAGAAACACATATCACAAAAAATGCCGAGACCGAGGGCTCTCTCGCCCTCGAGTGAACATCCATTGAGTTTGACGTTATGTTGAGTCTCGCGCGCTGGATACAGTACCCAGAGACGGCTCTCGATCCTCGATCTTGCATGGTGCAGGGGATTTCGTCTGATCAAAGTGGCTGGCTGCTGTCAATCCGGTTTTTGCTGTCAATCCCACTATCTAATTAAAGAAATATCATCCTGCCTTCCTTACTTGCTTTGATCAACCGAGGACAGGCTGGGTCGAAAATCGGGACTTGTTGAATATCCTTCCACCAAGCTTTGTCCATGCGCTTTTTACGTCCAGATTTCCCTTGGCGCAGTCCTAGCATATAACCCAAGCCGAAATCCGCTTTCATGGATTTCGGGCGTGTGCCCAGACCCATTTCTTGCATTGTTGGTGGGTTTGGAAGCAGAGCAGAACAGAGCAGAGTCCAGTGCGAACGTTTGATCCGACTGGCTTGCGTTTCTAGGAATGCCGGGCGGGGAAATATATACAGTTGTGAAGTGCAAGTTCTCCGAATCGATAGGGAGTGGAAAAGGTCTTGTGTTGATTTATAGCCTCCTTATGAACCTGTGCAGCTGCGTCACTGCACCGCGAACGTCGCCATGAGTAGCAGCAGTCCCCTAGCCAGCCAAAATACACCCACCCCGACCAAGGACGCGAAGATCTCTTCGCCGACTGTGTACCGCCTATTTAACGACAAGCTCAAGTCAGGTCTCGTTCCCAAATCGGCAGACATTGAGGTAAAGCTATTGCGCCACCTTGTGGATGCCTTTGGGATGGCAACAATACAAGAACAAGTCGCGGCGTTCAAGAGAATTACTTTCCCTAGTACGCTGCAGGCCCTTGAGCAGTATATTGGCATGACCGGATGGCTGCGAGCATATCTCCCAAGTTATGCCCACGCAGTGGATCCGATGCAAGAGCGGAAAACCCATCTGCTCGAAGCAGGACCAAAAATCGACGCTGTAGACTACTGTGCAAAGACAATATATGAACCCACGCCCCAGGGGCTCGCGGCGTTTGAAAAATTGCAGAGCATGCTTACAGTTCCGAGATTCCTAGTCCATTTTCCCCCAGATAGGGGTCTCCTGCTTAATTCTGATGTGTCCCAGGAACGAGGATTTTCAGTTATGGCCTTCTACTTGGCGACCCGGATCGGCACTATCAGATCTCGTCACGAAGCTATCAGCATCCCGAATCCAGCCAATCCTCTTTATGAGTAAGGCATTGAGGGAGGCAGAAAAGCGATACCACGCAACGGAGCTAGAGGTTGCCTGCTTGGTTTGGACTTGCCGTAAATTCCGGCCCATGATTCAGTCCAGTACGAGCCCAGTGGTTATCGCTCACCTTTGTGAGCGTGCTATCTGGTACGAGATGTTGCGAGTTTTGTTGCCTGGGGGCACATTACTTTTTGTTGTCACAACTCCTTGTTGCTGCCAATGCGCTCGGATCGGATGGGAGGGAGTGTTCCTAGGGAAGGCTAGGTTCCAGTATAGCTTTTGGAGCAAGGCGAAGAAGAGAGAAGTGCTGTCTTGGAAAGTACGATGAGCAGCTAAGGAGCACATTGGAGTATTGGACAAGCTCTTGATGCCGCTGTGCGATACGCTGGAGCTGGAGCGGGCAGCGTTCCTCTAGTCCAGCCGTTTGCATCAAGGTGCTTGGCGTCGATCACTCGTGGCGATATCGAGGGTCTATCTGGACGCGGTCCAACGTCTCCACCAGCATTCCTGCACAGCGCTCAACACCCACAGCCTTTCAGTCCGATATAATTTGGAAGAAGTTAATAATTTGTGTTGGATTGGAGATTTATTGACAATAGCAGCTGGCCCTTCAAGTCCTTGACTTGAGGACATATATATACACAGTAGCATGGAGCTAATAAGCTTTAGCTTGAGTGACATGTGGGAATTGAGAAATTGGTATAGCGACGTGTAATAACGTTACTTCAATAATTTGGGGGTTGTTTTATATGTGTTGAAGCAAGTCAAGGAGAGTGGGCTGAAGAGGGAACCGAGGAGCAAATATGCGATTCACTCTCTTTCTTAAGGAAAGATCGGGATCCGGGGCCGCTCCTAACAAGGAAGTTTCGGTGCAGCTGTGCTTCACTCATTCTACATACATCCAAGTATTGCATGATCATCCTGCGACATGTAAGTTTACACTGTGACCCAATGTCTGCATCACTCATCTCAGTAGTCTGCCGCGAGAGCAATTGCACCTTCCGACTTGATAAGAGCGATGTGTGCCTCACTACGGGGCGTGATCTTGACCTTAAATGGGGGCTTCGTAGGGTCTTCCCACACAGTGTTTAGTTGATCGATCGGGTAATCCTACTCACGTCAGTTCCCGCGGACACATTCAAGACTTCAAGCCCTGCTTACCGGATCCTCTTCAAAATTGAAGCAGTAAAGCAGGCATGCTGCTGCAATCCAAATATTGTTTGCACCTACATTCAACCCCACGCAGATGCGACGACCTGTATTCATTAGTGTCCAAGCCTAAGAATGGATTATAGGACCAAGCATGCATACCAGCACCAAAACTCCAATGTCCCTGAGCCCATTTATCCAAATTCCCATTCATGAATCGATCAGGATTGAATACCAGCGGGTTTGCATATTCGTTCTCATCCAGCGCAATGGAGTACGCATTCCAGCTGAACTCCGTGCCAGCAGGAAACCTATACCCCTCGTATTCATCATCCTTCGTAAGAGTATGCGGTACACCAGATTGCAGAAACGGTCTCCAGCGAAGCGTTTCCTTCATCACCGCCGTGATGTAAGGCAGCTTTGGCCTATCGGCAAGACTAGGCAAGCGTTCTGCATTGGCACCGCATACTTCGTCTAAAAATCCTCGAGCCTTTTTGGTCCATTCGGGATAACACGCAGCTCCGGCAATCGTTTGCAGGATAGCAATGCGAGAGGTGTCGCTTCCGGCTTCGACGAGGCTTGTCCAGGTGTAGATCTTCTCGATGTTGTCAATTTCGAATTCTTTCTTCGCTGCTCCGTTCAGGACATCGATTGCAAAACACGGTTTCGCGATCCCCTTATCCATCTTGTCGATGAGCAAATCCCACTCCTTTTGGAACATGCTGAAGATTGGGTCAGTGCAGGATCTCGGGGGGAAATGGATTTGTACTTACGCTACATGAGTCTTGCAAAACTTCTCTCCAAAAGGCCTCCACCACTGCAGCGGACGAGGTAGCTTGTCCAGCCACGTAAACACATCTGCCGGGCTCTTTAGAGGATTAAACTGGAAGTCTCCAAGCACACCAGTATACCCCAATATAAACTGCAAAAGCTCATCATCCTTCCTTGCCCTGCGTCCAAAAATAACACTCAAAATAACCGAATTCGAGAACCTCTGGCTCGCCTTCTGATAATTCTCTGGATCCACAAACACATCATATACCAATTGTTTAGCCTCCAGATTCTGAAATGGCACGAATTTTGCTTCCGCTTGGCGCCCATTTAGGATCGAGTGCATGATCTTTCGCTGATTTCGCCATTTGTCTGTGTACCCCATAAAGACCATTCGAGCACCGGCTGACATGATGTCGCTGAGCATGGGCCGAAAGGGGCGTGAGGAGTAGATTGCTGCTCGTTTTTCGAGGAGGTCGGTTACGACTCGTGATGAATTGAGGTAGACTAGTCTTCTGCCTCCAATGTTGAGGGTGAACCTACATCATCGCATCAGCTTAGACCTCACTCTCAGATTTAGGAATCAATGAAGGGGGGTGAAGGCAAATGTTGTGAAAAGGGTGAGTGGTTGAGGCTTACATTTCTCCATACTTCTTCGCCATCTCTTTGCCCCACATCCCCGCTGGGTATGGCACATCCAGTGTATTCCCAATGATGGGCCATCCTGGGACAACATTGGGCAGCTTGTATTTTCTATTGAAGCGCCATGTCGAAACTACGTGGTTCAAAATGAGAGAAAAGAGTATTGCCAGCACTGAATATCCGACGGAGAGCATCGCCATGTCAGGAAAGATTGCTAATTGGCTAGCACAGTGGGAAGGATTCAGCAAGAAAAGAGGAAGAACTTAGCACCGAAGAAAGAGCGATTTCAATAAAGTTACTAGAGTTTGATGAACAACCTTTGCCTTGGGGAAGGTATGGTGGGGCGGCGTGAAGGCGGGGTTTGGCGGGGTTTCCTTGCGGGGTTATGCCGGGAAAAAGTAAAACGACACCCCCAGGCGTTGATTGGGGGTGTCGATTGGGGGCCGGACTCGCCTACTAACTCAAGGGGGAAGCGATCGGAGAGGAACACCAAGAATCTAGCTTTCTCTTTAGATTTAATTTATAAGTATTCAATAGAATTTGATACTTTTTATTATTTTATTATAGGGCTAATTAAAGGCTATTTAAATAAATAATATTTTATAAAATAATATTTAGTAATATTTCTTAAATTAAAGAAGTTAAAAAGTTAATATTTTATAGCTTAAAGGTAAGCTTAAGAAAGCCTAGAAATTTAGCGAATAAGTCCCTAAAACTAGACATGAGAGCCCTATAAGCCCCGAATTTATAGGGCCTTATAAGGCTTAAAAAATAGAACATAATTAATTAGTACATAAACTCCTTTAAATTAAAATTCTATTTTATTACAAGTTAAGAAGCACGTGATTATATTATAAGTCTTATAGTATCCTAGCTTATGTACTTATATTAAAAATCTAACTTAAGGTTTCTAAAGGGCCTAAGTAGCCAACTATGAGTCGTTAATACTCTGACCTCCAATCGACACCCCTAATCGACACCCCTAATCGACACCTGGAGGGTGTCGTTTTACTTTTTCCCGTTGTGCCGCTGGAGACGGGAAGAGATAACTAGCGACTTTTACCGTGTACGACTGACGGTGATATGAACAACAACTGTACCTGTATTGAACTTGCCGTTGTTAATTAAGTTACTTCATCCAAATCATTTCAAATCTCAAGCCATAACTTTAGCGTAGAATAACCGTGCATTTGGAAGTCTCTCAAACCTCTCAGTTTCCTTTCTCACCACCATCTCCAGCGCAACAAAATGGCTCGCCAGATACCAGGATTAGGAGAAATAAAAACTTTCTATCCATCTGGATCTCCAAACGTCGAGCAATACCGAGGAATTCCGTACGGTTCAATCCCAGCAAGATTTCGGCAGTCCAAGCTCGTAACAGAATGGCCAGAGAACAAATGGGATGGCACAAAATATGGGTAAGAGCAGAACTCCCAAGGAAATATCCCCCAAAAATATATACATTCTTTTGTATCCCATTAAATCTAACTTTGTGGTAGACCTCTGTGTCCATTTCCCAAAATGGTCATTGGATTTGCCATCACGCAGAAGAAACTGCCTGCCCAGCATGGCTACGAGTTTGATGAGTTCCAATGTCTGAATCTCAATATTACTTGTCCGAAAGGGAGTAAACCAGAAGATAGATTGCCGGTCATGGTATGGATGCATGGGTATGAGATGAACACTCTTCAAGTGGACAACTTTAACGTTTTTCAGAGGTGGAAATTGTGTGGGAACAGGAGCAGATCCGGGCTATGGTAAGTTAAAGTCTCGTTCCATTCTCTGCTAACATGCTGATATCTGATATCTATAGATGGTGCGCCGCTGGTTAACTTCTCAGTCAACCAGAAAATGCCAGTTGTGGTGGTTACGATAAAGTAGGAAAATATCCCCGGAAACCATTTGCCACAGTGAAACTTTCAAAAGAATTTTCATGCTGACATGGGATTTTCCCAAGTTATCGATTAGGTGCTTTTGGATTTCTTGCCTCCACCGCCATCAGAGAAGACAATGAAGCTGCTGGAGACAGTGGAGTTGGAAATTATGGTATCAGGGATCAACTTCTAGCATATGAGTGGGTCAAGAAGAACATCAAGGCTTTCGGGGGCGATCCAAATCGTGTTACTGGGTGGGGAGAAAGCGCAGGCTCAAGTAAGTGTTTCTTTGACCTTCTTTGAGGGTAAAAACATCTGACCCAATTGATGTTGCAGTCGATACACACATCACGTTGTGTTCCGAGCTCTTCAAATCCACCCTTCCTTTCCAACAAGCAATCCTCCAATCTGGTGTAGGATCTCTCACTATCCGAAGCGCACAACAACAGGAAACCGTCTGTGAAAAACTCATGTCCAGGCTCAAAATCCCCGCAGAGGCATCTCCCAAAGACAAACTGCGAACGCTCCGAGAGGTTTCTGCGGATGATCTTGTCTTGTCGTACATTGCTCTTGGAAGTCCCGTCCCAGCATGGCAAGCTACAGTGGACGGATACTTCTTGAAGCAAAACGTTGCAGCGTCTACCTTATCTTCACAGAAGTATCACTCGAGCCTCAAACGCATTTTGATGGGTGACTGCGCTGCCGAAGGTCTCATTTTCGCAATGCCTCTGCAGAAACAGCAGTGGACTTTTGACAGAGTCAAAGTGCTAGCAATTGGGGTTTTGGGTGAAGAGCGAGCCAGTGAGGTTCTGCAGACATACGGAATCTCATCCGACCTCCCCGAAGATGCGCTTTTCCCCGCGCTCGTCAAGCTCTTGTCGGATGCTGAATGGTCACAGCCTATGCGTGAAGTAGCAAAATCATTCTCCAACGGTGATATATTTTATTACCACATGGCTGAAGGGAATCCTTTCGATGGTCCAAACAAAGGTAGTTTTCACTTCTTCTCCCCACATTTAACTTCATTTCTAGTGATACTAATTGTTGATCGGACAGGAATGGCACATCACACTGTTGACCTCCTTTACATCTTTCTCACCTATCAAGAACATCTGCCTACACACCTGGCGAAACTGGCCGAGACAATTGCTACTCAGTGGCTGCGGTTCGTGAACGGCGGCGAGCCGTGGAAACCTTATGATCAAAAAGCTGATGGTTCGTCTACATTGATGTACTTTGGTCCCAATGGAGAGCACAAGGAAGTGGCGGAGAATGCGAAGCCTGCATACGAGAATATCAGGCTTTGCGAGAGATTACAAGATAGTGTCGGTGACCTTGCGGGTAGATTGCACAGGTAGTGTATCTGTTGATGGGTAGGCATTTTTGGGGCACTTAGTGGATAGTTGAGAGGCAGTTAATTTAAATCGAACTTGCTTATATGATTTATTTGATATCGTCTTTTCTAATTCATCAACTGCACTGCTCTCCTACTGAAAGATAGGGCCGCCAGTTTGGGTCCTTTCTCAGAGGCTTTAGCGAGCCCCTTACGAGTTAAAACAGGGGTCTCCTGAAATTACAGGTTGGGCTTGCTAATGCCAAACCCTGAAAGTGCCACGGTTACAGTGAGTGCCTCCCTGCCGTGTTTACTTCCCGAATTTGCATGTCGGGTCTTCCCTAAATCCGATAGATGCGCACAGATTGGTCAGAGGATTCTGATATCTCGTATACTGACTCAGTAGAGTCGTGGATGGGACCAGGGTAGTAAATGCAGCTATTGCTGGCGTGCAGATGGGGAAAAGGCCGTGGCCCGGTGCAAAATCGCCGTCCCCACGGAACCCCGTGGGGTCTGAGTCAAGTGATGAGACTTGGCATCCTACTCAAGCCCCTTCACGTGAAAGCGCGCTCAATCGAAAGGTCCTGAAAAAAGTGCCTTGCTCTGCATCCTGACTGAGCTCAAAGTTTTATTACTCGTCAGATTGCGAAACCAGATATTCACAAATTGAATACAAACAGAACATGGGATCAAAGATACCTCTTGTGGATCTCGACGTCCTGGTCGTAGGATGCGGAATCGCGGGGTTGACGACCGCAGTCGCGTGCCGAGAAAAAGGCTTCAATGTGCGAGTGCTGGAGTCTTCCGCCGAATTCTCACATGTAAGTTGTGATCAATCAACGGATCTGCTGCCGTGACTAATGTGAAAATCAGGTCGGCGCAGGGCTCATGATATCCTCGAATGCCTCACGTGTTCTGTGTGACATGGGGCTGCGTGAATCCTTGGATCACGTCGGCATCCACATGAGAAGAGTTGTTTTCATGAAACATGACGATGGAACGGTTCTGAGCGACACACGTTACAGTGACGATGTGGAGGAGAAGTTAGGGGCACCTCTGTGGCAGATCCACCGAGCGGATTTGCATGATGTGTTGCTGGCGAAGGCGAGAGAGATTGGTGTTGAGATCGAGATGGGAGTCAAGGTCGAGCGATTTGATTGGGATGCTCCGAGTGCGCTGATGGAAGGTGGCACGGTTGCGAAGGCGGATGTAATTCTTGTTGCTGATGGTAAGTATATCTGCCCACCCTCAGCCAAGAAAGACGACTTATACCATGTGAAGGATATCGCTCAAGTGCTAGAGGAGAGCTGCTTGGTAAGTACGAGGAGCCACGGTTCAGTGGCAACTCTGCGTACCGGGCACTTATCCACCGTTCTGAATTCGAGAATGATCCCGTGTTAGAGCCTTTGATGAATGTCAATAATCAAACAACTTATTGCTGGTTAGTTGCACCTCATCGACGCAATTCTAAAGCAGAATCTAATCTGACGCGCAGGATTGGTAAAGGCTGTCACATTCTTGGGTACCCAATTCGACAAGGAGAGTTCTTCAACCTAGTCTCCACGCAGCCAGCAAAGCACACTAAAGGTCCCAAGTTTGTGGTTCCAATCGACCCTTCTGAGTTTGTTGACCAATACAAAGATTGGGATCCTAAGCTCGTCGCAATATTAAAGAAGCTGCCGAAAGAGAATGTGCTCGAGTGGAAGCTCTGTGATCTCGAACCAATGAACTCGTGGATTTTCCCAGGTGGCAAGATCGTGCTTTTAGGTGACGCTTCTCACGCAATGTTGCCGTCTGCGGCACAAGGCGCTGGCATGGGCATTGAGGATGGAGCTGCGATTGCGGAATTGTTAGACCGCGTTACGCATCGGGAACAGATCCCGGTGATCTTGAAGACTTTTGAGAATCTGAGGCTTCCAAGATGTACGTATATTGTTGATAGTGGGAGACAGAATGCGAAGAAATGGCATGAGAAGGATGCGAAGGGAGGCACTATTACAGATGAAATGTGGGAGTACGATGTGAAAGGGGCAGCACGTGAGATATTATTAGCAGGAGCGTAGCACTCATGTATGTATCTCCAGAACACATACTACTACAATGAGTCAATACTTATTCATATCCCTTCTTGCGCCTTAAAGATTCAACAAGCTCATCTCCAGAATTGGTCGGCATTTTCCATGTACCCCGCTATTTTGGCCCCCAAATAACACCGCAATACTTCAATCAGCGACATACTTCACTTCAACACTTCAAGATGTCTCAACAGCGGCTTTACTTCAAGTCAACGAGATGCAAGGAAATCAACATAAGACCCTCTGGACCGCTTTAGAATTCAATTTATTTGCAGTAGCCAATAACGATAGTGAGTAATTTAAACATTAAAATGAATAACTTCACATGACAAGAGAGGTTGATGCCCGATTCATGGCCTTCAAAAACTTGATCGCCTCTTCGTTTTCTCCAAATCGATCCTAAAAGGCGATAATATTAGCAAATCTCACGAGATACAACGGAGACTTAACATACTGGAACTGTATCCCACGTTGAAGCAGGAATATCCTCCGCCACCAAAACGCCAGAATCTTTGAGTGCCCAGTTCGTGAACAACAAGCTACGGCAGCTCTCAAGCATAAATGTAAGCTGATTCTCACCCACACGCATGGGCTTTAGATCCACGTGCATTGCGCCAATAGTGCGTTGATCTGCGTTGCCATGGGGTGTGAAACCTGCTTCGTAGCTTGCACCACCAGGAGCAAAGACTTCAGAGCGGCCACCAGCTACCTCTAGCCCATAAATACGCGCGAGAAATTCAGAGGCACAGTTTCGGTGGAAGTAGGGGGGCCGGAACGTATTCTGTGCTACATCCCAACGGGGGCCGAAGACGAGGAAGTCGCACAGAGGTGCATGCAGATCTCGAGACTTGGCTGTCAAGACGGTGTTGATGCTTGGATCCGTGTGGTCTACCGAGACTGTGTTGTGATAAACAAATTTGGTTAAGTCGTATTTGTAGGGGATGTAGTTTCCATGCCAAGCTACAACATCGAAGGGAGTCTGGTCTTGAGAAATCGCGTAGTATCTGCCTTCTTGTTTTGAAACAATTTTCCATGGGCCGCTTGAACTGGTATCGATGTCTGCGGTTGGAAATAGAAAGTCTCTTGGGTTTGCGAGGCCAAAGCCTCCTAAAGGTCCGAGCTCAGGAAGTTCCCATTTTGTGCCCCAGGTTTCAATGATGTACCCCCTGGCACCAGAGGGAGAATGCTTCTCAACGATGTCGACCTTGAATCGCAAGCCTTGTTGGATAACGCAGATCTCGGACGGCTGAAGATATATATGGCCCAACTCAGTGAAAATGTCCAAGTGCCCTTCTTGGGCGACAATTAAAAAATCCCCGTCGGTATTCACGAAGGCTGTATTTTTCATACTGCTGTTGATTGCGAATATATGATATGCAATCCCTTCCCGAACATTTGGCTGTCCACTTCCACCTAGGGTGTGTATTCCCTTGGTGAAGTCGATAACGGCAGCTTCTTTTGCTGGTATTTTGAACGGCGACCATGATAGTTGTGAGGGAATGGAGTGCAAATCTTTTGACGGATTCAGGAACGAAGACTCAATTGTGGGGTTGTCGGGAATCTTCTCGTATGTGCTGTGAACGCATGCGGGGCGGCGACGATATAGAAAATTTCTCATTGAGTGAGAACGAGAGGCTGCAAAAGAGGTGCCTGTGACTTGTTCTGCATATAGACCGAAAGGACATATTTGCGGAGAGTTCTGTCCGATTGGAAGAGCTCCTGGAATGAATTCGGATTGGTGTTCATTGCCAAAACCTTGCAGGTAGTTGTAGGGATCCTGGGGTCGGGTAATCGCTTTTGATTTTGCGTCAGTCCAATGGAAAGTTCGAGTGTCGAACGACAAAGAAGGTGCTTCACCCATACTGAAGGAGATGTGTTGATGGCACCGCGGCTGGATCGTAAAGTGTCGTATGTAAACCGGGATCTTCTTTGAATTTCAAGACGTCAGACAATGCAGAAGGCAAATAAGTATACACATTACAGGTAAAGCAGTGACCAGCTTGAATGCGTGGCTTGGATGAGATTTGAAGCCTCAACCGAAGCTGCAAGAGGGGTTCGCTTAGTCTCGCTTGGCGTCGCTGAACCCCTTAATCCCGAATGACCGTGACCGTGATCCTAAATGCCGGCTTCTAGTTTGTGCGACAGAGGACTTAAGCTTCCCACGGCGATCTTGCAGTCCAGCCTAAATGCCCGCGAAATCCGGGGTCCCCACTCATGTCCTTGGTCGTCAAGACTCCATCGCGAACGGGATTGGTCCATAGCTCTATCAACATGCAGGGTACAAAGAGTGCTGCTTGATCAGAATTTCCTTGGATATTCCTATCCTTTTCGTCGACAGTTCTCTCATCTTCCTTCCCTAAATCCAATCATGCCTCTCGGAGTCCTCGAGTCCAGTAGCACCCACGGACATCATGTCCCCGGCACAGTTCTTCTCGATACACAAGCAAACACTGCTGAGCTTGAGTTATCAGGTCTCAAAAAAGGGACTGGCAAGAATAAGGAAGTAATCTTGGTGCCCCAGCCTTCCAACAGTCTAAATGACCCCCTCAACTGGCCCCTCTGGCAGCGAGATCTTATTCTCCTCGTTTACTGTTATGCAACAGTCTGTGTAATCGGCGGGTAAGTTCTACTACACCTGATCTGGCATCCAATCTAACATTGCGCTAGAGTGGGACCTCTCCTCTCATCGATGGCTCTTCCTATCATCGGCGAATTTCACGTTACTTTCACCGAGTTCTCTCTTCTCACTGGCTACCAGCTGTGTGCTGTTGGAGCTGTTGGCGTTCCCATCGCTGCCCTTGCCCGCAAATACGGAAAGCGTCCAACATCACTCTTCTCTATGTCCGCGGTTTTGGCTGGGTCTATTTGGGCTGGAAGAGCTCAGTCCTATGGCTCCCTGGTTGGCGCCCGAGTTTTCCAAGGTCTGGGTGTTGCTATGTTCGAAAGCATCACATTTGCCTTGATCGGTGATATGTATCATGTACACGAAAGAGGAACCCGGATGGCCGTTTATGTCATGTCACAATCCGGACTCGGGAACCTTCCAGGAACCATCGCTGGAAAGATCACCATGGACCTCGGTTGGCGGTGGGTTTTCTATATCTTAGACGTTTTTGTCGGCCTCGCCTGGCTGTTTTTGGTATTCTTTGGTTGGGAAACTGCATTCAATCGCAACGCAATATACAACCTCGATACAAACTCACAGGATGTAAGTAAAACCTATCGAGACAAGTTCGACTGCCCGCTGACTCGATTTGTGTAGGCCGTGGAAGACTTGGTGCCCGAGAAAGACAAGCCAAAAGCGGAAGCCGTCCAAGACGAGACGCTCAAGACCACAATGACTGCGACTACCGCAACATCATATACCCGCGAATCCTTCTTCAGCCGAATGAAACCTTTTCATGGGTCGTTTTCAGATGATTCTCTCGTTAAGATGCTCATCAGACCATTCTTCTGTTTGCTTAACCCAGCTATCACCTGGGCTATCCTCATAGTTGCATTTGCCTCTGTTTGGGTCATTGGCATATCTATTGTCATTGCGCAAATCTTCTCGGCGCCGCCATTCTTGCTAAATACAGCGCAATTGGGCTACATAGGAGCAGGCCCAACGGTCGGGGGGTTTCTCGGTTGTATCCTGTGTGGGGCACTTTCCGATCCCATTGCTCGATTCTTCACTCGGCGAAATAATGGTATATACGAGCCTGAATTCCGACTTCCTCTCATGGCTCTCTTACCTGTTGTCTCTACTATTGGATACTTCTGCTTTGGAAATCTGATAACCCAAGGTAAAAGTCCTGTTGCAGCTTCAGCAATGTGGGGTCTAGTATTTGTCGCCGTCCAGGTCGCGGCTGTGTCGACTGGCGCTTACATTGTCGACGCATTCCGGGACATCAGCGTGGAAGCATTCATCATTCAGATGACGGTTAAGAACTTCTTGTGGTTCGGATTCTCTTGTGAGTCTATATTGTCTTCTTCCATGTTGGACGGAGTGGTTGGCCCCTGAAAACCAACACTCACTAACCGAACTCACATTGTAGTCTTCTTGAACAATTGGCTTGCAAAAGTAGGCCCTGCCTCGATGTTTGATACTGTTGGTGGTATTCAGCTGGGGCTGTCATTGACGACAATTCCACTTTATATCTATGGGAAGAGGTTCAGGGCCTGGTGGCACCGCAACAATATAATTGGGACTGCCAATTAGGTTGAACAAATTTCAAAATGCCAATGTCAAATGTGTTGTACGGAGGACATGGCTGTATTTCAAGGAGGAAAGCCCGAGGTGAAGTAGTTTAGGAGAGAAATAAGTTGCTCACAAATGTAATCATTTCTTCGATCGATAACCCGGTTCCACAATAAGTGTGCATACAGAGGGAAAAAGTAAAACGACCCCCCCCAACCCCCCCGGGTGTCGATTTGGGGTGTTGATGGCAGAATCTTTTTCTGGCTTAGCGCTTGGCATTTCCCGAATTTATTAAGGTTACTAAAGTCCGACTATTACTCCGTAAGGAACCGATTTAGCCTTAGAATCGCACACCCCCCTCTCCGCACCCCGGTGTCGATTAGGGGTGTCGATGGCAGAATCTTTTTCTGGCTTAGCGCTTTGGCATTTCCCGAGTTTATTAAGGTTACTAACGATACCCAACCCCATGGGTCTGTGCGCACAGGGCATTTTCCGGGCATTTTCAGGCTACGCGAAGACTACTTCAGGGTCTCGAACAGCAAAAGTCTTCACAATCACTTAACTGTTACAAGACAGCAACAAATAATTACGGCCCACGATCCGAGTTCTATTAATTAATTCTCAAAATTTAAAAGTTCTAAAATATTCGTTATCACTAAAATGCCCTGTACGCACAGACCTATGAGGTTGGGCTCGTTACACCGCCTTTGCAGGGGGGTTGCGCTGAAGCGCCCGTAGCATACGCTGTAACCGAATTTTGCTTGGCAGAATCCAAGGGGGTATGACAAACATTAGGGCCTGCACCTCCGTAAAGACTTTATATGTAACCCAGAACAAGTGAGACCCTAGAAGTTTTAGTCTGAGTACTGGTAGTCAAGTTGCAGCAGAGGAGTTTAGGCACGGCCACGAGAAGGGATTACCCACCAACCGCCCAAACCCCCCTGAGAATACTCGGAACATTGCGAATATCGTATTAATTTTTCCAATTTGTGGCGTTAAGGTCTCCAAAATCCAAGTTGAGCGGGGAGGGGGTGTGGGCAGTTGGTGGGTGATCCCTTCTAGTGTGAAAACTCAAAAGTGGCTTTTTTTAGTGATCCTGGATCTGGCCTAGACTGCATTTTCACGCTGGACCCCGCATCTCCACACCGTCCGATTAGTCCGCGCACCCCAAGGAACAAACTCGCCGCACCAATCTCAATCTCAACCTCAACCTCTTGACCTCTTGAACGTCCTGATGTCTCCGAAAACTGCAGCCCTCGTACGATTAACTGCAGACAACAACCTCATGCTATCTAACCCTGGGGGCCATCTCTAGCTCTCCTATCTGACTCTACAGCGCCGGCCACTGGAGAGACGTCGCCATCATGCATCGCCCGGCACTCACCAATCGAGCATGTGAGCCGTGCAAGAGAAAGAAAACAAAGTGTCAGTATGATTTCGCGAGACTACCAAAAGAACTACATTCATTGTCTTTCTCTTAGGTGACGGAGGAAAACCGCAATGTTCACTCTGCCAGCGGACTCGAACGTCATGCTTGTACCCTCAGCGTAAAACACGTCGGTCTGCGCAAGATCATCGGAGAAGTACGAGCCAAATCGGCACATCTGCAAGTAAGTTGCTGGCTTCGATTCAGCCAGCTTCCCTCGTATATGAACAGATGTTGACGATTGGAGTGTAGGTTCAAGGGATGGCTCTGAGCCCTCCATGCAACCTGTGGGGCAGCAGAGTGCCACACCAACCCAGTACACCACTTCGAGTCTCCCAGAATCAACAGGGGAAGGGCATAACCCGTCTTATGACAACGCGAGATGGGCAGACCAAGTTGATAATTTCTACTATCTCGGAAGTCCTGTCAGCTTGAGCACAACAAGCCAGCTTGAATATACATCTCCCACTGATCAGGACATGGTCGACTTCCTAACACAAGCACTCCCTGATATCTGGATGCCCGAAGCTATCCCGGAATTTGGCTCTCTCGCAAATGCTATGATAATAGGAGACGGTGGCCAACACACCTTTCAAGCCACCGGTGCCTCCGAAAATGCAGGTGCAGATGAGTATCAGACTGAACAGGAAGCTAATTCCATAACCATTGCTCATCCAGAAGCATATCAGTCAGAAGAGACAAAATTTCACCACGACAGCCCCGCTCTTGATGTACCTCGGGTAGTCATTGACAATTTGTAGGTTTGTATGGTTGTATATGTCATCGGGGTCTAACTTATGCATAGGATCGATTTATATTTCCGAAGGATACAAGTATTCCTGCCACTATTTCATCAGCCTACATTTCAGCAGACCCATCTCCGAAGGAATCATGAACTTCAGTATGTCAACTTGACCAAGACTTCAATATTCGTCTTGTATGGAATGATGGCGTTATCGGCTCGATTCTCGTCATTGTCCCATTTTGAAGATATACCTATGAAGGAGAGAGGCAGCCAATTTGCACGCAAGGCACAGACTCTTTTCCACGAGACAGTTCAGGGATTTGAGCATCACGAACCATCATTGATGTGGTTGCAAGGGTGCATCCTCCTTGCTTATTACAATCAGTCGTGTAGGCCAGCCATGGGATGCGATCTCATGATTTCCTATTGCACGAGGTTCGCCTATAGTCTGGGATTGCACAGAATTGATGAAAACTCGCCCCCAGAGCCATCAAGCGTTGAAGACTGGATTAAGAAAGAGGAGCAAAGACGAGCTTGGTGGTCAGTCTGGGAGCTCGATGCTTTCGACTCAATATCGACTCGGCGTCCTTTCTCCATTGACATACATCGGATGTGCGTTTGCCTTCCAGTGTCGGATGAAGCGTGGTTTTCGGGGAAAGAGACCGAATCTGCCATTCTAAGTCCAGATATTCTCCAGTGCTGGAAAGCCCTCAGAAACTCGCCCAATCAAGATGAGCGTGCATGGTTCTTGATTAGCAACTTCATCACAGTGCAGGCACTTGAGCTTTGCCAACAGCCCCATATTTCCAAAAAGACCATCAGCGATATTGAAACGGTAGTGAGCTGCTTCTCACTGCTCTTTCACGAAACATTTCGAGCGAGCAACGATCAACTCATTTTTGATGAAGCCAATTACGGAAAGAGCAACTGGCTGTTACTCACGAGACTGATGGTGCAAGGGTATGTTTATCCGATTGAAGCATTTCAAAGACTCTAGTAATCAGTTCTTGTGTAGTAGCCACATCGCAACCCGCATGCTGACTCGGCGGAACTCATCTGAGCCCATACTGACTGGCACAAACCGCTTCCTTGGGAAATCACATGAGCCATCGACGTTGGTCTTGCCCAGCAAAGCGGCTATATCAGCTACAAGCATCGAGGATTACATACAACCTGCGACAGAAGCTTTTCGACTCTACCAGTTATGGTCTCCGGAATTCATAGGACTCTGTCCGCCGCCAATGGTATGCATAATTACAGGGCCAGCAGCAATAATGCTTCGATACGCTCGTCACATGAGGAAGGAGCAGAGTGGCGGAGAAAAAGAACCCAGCATTCAAGAGGACTTGTTGATTCTGATACTCAGCCACTTTGCGCGATACTGGAATATCGGGCTACTTTTACTTGGTAAGTCACCTCGAGGCTAATGATATCTCCAGCCACCCGATCTTAGCTAACCTTGCTGCAGATTTTGTGCGGGCCTTCTAACCTATGCAGGTCTTCAGAAAGAACATGGGCCCTGGTGGTCCTTGCTCGTATTGTTTTAAAAGTGGTTCTTTCCCCAGCAATTACTACCGCTCCCAAGTTAGATTTACTAATAGATTTTTTTTGGTTGAACAATCAGTCTTCCAAGGAACCATTGCATTGATTGAGGAAACTATTTACAGGCATATTTAAGATGACTTCAACGATACGATACTGCGGACAATGCCAGCATCTCTGCGTTAGCCGGAACAGAAAATTCAAACCCATAAAAGTGTCCATACTCTGGGCGCATGATATCTGCCACCTTAATGCCGAGGCTAGCCACCCAAGGCACCATCAATTCAGCGTGATTATTAACCTTCTCCATGTCCTTCACTCCAGCACCAAACTTCACAGTTTTCATAGCTTCCGCAACGGCTACATCAATATCATCGAGATACTTTTTCACAAACGCGATGTCTTCCTTGCCGCCCACATTTCCATGGCCTCCGACATGGAAATCCCAATCCAAATCACCGAGCTGGGTGACATTCAGGCGGTAGTAGACAGTGTTCTCGGCAGTGCCGAATCTCCAAAACGGCGGTTGGTCACCATTTAGAAGGTCGGGAAGATGGACAACTTTCTCTTCCACAAGCAGGAAGGTGCCGGCGTCATCACAGTGAGCAGCTCTTTCAAACGCATCGAACTGGACTGTAACATTATCGAATTTGAAACTGTCCTTCGGCCATGATACCGTCTCCGTGGGAGCAGGCAAGCTGCACTTCAAAAACTTCATCTTTTCGGCTGTCTTCGTGGATGCGATGATGCGCACATGCTCGACACCCGCTGCCTTTGAAGCATCGATTACCTCAACGGCAGAGATAATGTGGTCGGCATGGTTGTGTGAATATATGATGGCGGTGACTGGCAACTTGGTGACTTCTGCGATGGCTGCCAGGATGCTCTTTCCTTGACCCTCAGGGGCATCTAACAGGAGAACTCCAGTGTCACCAACGTAGAAAGTGGTAGTATAGAACCCGCCGTTGAAGAAGTAGGCCCGGTCTGAAAGTCTTTGCACGAAATAGGGGGTCTTGAGGTTGCGGTTGAAGAGATCATCGATTTTCTCTCCTTTCTGCAGGATTCTGGTTGCTGAAGGCTCAACATATTTTGCTCCAACCGTCGAGATAGCTGGTGCAGCTCCTGCTGCTTCATGACCTGCGTGTGACATTTTGTGGCTGGTCTTTGGATTTGGACGTCGTGCAACTTCACGAATCTCTGGCGTAGTAGATGTCTCGTCCCAGGTGACCCAACCCCGGACAACTTTGGGAATATTCTGACAATAAATAGTAAATACCTCCTCCAAAGATTTCAATGCTAGAATGCAAAGATCAAAAAGCGATCGCAAATCGGCAACTTAGTTCTGACAAATGCCCGCAGTGCCAAGGGAAAATGAGGCCACAGTCACGCTGATTGCTAACACGGAATATACCCTAACTCTCGATGAAAATTATCAGCATGCGAATTCGAATAGGACTCGCTGGACTTCGAATGCCGCACTTTACCCCGCGAATATGTGGAGAAAACCCGGTTGCAGGTGAGGATGCGGGGAACCGGCGATACAAATGAAGTCCACGTCATACAAGCACTAAAACAGTGTTTCACCGTTAGCTGCGGACTGCGGCTTTTCGGAAGTCTTCCTTTCAATTCTAGCAAGGTGGTTGGCAACGAAGCTTCCCCGGCATGAGTTCAGAGCTGTAGCTCTTAGCCAACCTTAGTACTGTCTGCCGCTGAAGTTTCGTGGGCGAGAAACCACGGATAACTCCAGACCCCGTTCAGTCCATTTGTTAATTTCCTTAGCCCCCCGAAAGATAATAAAGCTGGGCGTCCGAGATAGTCATTTTCGGCAGTCTCAAATTTCGTTTTCAATATGTCAACACAGGTAGCACTCATCACTGGTGGAGCATCTGGGATTGGCCTTGCTACTACGAAACACCTTCTTAGCAAAGGATGGAAAGTCGTGATGGCCGACATAAACGAGGGAGCTGGGCGCGAACTCGAGAAAGAGCTGGGGTCCAATGCATCTTTCATTCGAGCAGATGTGACAGTGTTTGCAGACCAAATAGCGATGTTCAAGCATGCGTCTACCTGGGGAGGCAACAGATTGGACTTTTTCGCAGCGAACGCCGGTGTCGATGACCGGCAAGATATGCACACGTCTGTTGAGGACTTGGATGAGAATGGGGATCCCAAGCCGCTGAACTTGATGACGATGGATGTGGACTTGACTGCTGTGATTCAAGGTTGCTGGATTTACAAGCACTATGCAAGGAGAAACCCAACGCGGGGAGGGAAGATTGTGATTACCTCGTCGGTAGCTGGTCTCTAGTACGTTTGAATACTCTCCAGTATGTGGTCTGCATTCTCACAAAACCAATTCTAGCGCATCTCCAATCAATCCTCAATATCACATGGCGAAACAAGCATGTGTTGCTCTGGGCAGATGTATTGGCCCTCCATTCCTGCGAAATGAGAATATTACCGTCAACGTTATCTGCCCTGCATTCATCATGACTTCTCTTTGCCCACCAAAGATCCGCGAGATCTTTCCAAAGGAACAGATAACCCACATGAGTACCGCCCTGAGGGCATACGACATGTTCCTCGACGATCATACGCTTACTGGCAAGATCGCAGAACTCAGCATCGACAAGGTCATATTTCGGAAGCAGATCGAATATGCAAATGAGAACCAGAGATGGATGTTGGAGGACGCATTGAAGGTGTGGCAGCAGGCTTATGGTGATCAACCTGAGTAGATATATACCTATGTCTAGAAGGCTTCACAAAAAACACACCTTACAAGCTATAATATTTTCCAATTTTTTTCTCAATGTCGTGTAGATCATTAACTAACTTTCTCTCCGCAAATTGAAAGTTTATCCGTTCCGCTGCGGCCAGGGACGACTTTCGGAAAGCGAATTTTCCCAGCAGTTTAATTTGAAATAATTTACCACGAAAAATAATAAAACTTAATTTCTCTTTAGGATTCCTAAAGCACCCTTTTTGAGATAATTAAATAAAGTTTTCTTTAATTCCTATAAGTATTTAGCCGGGTGAAATGGATTAGCAATGTGAGGCTTTGTGATGTTCTTGACTTTTCGCGAAAGTCGTCCCTGGCCGCAGCGGAACGGATACGTAATAATATCTCAGCCAGCAGCCCGGACGCCTCGCTTGTTGACATGCTGTGATTTGTAACCCAAACACTTCAATATATCGTAGCCACGACTTATATCAATCATAAATAAACTTACTACATAGAATGAGAAGGTTTTAGTTGGTTGAAAAATTCTAAATATGTCAAATATCAATTTTGAGAAAGGTATGATATTTTGAAGTGTTATATTTAGATAGGCTAAGCGAGCCAGCCTCTCACAGGTTGATGAGACAGATTTCAACACTGCAAAACAGACCCGTGTCGAGATTCGACCAGTCACAAATCATACCACAGCCACTGGCTTATCTCCAAACACAGCCGGCTTTGCAGAAACCACATCCGGAGGCGCCCTTGCCAATTTCCCTACATCCTCCAACCTTCCCGACAAGAAAGCAAGAGGGATGTTCGGTCCCCATATGTGCAACGAATTCGGTCCGGCAGGCTCTTTATGGAATGGCGAATTCTCGTTAACCAGATCGCCATCAGAGTAATGTTCCACGACGTTTCCAGAGGCATCGAACCTTTTATTTTCGACAGCGAGTTAGCTTCGGATGCACCAATATCAACATCAGAAGTTTGTGGTATGTAAAAAAAGGGGGGGAGGAAATAGATGGATAATCTACCAGTAATCGAAAATCTGGCTACCAAGGACATGTCGTCCGACGCCCCAGCAGTTTGTCCACCCCTTTTTCCTCAGCCAATCATGACCCAGCGTCTGCGTGTCGATATCATTGACCTCAAAGCTGCAATGATGAGGATATGCCTGGGTCGCAGTCTCGGACGAACCCGCAAAGAATGCCTAGAAATATTACATGCCGTCAGTAAATCGTGTTAGCAGTAGCGAAAAAGCGAGAGAGAGCTTGCAATTTATATTACTAACATGATGATCCGTATATTCAGGGCCAAGATCAATGTGAGTGAAACATGTGATTTCCTCGCCTGTCTTTGGATCGAAAATAGAATCCGTTGGCTTCAAATTAAGAACAGACATATACCAGTTCATGGTCTCTTTGTACATCGCCTTGGGGACCCTGATTCCGTAGTGCCCAAGTTTGTGAACTGGACTCGGACCCTGTTTGAATCTGCGGGTGGGACCTTTTCGGGACTTTTCAATAACAGTATTGAAATGAGGATCGCTTGGCGACGTTTCAAGCTGAAGCGCTTTGATTTCAAGAGTTCGCAGGGTTTGGCCATGTAGGAAACCAACAACGAAGCCGTGTGGGTCATTTACTCTCACCACTTTGCCACCTCCGGGACCCTTATTATCTTCTATCGCTGAAGCACCTGGAAGTGATGCTGCTTTCTGCATCTCCTCAAAACTCGAAGCGTTCCAGTAAGCTCCAATGAAGTGTCGGTTCTGATCTGGTGACTGCTCAGCGATATAGATATAAGGTTGAGCACCAACGCCTCGCAGAAATGCCTGGGTCGATGTTCGAGACTCGGCGATATCAACCAAACCAAAATCTTCAAAGAATGTTAAAGCATTTCCCAAATCAGGGTGTTGGTAATGGACATGAGCAAGGCTTGTCACGTGAACTTTGTGCAGAGCCATATCGAGAAGGGAGGAAGTTGGGATGAATTGAGTTTGGAATGATGGAGTTGATGGCTTAGTAGGGTAGTAAACCAGTCGTTAGTCAACAATGAGGGGCTTCTAATGAGCACTCCAAGGCTGAAAAGTAGCGCCACCTCGACTGAATGAATTGGCACATATCGGCAATATCAGAAGTACCGAGTCATATGACGCGGGATTTCATGTTCAGACAAGGATACTAGGAAAGCAAGATATCTCGGTACCATTGCCAAGAAACAAATATCGTAAGTTAGAGGTATTCGAGGTAAGGGACCTCCTGCGCATTATACGTGAACCTAAACTACAATATCACGTGATGTATGGAATGACTTCGGTCCCCCATTCAGCAAGAACTCAATACCTACACTTAGCCTCATGTTTGACACCAATCTAGGCATTCGGCTTTCCCCCAGTCCTCTCCGCCAGATCAGTCAGAGTTGTCCACTTCCAATTGGTCTCATCCTTGTTGACAAGATCATTATCACACCCTAATCGTCCCTTACGATGATCAATCTTCCCCTCCCCAACGAGAAATCTTAGATAGGGAGCCGGCGATGCTACTAGCTCCTTCATCAATTTGTCCTTGAACTCTTCCAAATTCAGTTGCTGAATAGTAATTGGGCCGGCTCCCGAATCCTCCATTATTTTGGCAATCTCGTTGAAAGATCGAGTGTCGCCTGCAATGTGCACTTCCTCAGGAACATCAGATAATGGCAACGATGCGAGTGCTGCCATTGCCGTCCCCGAATCTTCTCTGCTGGTGAACGAGATTTTTGCATCCGGAGATCCAACGCACTCGTACACCCCAGTTTTGGTATTGAAGCCAAACCACGAGCCGATGGAATCCTCAGTGAAGAGGCCAACGTAGACCCGACTGACCCTTATGGAATCAATCTTTTGTACATCGTCGTAATGTCTTTTCTTGGCATCCCAAAATACTTGGTTGAACTCATGGACGACATGGTCCACTCCAAATTCGGAAGGAAAATATAGGCAAACTTTCGTCAACGGAAGGGCCTCTGCAATTGCATCCTTATAGAGGTGACCTTTTGAGCTGAGGCTACAGAATCTATTCTTAGTGACTTCTACAGGAGGCTGAAGTTCGTACGTACGCATTGATGAGGATATCAATCCCAGCCAAGCTCTCGGTCATGTTCTTTTCATTGTAAATCCTCACTGTCACGCCTTGCCTTTCCCATATGTCTCTGGTATACTGAGGTGCAGATTCACGGACAAGAGCGACCACGCTCCCAAAATTGGGCCTGAAGCTTTCGGAGATGAGAGCATTGATGACATGTATTCCTAATTTCCCATTCGCTCCAGCGACACCGACGGTGGGTTTATCAGATGGCATCCTGAGTTGATTTTGATGAAGGTAATTTGGAATGCGAGAAGAAAATATATACTACAATGAAACAGTAATCAGGGAACAGAGCATTAAAATGAACGGTGTTAGGTGTGCGTGTGGGAGTTCAGAAACAGCGGCGACAGCGGATTTGTGGGCACGGGATTTAGCTGGTCTCCCTTGTGCAAGGTCTTCATGATCTGACAAATCCCCTTTTGCTGAGCCCGCTAAGCAACGCATCGACGTAGTTTATTAGCAATTACTTCTGCACTTCGTTTGAAGATCTCCTGAGCTATGGTGTATTTGGAAGACTCGGTTTAAGGTCCATCCAGCCTACTTTGGTTCGTAACGGTCGCTGAGGTATCCTCCAGCACTGTTTATCTATTTCTTCCTGGAGCGTCGTACAGTTTGTTTTCACCCATCTCAATCTCCCAAATTTTGATACACTCAAGATTAAGGTACTGGTCTCACCGGCTGTAGTCAGGTGACCTGCATGTACTTCAGCGAGAAGTCGATATCCATCTCCAATTAGAACACTGATAAAAATCTCAGTATATTTAAATTATAAAAAGATTTGGGTAGCTATCTATGATCTACAGCTCATACACAAGCTTGAAACCAGATATTTTGCCATCTCTATGCATCTGGAATCCTTCCGGTATAGCTGAAAGCCCACCTGCTAGTACTTTCGGGGTATTTGCCTGCAATGTTCCATCTTTAAGCCAGCCAGAAATATTCTCAAACAGCTCAATTCCAAGTGCATGGTCTCCGGACGAAGCCTGTGATTTTGTCAGCGAAGATATCTAATATTGAAGCAAAACGTCTGGGACTTACGGGCCACTTGAACTCCTTGTACTGGTGGTCTTTCAAGAAGACTGTCCAAACCAACACATCCGTCACATTGACATTTGAGTCTACTCTCTCTGTAAATAGCTTGCCAGGTCTTACAGTACACAGAACACCACCTTTCTCAGAGACAGCTTGAGAAGCAGTAACTGACGATATCTCGTCGCCGATAGTGTCAAATACATGCTGGATATTGGGAGTAGCAGATTTGATCTTTGCAATGACATCGGCGTCGCGGTAGTCAAATACATGCGTTGCGCCCAATCTCTTACAGAGATCGAAGTTCTTTGGGCTACAAACTGTAACGACGGGAATCGAGTAGATGCGAGCTAATTGGATGGTATAGTTGCCTACGCTTGCTGGGAAATGGTGAGATTCGGGCAAATACGAGAGTCTCGGGGATTTGGGGCTTACAGCTTCCTCCCCATACTAGAATTGGGGTCGCATTCTTCCCGGTCCTCGATATATTCAAGCAGGTTTCTGAATAGAGAGCAAGCCACGCTGTTCCTGCTGCCAAAGGAACAGTAGCTGCACCGGCGGAGGATATATTCTCGGGAACCTTAAAGCAGATCTTCTCGTCGGCGATCGTGTATTGGCTGTAAGCTCCCAGCCCTGGAACCTCACCTCCCCAAATCAACCCCGCAATACGGTCGCCCACCTTGACGGTGGTGACTCTATCTCCTAATTTCTCCACGGTACCAGCGAAGTCGCAGCCTAGGACAGCTCCGTTGCCGAAAGCACTTCCATCAAGGCTTTGGACTGCATATTATGTCAAATAATCAAGAAGCTTGCTCCCAGGGGACGTTCTTGCCATCTGTTGGGTTCTGTGCAACGCTACCGACGCGAACCAGCAGCTGATGCGGTTCAATTTTCGGAACTGGCATATTTTTTATGCCCATGGTGGACTTGTCACCGTCAACACGGGTGACGAGGGCTTTGGCTGTAGTGGGAGCCATGTTTGAAACAACTTTGTTTGGAGAAACGTATATGGAGGTTGAATAGTCTGGCGATAATATTTTTAAGCAAGACGATTTGGGATCTTCCTCTACTGTATCCTCAAGTATCTGGCATTGCATCATGCACAATTGGCGCAACACCGTCATGCATTATAAATGCAACGGTCGGAAGAGTGGAGTGGATGCTGCCTTCGGATTAGTCCCACGTTTGACCGTTTTAAGCGAATAGGGGGCGGGGTCAATTAAGCGAGAGGCAATTGCGGGCCAGAAGCAAAGTTGCTATAATGTCAAGTTTCGAGTTTACATGGAAATGTTTAGGATCATAACAGAGCATCGATCTCCTCAAAATGTAGACTGAATATCTGGATGTTGGGTGAGGTGGATGAATTGTTGCCAAGCATCTTTGAAAGGCAATGTCTAAACGTTTCGTCTACTCACTCGCACCGTCTGATTTGTTGTCGGCGTCGGAATTTTTTGTTACTAACGTCGCAACTTGTCCGCGAAGAAGAAGGTAGCCCTTTTCCTTCACCACCACCACGTAGATAATGTGGTGTGCTATTTCAGTAAAACGTCATCTGGAACGTCCAAGAAAAAGTAACTTATGGAGATCCCCCACTGCATTGCTGCAATACCGTGCCGCGATTGATTCGCAGCTGGATAAAAAGCTTAAGGGAAATGGATGCTTGTATACACTTTGCCGGCTTGGGGATGTTCGCTTCGGGGCGGGCGAGTCATTCTCCTTGATTTTCTTGATTAGAAGGACAAAGAACTTTAGTTCGAAAACATCCTGGAAGTCATATCCTTTTTCCTTCGAAACTAACCCATTGCCAAAGAGTTATTTTGAATGCAAGTATAAACTGATTGAGGATTATTTCTAACCTATTAGTGTTTACTACTGGTGGAGTGAATCTACGTATGATTTGCTTCAACAGAAGCACAATCAAGATAAGTATAAGTAGAGTAGTAAAGTGGGGCAAGCTTTCTAAACAAACAATGACGACATGACTCGATACAACTTAGCTGAATCATATGGACTTGGTAACGAAATACATCCTTGATTTAAAACTTTGATCGAAAACATATAAGCCGCCTTGGCTCGGTTGTGTCTCTTTATGCCGTTGACACTCGGTCAAGATGCCTCTCTACAGAATCAGTGCGCTGGTTTCTTGAAAAGCTTCATTCAAGCAAAACTCTGCTTTCCGAGATTCTAAAACTCCCAACTGTAGAACACCTGCTCCATTGGCTTTCAAATGCATGATCTTTATTGATGTTTGGGACAAATCCTCTGATATCCGTCCGAGGTTTCATTGTTATATCTCGTCCGCTTACCAATTTCGGCTCGTATCGGTCAGAGGAGTGAACTGAAAGACTGGCTCAGAGTTCTGGCTCGAATTCTGATCGTAACAATAAAGCTTCCTTGACAGCAACACAGTTAATTCTAACGGCCAGTCAAGGCTGATATTCTACTCATGATTCCATGTCGCAAACACCTCACCCGTGACCCTCCCCACTCGACAGACGCCCATCTAGCTTCAGGATGCAACCGAGCTTTCCAGACTCAGAAATGGAATCAATTTGACTGAAGGTGCTCCGCGCTTATTTTTCATTGAAAATCGAGAATTCACGGGCTCTATATAGAGAGTCAAGCAAAAATTGGGAATTGAAAGAAGCCATTTTCGATGTGATCCTGACTTGTATTCTGTGCCAATCATCAGAGCAACCGCTCAGACATGCCTCAACACCTTATAATTGAAGAAGTACCGACTCGAGTATCCGTTGGCGAAGAAGCCGAAGAAGCCAGAGAAGGAAAGGACTAGAGTCTCATGAGGAAGGACTTTCTAACCGCGAGGAGCGGCAATATTTTAGTTTTGACTTTTGCAGGCTATGGAGGTTTTTTCGGTGTCTAATAAGTCTGCTCTTCAGCTTCGTCCGGACTCGAGAAAGAGGACTTGACAACAAGGACGCAGATGACAGCATGTTATCCCAAATGACTCTCGAGCGTGCATTACCCAGCTGTGAGCAATCTAGTGATATGTACGGTGCGAGACGTCCTGCTCTATCTTGACGACATGGAAGCAGACTCCACAAGAGAAAAGCAATTGGAGTAGCTTCCCAGATTTTTGTCATACCATGCAGTTGCTGGGCTTGCATAGGGGCGATGAATATATACTTTCGTGCTTACAAAGATACCAGGATAGGTGGGGGTTTTCCCTCACTCTTCAAAACATGAGCAGGTGAATCAGTTTATATTTCTCGAGATATCTGGTATTGAGAAGAGAAGTTAATGAGTTCTTCCAACGATGCAGTGTATAAGGAGGAGGAGACGTGGACGGGAACGTGGAAGCAGCAGAAGCTTCAGGCTAAGAACAAACGCACTTCACATTATATCAAGAGTGAAGATGCACAATCGTCAGCAAGGGTGTCGTGCGGCTGTTGCGGAGGCGGAACCGGGAGCTGCCGCACACTTGTGTAATTCTAAAGACGGCTGATAGGCCAAGTCTGGTGTTCCAATCCGCGATGGCAACTCTGTCAGATCTTGCGAGAGACGAACTTTGACAGTAATTCATTCAACTAATGCTTCTCAACTTATGTCCATATCGTCACAGAACAGTTTTGTATATTGCGATCTGAGATCCTAGAACGGGAAGTCTTCAACCTCCATCTAGAGCTTGAAAATGAGGAGCCGACGTCGATCCTTCAGTAGTCAGTCCATCGTGCTCTGGAGACTGCCGCTTGGTGCAAATAGACTAATTCTAGTCATAAATACCTCCATTTCCACAGCTAATTGATCCCATGACCGTTCCCTCGTTTTGAACTCGTGGAAGCAGATACCACAATGATGCACATCTCCGAGTCGCACCTCTTCCTTTTTGGAATCCTCAGAGGTATGCACGCCCCTCGCCAGCAAAAATGGACGGTACAGGAACGGCAGAGAATCAAAAACATAAAAAGGGTCAAAATAGCTATCTCGTTCCTAAGATGAAGGCATTATTCCTTCGAATAACGAATGGAGATACCCGAAGAGCCACCATATTAATGAACCTAATACGGGAAGAACAAGAGGTCATAAAAGTATATGTACAAGTGACTTGTGGGTAAGTCCGAAGCATAAAACACTTAAGTCCTCGGTTGGGATTCTAACTACACATTGCCAAGATCACCTGGTCTCGAAGTTCAGGGCCGGACAACAAGGATGAAGTTGACAGCAATATTTTTAGCTAACGCTTCTGTGAGTGTTATTATTGTCGATTACGAAAGTAGGATACGGCAAAAAGGTGAGCTTTCCTGGCCGTGCCTGAGGGAATGGAATCCGACACCACAAGTATTCAGAAGTTGGCACCGCACCATGCAGCAGTCTCCTGCGCACACATAAAGTGGAGATTCTCCCAATCTGCTCAGGGGACGGGTTATATAGATGAGGCTGCCATGGCCGTTAAGTTAATTTCCTCATGTGGATTGGAGCTCAGCATTGGGAATCTCCAGCATTTTGGTTCCAAGAAAGAATACCCGCCGGCATTCCCAGAGAAGGACTATAAAAAGACGAACCAAAGATGAAGAGCACCTCGACAAGATGGACGGACGGAAAGAACAGCTGGCACATGGTCAAGGGTGGCGGTCGTTGAATCTACCTCGCGTCGCCGTCGGAAGTCAATGCTCGAGCATTTGGTTGAAGCGCGGACTGCTGCTAACCATGCTCTTCAGACCAGGTCTCCTTAGAAATTTCACTGCACCTCGAGAACTTGACAACAAGCTGCCACTTAACAGCACTCCCTCTCATTCGTTCGGCGAACAGATTATATACACGAGGCTGCTTGTTGGCAGTGCTGTGGACTGATCTTCATTGACAGTTCGAATTGTGAATAGATATTCCCTTTATCGGCCCCTTATACTTCTTCTCTGAACACATGTACATTGGAACTTATGTGGAACGCCCTCCGTCGGGGCACAATATAAGAAGAAGCCAAAGGCGCAGGAAAGCCAAATTAACAAAGAAAATATCAAAAGCGAAGGCCATGGCATCGTCTTTAACAATGTTGTATCGGTGTGGTGAAGCTTATCTGGCAGTCGGTGAGGTGGTGCAAATGGACTTCATCCGGTTAAGCGGGGAGCAAGTTGGCAACAACAAACGACTTGACAGTGCTCGACTCGTCTTCTCAATTGTCCACTCCACTACTTTGTGGAGACTTGTATGTTGTATCTCTCTCGACCCCTGATACCATGGTCGTGAAGCTGCAGTGCCTAGGAAACATCGTGGGAGAGGTAATGTTTGGAGGCATTTTGCCAGAGTGAGTTCCTTGCCTAGAAACGCGAGGGCACCAGGTGGTTGTGTATAAATAAACGAAGAAGTGCAGAGCTGCAGGCTAGATAAACTACTCAATCTAAAACTTCCGAATCAGGAAAGCTGCTTCACGTGTCCGCTGCTATGAAAATCGATTCGTCGTCGTTTGGTGACGGTTCCTCGAAAAAAAACAACGACTCGAGGGAATATGTCAGGTATATAGTGCTCTCATACTAATCAAGGAACTCATCACAGGTTCTCTCATTGGTGCTCTCGAAATTGCCTCCCTCACCATTAGCTGCCTTGGCCCCTGAAAATACCACATCTTGGTGGCACATTGAGGCACCGAGTTTGTTATGCAAGAGGATAGGGAGTTGCGGGTTTCTTTGTGTCTTCTTGATCTTGAGACGAAACAATGACGGCGAATGAGACGCTGGCACCGGACTGGCCCATGACGGCGGGCGAGACGATGACAATGACTCTCGTCTGGTTCCAAAGGTAAGGGTCTTATGTGTGAGACCCTCCTGAAAATGAGGGATTCACATATCATACACAATGCTGGGTAAAGAGAATGTACTTCTTGTGTGGATAAGAAAAGGAGGGATATCCTTGGAGAGACCTGCTGTCGATGTCTTTGCCTTCCCAAACTTTGCAGACACCAGGTTTTATACTTGGAAGCCTTTGAATTGAACTCTTTACTTGGAGAGCAGCATTTCTTCAC